GAAGATCACCCTCATCGACCCAAGGGCAACCGACTGCCAGAAGCGGTACAAAGCAGAGCTCGCACGAGGAGCTTACATCGCAAGCATCTGTCAGCCAGAGGCCACTTTCGACTGCGCGAGGGCAGCGCAGGCCACTTCGCCGACGGAACGCGACTTCGACGCCCTCAACCGACGGCTACAGTGGCAGCAAGTGAACCTCGATAGGGGGCTCGTGTACCAACCCATCGACCTGAGGGAGGCGAAGCTCTACGTGTTCGTCGACGGCTCATTCGCGAATAATGACGACCTCACATCGCAATTGGGATATGTGATAATCCTTGCCAACGAGGCAATGGGAGAGGAGAACTTCACGATCCGCGGTAATGTCATCCACTACTCGTCGACGAAGAGCAAAAGGGTCACACGAAGTGTACTCGCCTCAGAGGTCTACGGCATGGTTAACGGCGTCGACATCGCACACGCGATCTCAACGACGCTGAAGAGGATTACCGATCGACTTGACATCCCCACGATACCGACAATCGTCTGTACCGATTCGTACTCGCTGTATGAGTGCCTCGTCAAACTGGGCACCACGAAGGAGAAGAGGCTGATGATAGACATCATGGCCCTCCGGCAATCGTATGAGCGCCGCGAGATCCTCGAGATCCGTTGGATCAACGGGGACGATAATCTGGCGGATGCTTTCACGAAGGCAACGCCCAACAAGGGGCTCGAGCACTTCGTCGGCGAAGGAAGGGCGACGATACGGATGGAGGGATGGGTAACCCGCAAGGAGCAGAAGAAGGAGGAAAAGGGGGCAGCCTCGGCGAAGGAGCCCGAGATCGAATTACACTTCCAACCGCCGTAGTTGGGCGATGAAAGAGAGAGATAGTCAGTGTCGGATTGGAAGTCCAATTCGACCTCGAGGCAAGGGGCCCGCGCAGGGGCCACTTACAGACCATACTTACGAGATCTACGGTCTACCCAACCTCCGGTTAGAACCTCCTTTTTACACCTTACGCAGAAGTTAAATATATATAGATTTTGACCTCTTCGTCACCCACGGTTCGAACCATCCCTGTGATAGGAATACCAACAACTACTTCTCTAGTTGGACCATTCCGAATAACCAAGTACCTAGTCATAGGCGCGACTCGACTCGACTCAGCGTCTCGACAGACTGACTACGAGCACGCGCGCGCCGAGTATCAGCTGCCCGGTCAGGCGAAACGACACAACATAAGAGACCTTGGTACAAGAACCGAAGAGGAACGGGAGCGGAAGCTAGTCCCCGTTTTTGCCGACCGACAGACCGAGAGAGCACCGGGATTTAGTGGAGCTGGCCGGGACGACGGGACCGGAGCTGCATTTTTCTTTCTACACGGCACAACACACTCGGTCTAGGTAGCATCGTATCACTGCTTCGGAAGCGCACAAGTCCGTTTGTTCTGCAATGCATCTCGCGCAGTCTCTGCCTTAATCAATAATGCACTTGGTACGGCAAAGTAACTGAACTCACTTCGGAATCGAACAACAGACATCGAGAATTGCCAATATGACGTAACATGTACTGATCTTGGTCATTGTTCAGTCTGCACACATCGCTACCTACCATAACTCAAAGCTTCTGAAACACGTCTGCCTTTTTCGAGAAGGCTCTCATCCAGGGCAGAAAGCAGAGACTGGATCGGACGAAGAAAGGGGGGACGGGAATAGTGACGGATTGCAGGGAAGCGGGGGGGGGAGGCACAGCTCCATCCCTTCTCCAGTCATCTGGCTTAGAAATCACGACATCAACCACAACCGGGCCCGAACTCCCTTGCACCAAGCTTATTCAGCATCCCGTGTCCGTGGTGATTTTTTGCTTGAAATGCAAGCTGAGCTTTGTTGGTTTTGACGATCAGCTTTTCGTTGGGAGTTGGTAGTGGGGAGATTTGAAGATTGAGTACAAAATGTAATCGGATTTCCCGTCCTTGGGTGTGTTGGCGTCGTCCATCGTACAGTTTCCCTCTTGTTTAGCTATCGTCAGACTCACTTATTCGTGTCGCACTTCAAATCTTCTCATCACAACATCGCTCTGTCATAAGCCGTACCTTGGAGGAGAAAGCGCAACAATGGTCACCATCCCCCAAACCCACAAGGCCGTCGCCACACCCGCCAAACGCGCGCCCCTCATCCTCCTCGACCGCGAGACAAAACCCCCGGGGCCGGGCGAAGTCCTCATCCTTAATGAATGGACCGCCTCCAGCCCGCTCGACCTCCACCGCGCTGACGGCGGCCTCCTCTGCAACCACCCAGAAGTCATGGGCGGCGGCGCAGCAGGGACCGTCGTCGCCGTAGGCCCCGACCCGGACCCGGCGGATGCCGAACGGCTGAAGCCGGGGGACAAGATCTTTACGTTTGCCTTTCATCACTTCAGCGAGCGCGCGCATCAGGATTTTGCGACGGTGCCTGGGTACTTGGTCTCCAAGCTGCCCGCGAACGTGACGCCGCAGGAGGCGGCGACGGTGCCGACGAATCTGATTACCGTGTTCCACGCCGCGACGGCCGATTTGGGGTTGGAGCTGCCGTGGCCTAGGCCCGAGGGGGTAGAAGAATGGGTCCCGCGCGCGAGGGATGATGCTGTGCTTGTTTGGGGTGCCGCGAGTAGTGTTGGCGTGTATGCGGTGCAGGTGTTGCGGTACTGGGGGTATCGGAACGTCCTGGCCGTGGCGAGCGAGAAGCACCACGCGCAGCTGAGGGCTATGGGCGCGCGGGAGACGTTCAGTTATCGGGATGCGGATGTTGTGGAGAAGATTCTGGGGGCTGTTGGTGAGGAGGGCGTGCCGTTTGTGTTGGATTGTATCGGGTCCGTCGAGGGCACGCTGAGGCCGTTGACGAGGATTGCGGGCAAGGGGACCAAGGTTGCTGTCATGTTGCCTGTGATTGTGCGGGATGCGACGGAGGAGGTTGAGCCTGAGTACGAGATGGAGGTGAAGAATGTGTTGGTTGGGGAGTGGGCTGATGGTGTTGAGCTCCGGGGGGTGAGGACGCATTTCTACCTGGCGGTGAGTTTTGGATTCTTGTTTCATTACGTTCCTTCCTATGGTCGAGCACTTACGCTGCCCTGATTACGAGATGAGCAAAAGCTGACGTCTTGGTGAACAGAACGAGTTCTTCAAGGAAAAGATGCAGAGAGAGATTGTACCGACGCTCTTGGAGCAGGGCATCATCAAGCCCAACCAGCAAAAGGTTGTCGAAGGCGTCACCATGCTGGAGCGAGCGCAAAAGGCGATTGAGTTGCTGAGGAAGAGAGATCCCAGCGGTGAGCGTTTGGTCTGGAGGGTTTCGGATCTGGATTTGAAGCTGTAGGGTGGTTGCATTGATCGTTGGCCGTTAGGTATTCAAAGAGTGCGAATATCACTCAACTGGCTTACGCCTAGAGAAGAAGGATAATGTATCCATGATAGAAAGAATAGAGGTCTTTAAATGCTTTTGTGACTTTGTTCCTGCTTTTGTAATCTGCCGACCATCTGCTGAAAGAAGCTCAAAACTCCAACCGTGGGATGCCTCCTGACCAAAAACAAAACGCCAATGAGTGGTCGATTCCTCCGCTGCGTCGTCTCTTTTCCCACTCGGATATGTATATCAAGTTTCCTCCGCAATACACACACACTCTCTCTTTCATGTAATTCCCACCGAGTGCCAAACTATCCGCATTCTTTATTCCTTGCGACCCTTCTTGGGCTTCTCCTCCGCCCCGCCCTTCTCCCCCTCGTCCTCGCTCGCAACATCCCTGCTGCGCTTCAGACCCTTCATCTTGCGCGTCTGCAGCTCGCCCAAGTCCTGGCGACCGACGTGCACGCGACCCATCTTGTCACCCATGGCATCCGTGGTGATGTTCTTCTTGGTGCGCTCCTCGGTGCCGCGGGGCTTCTTCATAGCCTCCTTGAGCATGCCCTCCTCGGGCTCGCGCATGCGGCCGACGCGGAAGTCCATCCGGGGCCCAATCTCGTTGACCTCGACGCGGGGCACCTTGGAGCCGCTGCGCTTGGTGGTGATGGTGTAGGCGCGGAGGCGGATGGCGGGCTTGGTGGCGTCGTCCGAGGGCTCGTCGGCCGTGATGGAGACGATCCACTGCAGGCCCTCGACGTCAATCTTGTCCGTGGGCTCGCCGCGGAAGAAGTCGGCGAAGAAAGACTTTGCGTGGGTGTACTCGTTGGCGATGGGGCTGTCCCAGGCGGTGCCGGCGAAGGTGAGCATAGGCTTGAGGCCGATGGGCACCTTCTTGCCCTTGAACTGGGCGAGGGTGCGGAAGGTGTCCGGGTCGAGGTAGAGCTCGAGCATGTCAAAGACCTTGTAGCTAAAGGTGCGGACGAGGGTGAGGGCGTGGGGCCGCTTCTTGGAGGTGTGGCCAAAGACGAGGATGGAGGCGTCGTTCTTTTCCGAGAAGAACTCGAGCGAGTCGGCGTTGTCAAAGGGGTGGATGTCGTTCTTCTTTACGAAGCGCTTGGCGAGCGGCTGGCGCATCTGGTAGAGCTCGTTGATGGCATCTTGTGTCACTTGCGAGCATGAGCTTCCGCGGAGAAACAGCGCCGTCTTGGGGTTTTCTCTATTTCAAAGGGGTCGCGGAATTAGCTTGCGATCATGGCGAACGTCGATCGTCGGGATGGAGGAACGTACTGGGCCTTGGGCTCGCGCTTCTCGAGCGCACGCTTGGAGCGAGCATTACGGGGTTTTCTGTTGGACGAAGGTTAGCAACTTGTAGGCATGGCTGTATTTTTCGGTTGTCGTGACTCACATTTGACGAAGCATTGTGCCGGTGGTCGAATTTGTCGTCCGTCGGGTTTGATGCAGATGGCTGGGATGCGAACTGATCTCAATTCTGCGGTAAGGTTGAAGCCGCCGTCAAAAAAATTGCTTATCGTTATCGCCAGGATGTTTAATCTTATCTTATCACCCCGCGACCTCTGAGGCACCACGAAGACTAGGTACTGGCCCCAGAAGTTGACAGCTGGCACCATCTGTTGTATCTGAGCCCAGCTCTGACGTTCCTTATCACCCCAATGTCATAAAAATACACTGCCGGTTTATAATATCCTCTACGACACGTCCACACGCAGTGTCACCATCACAGGCCCAGCTCACCATCAAACCACCACCATCATGGGCCACAAACAGCATGATACGCCCAAAAAGGCACGACTACGTGGTGCCTTTACATTTCTCACTGAAAATGGCTACAAGTTTAAGAAATTAGACCTATATGAGTTCTTCGACATCAGCGAGAGGACAGGTCGCGAGTATCTGAGGGACCCGTACGGGTGTGACCGTACCCGCCATAACAACCCGGATCTCCCAGAGGCCCGCGGGCGCAAGCGGAAGGTCGTCGACGAAGACGCTGTCGACGAGAATGGAAAGCCTGTTAAGAGGAGGAAGAGGCAACCCGCAAAGAAGAAGAATAATTCTCGAAAGAAAACAGGCGCAGTGAAGGCTCCTACGCGCGCCTCGGAGAAACAAACTAGTGGCAATCCGCCGGCAAACGAATTACCAAAGGCAATACCACAAGCAGTACCACAAGCAGTACCACATGCTGTCGACCAACTGCCTGGCCTGTCTCAACCTGGCCCATCCCAAGCTCAACCCGTTCCCTCTGGCAGCTATGTCAGCTCTTACACCTCTAGTGTATTTTCCAATGTGGAGGGAGGACCCCCGTATACATTTTATGGAGATCAACCCGGCCAAGGTCGCTAACAAACGCCAAGTACACTTTCTGGTAATGGTTTGACATCATGTACCGAGTGTGCTTAGATGCAACATCTCATACGGTTTCATCAAAGTCGTCATCATGTTACTCTCAAGATGAACAATCTATACACAACCCCAGACAATAACTCGAAGAAAACTTTCGCCATTAAAATTCACGACTCCCTTACACCTAGTTCACCAACTCATACAACTGGCTGACAGCGCCGACACCTTCCCTCGAGTACAGCGCCAGGAAATGCGTCGGGTCCCTGTTGAAAAGTCCAGGCCAATGAGCCTGCGCGGGTCCCGTCACGACGCTGCCGCTCCACGTCTTGCCGTGGTCGACACTGGTGATGACCTTCATCTCGCCAAAATTGTAGCCGTCGGCGCCCTCGACGTCCTCGTTGGTCATGAAGCTGGCGACGAGCGTGCCCCACACGTTGTACACTTGCGGCGCGCCCGACATGCGGCCGTTGCGCGCCGTGTAGAGGCTGCCACGCTCGCCCCAGGTGTAGCCGTCGTCGTGGGAGAGGACGTAGTCGACGTTGAACCTGCCTTCTCTGGTGTGTTCGAAGACGGCGCTGTGAGGGGAGAGGACTCTCTGTTAGTTGCTATCTCGAGGGGGGAGAAATGAGTCTTGTTAAGGATGCTTCAACTTACATCAGGTCTCCTTCGTTGCCGATGGGTGCAACACCGACCATACCGTCACGGGACAAACGATCACCGCCTGACACCGGAACCCAGGCTGACCAAGTCTGACCGCCGTCCTTGGAATACTTCATAAAGTTATCCTGGTCATCAGCCGAGTTTTCAGCCGAGTAGTAACACTGCAGTGTGCCATCCCTCGCCAGACGCAAGTACGGCTCCCACAGCCCGTTGACGCCGTTGGGCACGTGCTCCTCGACGGTGGACAGGTACTTGAATGTCGCGCCGCCGTCGTCCGAGTACGACACGGAGATGCGGAAGTACGTGTAGTGCCAGTCGGCGCCGGTGCGGTCGTGGTTCCGGTAGGCGTACAGGATGCGGCCTCCCGGTAGCTGGATCGGCATGGCATTGTCGATATCGTGCGTCGCCCGTTCGCCGCGGAAGACCTCGCCGATGCGCTGCCAGGACTGCGCGCCGTCGGTGGAGCGGATGACGCGGAGGATGCTGGTCGTGCCTTCTTTGGCCGCGTAGCCGCCGATGAGAGTGCCGTCGTTCATGAAGCTTACGCGGATGTAGTTGCCGGACGGGTCGATGACGACGGGGTCGCCGGCGCGGACGACGTGGCCTGGTAGGCGCTTGTCGAGGGATACCGGCGTGCTGGCGGCTAGGCCTACGAGGGCTAGGCCTACGACGAGGGTCTTTGTGAGGTTAAACATTATGGATTTTCCAACTTGGGATGTTTTTGTTGATCGACCTGTGGGTGGCGATCCATCAAAACAGGTTGAGGCGTCTCGTGATGGACTCTTTATGTATTTCCATCGCGCCTTGTAAGCTCGGCATGTCGGGAACAGTACCAAGAGTTTTGTGGCATCATGTCAACTCCACGAGCTGACTTGATCAAGGATGTTTCTCCCCTTCTCCCTAGCATCTCAATTTGGTTGCCTACTTTGGAAGCAGAAGCTTGCTAAATGTCTCTACGGATACCGTTGAAGGATCAATTGCATCTCTTCTGTGGGGATTTGCACCGCGGCTGAGTACTTGTCCTTGAATCCTTCGCTTTTCGCCCACATAATAACCCCGGTTTTCCCTGCAGGAAGCGGTGTATTCGTAGAGCTCATCCAATAGACCATCCTGTTCATCCTGTCAGAATATTGATTCCTCCTGCGGCTCTCGAGACTCCACATCACAGGTGAGCAGCCAGGGACCCTAGAAGCCGCGGGCTGACACTGAAGAGATCCTGTTGGTCTCACCCGAATCCCTGTACAGGTACCACAATTTCAAAGCTGGTGCCTAACGTTCACCACTTTGAACATCTTACCTTCAATATGGCATCTACCCAAGTACCTAGCGGCGGTTGTTCCCGTGCTAGCTATATGCCCGTATCTACATTGAGCTAGGCACATGAATTGACGGCCGGATCTTTAGTTTATACCAGCAACCAAGTCCTCACGTCTTTGAAGTCGATGCATGCGTATCAATATTAAACAAAAAGAAAATTGGTTACCCTCTGTGGTTGGCACTTGTCAAAGCAACGTAGCATCTCTACGCCGCCAACCAAGACAAGGTACTGTAGATATTTGAGCAGTTGAGATGCCTAGTTTCTGTCAAAGTCATAACGGCATATGGTTTGTAGTACTGCTAGTGTCAGTGAAGTTTAAAGAGATTTGATACTTCGATGTTGAGTGATGCGACGGTGGTTTTATAAAGAAAAGACTCGCGGTAAACTCTGGGTGTGGCTTTGCATTGTACGACGGACTTACCCTCCGCGTCGACGAAAAGCCCGGTCGACTCGGGTCACTGTATCGAGCACCAGCATCAGAATGCTTCCAAGTTCTCGTCGCAGTATTCTAGTGCGACGCTCACTTCCGCAGGGATGTCCGGAGAAGCGTTAGGGAACAACACAAATTCATAATGTTGACCGGAAGGAACGAGAGATCTTGGGACATGATCAGCTTTGCCGCTCGCCTGTGGAGTTCTTCTAGAGCAAACAGCCTCAATGGCTACTGGTCTCTCAACAACAACAACTAGTCTTGCTGTACTTGTATGGCACCGTTCGTCCAGGTCCCTGGAGCTGGTCGGGGGCGGATATCGCGCTCGAATTCAACCATGTCAATCTCCTCCACCACTTGTCAATCGTCAGTAAACTCCCACTTACTTTGTTATATTTTGCACCGCATGGAAATTGACCCTTGTTAGCGGCGCTCCGAAGGTCACCGGTTATCGAGACGCTGATCTTGGTAATCGATTTGTTCGCGACGATCAATGTGCCGTTCGTAAGAAGTTCCAATCCAACTTCGACGGCTTTGAGACAGCACCATGTGTAATTCTGAGCACCGAGATAGACGTTGCCTGATTTCTCGGGGGCACGGGAATCCAAGTCGGCGAGCTGCCAGAAAACATCCGACTTGGCTGTGACATTGTGAAAATTGTCTGCTGTTCGAGCTGCCACCGCGAAAAGTAGCAGAAACACCAAAACTACTCTCATTGTTCAAAAAATTCGTGAACAGCTCGCTGATAATTCATAGGCAACAGAACGAAGTCTGATATCGAAAGGAGAGGGTGGGAGATCAAGGTTGATAATCATGGTTTGCAAGCCGACTCGGGCGGGGAAATTTCGCGGGTCAACATGGAGGCCAGGCTGTGCACGAAATATCAACGGTTCAGCCTCACTTAAGCATACATTCCATAAACGGTCTTGTGTAGCGCGATGCTGACCATCCGGTAGTATATTCAGGCGGCTACCAAGCAGGCTGCGACGCGCTTCGAGCAAAGGTTGCTTTGAGGCAGCACAAACGGCGAATGGTGTGCAATCTCTCGAAAAGAGACACATGGGGTCCGAGTGGGAGCGAAACAGGGTCGAAAAAGCATACCAATACAGTCTAGAAAAGACAAGTTGTGGTTTCTGATGCGACGTAGGAGGCAATGAGGAGGCTTGGCAACTACGGTGTAAGATAACAGCCTGTTGCTGTACAATCTGAGTCTTCTTCGTCCGTCATTTCGTTGGCGACAACAGCACGGGGATAAGAAAAGTGGAAAGTAAGACAACGCAAGAGCAGGAACGGTCCAACGCAACCCTCCGATGTGGCTTCGGCCGGCTGGAAGGTAAGGCCGGAATTCTAGCTCCACGGAGACTCCTCGGAGACTTAGTGAGCTTCGGCGATGCACTGACCCGACGGACACGGAGGAGACGCCCGGTCAGCCCACTGTAAGTCGGGGCGACTGGCGTCATTCATCTCACGGTTCCAAGTTGCATCAACAACCAAAGTCCCATGCCGAACCAGATAGATCGCGCATGAATGAGATTTCTCGGAGCTTCAACTGGCTTTTTCCAAGCAAACGAATGAAGCTCGGTTCCTCGAGCTAATCCTAACAAACCCTAGCGAGCTTACTTCTTCACAGTGGATCACGAAGCGGTAGTGCCCGAAGGATCTGACCTCATGCGTCGACTTCGCTTAATGAGGGATCCCTACCAGCTTTATTCCCAACATTTCCCGTGACTATAAAGTTGGAACAAACCTTGGCCAAGAGATTGTCTGAAATTTCCCCATTTCGACGACCATTGTCTAGAGCGCATATCTCATCAAGTTCATCATGGGCTTCATCCTCCAAACGAGCATCATCTTCACTGTGATCCTCGGCGTGGCCTTGCAGCTGGTGCTCAAGACCCCCATCTGGCTAGGCCTGGGAATCGGCAAGGAATTCCAGCCTCTCTCCGATTTCCCCTACTCCTGCCGTCGCATCGAGGACTTCAGGCTGCAGGCATGCGAGGACATGTGGCTGTCCGAGGCCACGCGCCAGCTCTTCCTCGCCTGCTCCGATCCCCTCTCTCGCCAGCAATGGCTACCCAAGTACGTGTTTTTTCGAGCGTGCGCGGCCCCCCCCTCCCGTCTCCGCAACCGCCCCGTCTTTTCAACCCAGCTCCCCGCCCCCGGGCCGGAGTGTGTGATCCGGGAAAGGCTAACTAACCTCCCCCGGCCCCGGTTTCTAGCGCACAACACATGAACGCCTCAGGCCGCTCCACGCGGGACGCCGTCGTCGCGCTGGATATTGACAGCCCCAAGGATGATGCATTTGAGTACCGCGTTCTCGAAACGCCCGGGTTTACGGGCACCGCCGGTGACGGGCTGCTTCAGCTCGTCGGGATAACGGGTATTGACGCACCGAAGGGTGACAGAGTTGAGATCCTCTTGGTCAACAACGGCCCTTCCGTCGATCCTGTGACTGGCGACCTCCTGGACCAGAAGAGCGTGGGCGCCAACTCGACGATTGAGGTTTTCGAGACGGGCCCGAAGGCGATGGGGATGAAGCACGTCCGCACTTTTGCCAGCGCTAATATCTCGACGCCGAATAATATCGCCGCGTTGTCTACTGAGGAGTTTTACTTTACGAATGCCAATGGCCCTCACAAAGTCGGATTGGTGAGGATCAAAGCATGTAGTGCCCTGAAACGAAGGCAGGTTTGCTGATGCATCATAGCAATTCTTCATCGGCCCCTTGATGGCCGACGGTGACGTATCCTTCTGCTCCGCCTCGTCAGGATGCAAGCGCATTTCAGAGCGCCACCGCATGCCCAACGGCCTCGTCCGCGGTCTCGACGGCCTCATCTACGTCCCGAGCTCCATGGCGGGCGGCGTGCAGGTGTTTGAAGTCCTTCCCAACAACAACGGACTAAAGAAGTTGGCCGACATTCCTGTGCCCTATTCGATCGACAACCTGTCCGTAGACGGTAAGGGCGACATTTACGCCGCCATCTTCCCGCGGGGCATCGAGATCCTCCAGGCGGCCAAGGACCCGCTGAACGCGAGGCCCAAGAGCGGTGCGGTGCGCATCCACAAGGAGAGAGAGGGTGTCTACGTGTGGGAGAAGATTATTGAGGATGGTGCTGGGGAGGTGTTGCCTGGGTCTACTACGGTAGTGCACGATGCCAAGACGGGGAGGTTGTTCTTTGGTGGTGAGTGCCGTTGTACACTGCACATGCCGTTTCTGACTGTATGAATTGTGTTTCTGGAAGTAGTGCTGACTTGATTAGGTGTAACATCGCCGTTCATTGCAGTCTGCGAGCCCGAGGACTGAGTGTGCATTGAGGTTCAATGCCGTCCCAGGCACAAGTGTTGATGTTGACTGTAAAGTTCATACTCATATCTACACTGGCTGAATCAATCCATCATGTCAAATTGAGATGACACAGCACCACCCAACTCAACATCTTACTACCTAGTGTCGCTAGCTATATAGCGGTGAATTTTGGAGGTCGCGCTGTGAAGAGGTTGAAATTGAGGGGAGATGGCAGTACTACTATTGGTGTTGCGAGTCTAAAGCACATGTGAAGAAACGGGAATGGTGGGCTTCCAGAAATGTTCATGCCGCTACAGGGTACCAGCGCTAAGTGAGATTCACATGGAATTTACTTACACGTGGGAGGCCCCGAGACATTGACTGACTCTTGCCATCGTCACTGTCATCAACCCTTCACCCATCTCAATCAAATCAGATCTAATGTGAAGGCGGTCTCATTCTCCCCGAATTGAATGACTTGCATGTATATACTTAGTTCACTAAATTGTTCGAAATTTCAAAATTGCAATGAGTTTGGTACCAGCATACACAATTCAAAGGTAGTCCTGTCACATCTCGCATCGTTCTTCACATGCCAAAAAACCCCCCCAACACCAAGACGTTTTCCCCAGACGGGCGAATCCCTGGAAGGGCTTAGCGGCGCGCCGGCCCTGCGTCATAGGGGCATGTGGGGGAACCGGGGGCTGGGAACAGGCCGTCTCCAGCGTGACTCGCCCAGAGCCGAACCCAGCCAGAATTCACCTCTAACCGTGGAGCAGCCAGGTTCCTGGGGCCGAGGTACCGCGCTCCTTGCCGCAAAGGTCATCCACCGCCCATCGACAACCACAAACGACTCCCGACCACAACCTATCCGTCTCAACTTCACACACCTCCGTTCCCCTTACCCCCGGTCCGAACCCTCCAAAGAATTTCTCCCGTAGACGTCGTCCGCTCTTGTCGCTCATTTACTACCTTTGCAAAAACGATCGCGAACTCCATGCGCTGAGGGGAAGATTTGTTCAATCGCGAGCGACTCCATCGTCGCATTCCGTCGTCCACTTTGGCACTTTGGGAGCAACGAATTGCCGAGGCTAGCCACTGCCACCACACATAGACGCAACACTCAGCAACAAACTTCGCCAATATGTCGCTCGCCGCCCTCGACGGCCTCAAGGTAGAGCTAACTATACGGGCGAGAAACAAAGTGCATGGGCTGACGCGCGCAACTACAGGCCGCAATCGAGCGCATCATCCTCGACCCCAAGTACCACGACATCCTCGCCGTCGTCAAAGGCGCCCGCAACGGAGCCGTCTACGGCGCAAAAGTCCGCTTTCCTCATGCCCTTGTGTATGTACCGCAGCCTCAAATCCGCCATCATGGTCAAGCAAAATGCTAACGTCAGGGCCTGTACAGCATGATATTCCTCTTCCGTTCGGGAACGTACGTTACCACCCTCCTGACCCCCGCGAAACCATATCCCGGCTAACATAGCAAACCCCCCAGACTCCGCCAAAAAGCAGGCCTCGTCTTCCGCGCGACCCGAACCCACGCCCGCAACCTCGCCAAGTTTGCGACAATCTACAAGCTCACAATGTACCTCTTGAAAAACTACGGGCCCAGCCCGGGCAAGGAGGGCCCCTACGACTCCTTCTTCGCCGGCCTGCTGGGCGGCTACATCGTCTTTGGCGGCCGCTCTCCGCGTAGCGGCAAGATCTCGAGCGTGAACCAGCAGATTGTCATCTACGTCTTTGCGCGCGTCGTCCTGGCACTCGCCCGCCTCGCCGTGGCCCCCGGCAAGGGCTTGCCCGTCGTCAGCCGCGACGATGTCTCGGCCAAGATTAGCTACTACGCGTGGCCCGTCTTTGCGAGCACGAGTTGGGCCATGGTCATGTACCTGTTCCGCTGGCAGCCGCAGGAGCTGCAGCCTAGTTTGAGGAGCAGCATGACGTATATTTACCAGCAGAGCAGCGAGTGGGATTCGCTGAGGAACTTTATCTGGCATAATAAATAGATTGGCGGCAGTTTTCTCATGGGAGTTTTTTTTTTCCGGTGGGTTGGATGGCGTGTACTATCAGATGATTGGCGTTGGTGGCGAGCTGTTCCCGGGTTTGGGTTTTTTTGTTATTGAATATGGTGAATCGGTGATGAGATTATCTAGTAGGGAGAATCCTGGTGGCATCTTGACAGTTTTGTGATATAGCATCATAGACAGGTCATTTCACTCATATACAAATACGATTCAGACGTTTACATTTACCACATGGGACTTCAATGGTCGCATGTTTTCTCAGTCCCTCGTACACTGGCATATTGCAATCGCGGGTATCCAGGTCCAGGCGTGCATCATGAAATTACGTGTATTCAACAATGGAACACGACCAGACCAAACCCAACTGCTTTCAACTTCGTACCTTCCCTCACATGACCACGAGAGCATCTGAGGCCAATCCAGTCACCAGCAACAGCAGGCGCCCCTCTAGATCGGGAGGTCAGGACAAACTGGGCTGGATGGCGGAGTGGTTTCTGGTTAACAATTAAATCGCCAACCAGCCTTACTCGACGACAGGCTTAGCGCATGCGAGAGTACCCGAGTTCGAATCCCAGCATGACAACTATAAATTTCCCAGCACGAGCACCAAGAGATGTAGCCACACTGGTGGTGAACTCTTTTTGGGGGGGTTGGGGGCCCACATACATGATAGGGGAGCCGGATGACCAGATCGCATCCTTTGTTTTCCCTTCTTCTCACGACTGAGATGGTTATCGGTGGGGACGAGATGAGACTCACCTACACCGAGGTACCCAAAGCGGCGATTGTGCCGACAGCGCGTGCCTCGCGTTTGTGGTGGAGGGCGGAGAACTAGTCCTCTGCGTCGTTGGATGGGCCGGGTTCAACGGCGGAGAAGTGGACGGCGGCCTTGTGACCCGCCTAGATGTTCGATTATTTGGAGCATGGTGTCGAAAGAGAGGGAGGGCCCCGCTATTGCGTTGAGTGCTTGCCGTGAAAAAGGTTCCGTTGCCTGGATGCCGCGCGGGGAGCGGAGGCGAGGAGAATTGGAGGGGGGCGATGGTGGTTTGGTGTAGGGCTGTTGTGGATTAATACTTAGACGTCGAACAATGAAGGAGGAAGATGTGAGGGTAAGACGCCTCGGACTGCGGAACGGGAGGATCATGGCATGGAATCGCAAAATTGATGTCTGAGGACCGAAGGCGATGTTCAGTGTTCATGTGCTCCAGGTATTCATATTCGGTGCCTTTGGGTCCGTTTGGAACTCGTTAATATGGTAGGTAGAGTAATGTCGCTTCATTCCAAAACAATGGAAGCGGTGGATGTTGAGTTGGAAATGAAGCCATCGCGAGATTCACTCGTCCTACCCCTGTTTGCTGCAGAATGTCATGTGCAGGGATATCCACAGCAAGCGGTTTCCATCGGAAACGGCGTGGCGTGTGGCTGGCAGAAACCCTGCCACTTCTGCTAACGAAATTTAGGAGATAAAAAAAACGCCACAGCAAAGCTAATCGCCGACGACCAAGATCCCGTCCCATCATCCCAGATCTCGGACCGGCAGACTTCAAATTGCAAGAAAAGTTCCCTCATGGAGGATTATCAATCATCTGCCCACGGTAGACGTGCTCTTTTTACGTACTAGGGCAGCAAATCACCAGAGAGGAACTCCGTCACTCAGTCATGGCATTTCGATCTCGAGATTACCTGATCTAGACCCCTCAAAGCTCACGCTGCAAAGTGCATCACAAACAGGCTTCATCCCACTCTGAGCCAAGTCCCCGCGGCTTCTTGGTGAAGCTTGGGCTTGTTGTTATTTGTTCCCGGCGAAATCCCGAGGTCCGGTAGTGCGGCAAGATAATGTGTGTGTGTGTGGGGGGGGGAGGGCAGCTGTCTGAATCGCCGGGCCGTTCGCCGCAACCTCGTGGCATTTCTCAGCACGTCAGAACTCGCCTCCGACTTTAAGGTTGTATGCTTCTGTTCCTGGTTCTTGGGCTCTTGTCAACGCCTCAGAAATCTTGGAACGGAGACTTGCAAGGCTGCATTCACGCTTCAACGATTGGACCCTGAGCAATGATGTTGACAGCAGACTACCAACAGGACGTTACCACGCTCGTTGAGCTCCCCATCATCTACCCAAGCATCCAAGGTACCAGGCCCTGGATGTAACTTGCGCGACAACATGTCATAAGCTGTCAAACTCAACCCCACCGACACCCACGCGACCCGTCTTGGTTGCCTCGCAGTCTCTGGCACCTCTGCTGTTCATCGTACTATGCCGATTTCTAAGCAAACCTATGAAAAACTTCGTCTGCCGACGTGGCTGCCCACCCAAGCCTCGAGGAGAGCTCGGACGCCCAACCCGCTTTTGGCAATATCGGGCCCAATTCGCCTTCATGATTCGTTGCTTCTAGGTTATCGCTTGTCATCGTCTATGTGCCCACACGGACCCGTTCCGTTGCGGAGCCGCAGTTCTCTCTACACTAGTCGGGAGACCTCGTCCGTGGTCCAAGGGGTTCGTTCGAGAACTTTTCCTTTTGCCTAGGAACACCGCGTGTAGCGCCTCACAGAGTAGGTCCTGGGATTTTTCCAGACTAACATTGGCATTCACCCAACCCACAACCACCCCTATCCCTCCCCTCTCATGGAGCAGCGCAAGGCACAAGCACCAGAACCCGGCTTCGGTTTCACCGCTCGGAGAGTGAGCGGACCTGGTGTCTCGCTGAGAAATGGACGGTAAGGCGTCGGACCCGCTCGCCGAGTTGTCGCCGTGTACGACGGAGGGGAGGTCATTTCTAAGCCGTCCAGGGCCACGGGAAAATCTCTTTTCGCCCAATAGATCAACAAACTCATGACGGGAAGATCTGGCTGTGGGGGCCACTGCCGAGGACTGCTCATGTTCCTAGTGGGACTCTCCAGATGATTCCACGACGATGCCATCCGTGGTGAGCGCTTGGTCGACTTACACCAAGTCTTTGGGACATACAAATACCCTCGAGATCTCCCTCCCCTCAAGTGAAGAAGAAGATCATCTCATGAGCATATATTGTCTTACAACTCTCTGATCTACAACATCTCTCATCTCTCTATTTTCGTTCAAACTGCATTTCTAGATACCCCCTTTCAACTTTCAAACCCCATCTTTCCAAACAATCACAATGGCCGCCGAGAACACCAAGCTCTTCCAGCCTCTCAAGGCCGGCAAGATGGAGCTCGGCCACCGCGTCGTCATGGCTCCCCTTACCCGCTACCGCGCCGACGACGAGTCCGTCCCCCTTCCCCTCGTCTCCCAGTACTACGCCGACCGCGCCTCGACCCCGGGCACCCTCATCATCACCGAGGCCACCGCCGTCTCCCCGGCTGACGTCGGCGACCTCGACCTTCCCGACTTCTCCACCCCGGCCCAGATCGCCGCCTGGAAGGAAGTCTTTGACGCCGTCCACGCCAAGGGCAGCTACGTCTTCCAGCAGCTCTGGTCCCTCGGCCGCGCCGCCGACCCGGAGTTCGTCCGGGGCCGCGGCTTCAAGTACTGCTCCTCCTCCGACGTCCAGATGACCGGCCGCCCCTGCAAGCCCGACGCCCTCACCGAGGAGGAAATCTGGGAAAAGATCAACAACTGGCGCGTCGCCGCCCGCAACGTCATCGCCGCCGGCGGTGACGGCGTCGAGATCCACGGCGCCCACGGCTACCTCGTCGACCAATTCACCCGCGACTCGGCCAACAAGCGCACCGACAAGTGGGGCGGCTCCGTCGAGAACCGCGCCCGCTTCCTGCTTGAGATCATCAAGGCCGTCGTCGAGGAGGTCGGCGCCGAGCGCGTCGCCCTGCGCCTGAGCCCCTTTGCCACCTTCCAGGAGTCCTACTCCACCGACCCGGACACCTGGGAGCAGACCTCGTACATTGTCCGCGAGATCAAGAAGGCCGGCCACAAGCTCGCCTACCTCTCCCTCGTCGAGGCCGTCGGCAACCCCGTCAATCTGGGCATCGTGCCCCGCCAGGTCACGGACGACGTCCAGCCGTTTGACGAGACCAAGCCCCAGACGCTCGACTTCATCCTCGAGGAGTGGGACAACATCTCCCCCGTCGTCGTTGCCGGCGGCTACCTCGGCGACAGCGCCCGCTGGGCCGTCGACGAGCGCTACGCCAAGTGGGATGTCGCCGTTGCCTTTGGCCGCTACTTCATCTCCAACCCGGACCTCGTCTTCCGCGTCAAGAACAGCGTCGCCTTCACCCCCTACGACCGCACTACTTTCTACAAGAAGAAGAGCAACGATGGCTACAACACGTACGAGTTTAGCGAGGAGTACAAGAAGGTCAACGGTGTCAACGGCTCTGCCTAAGCTTTTCGTTCCCAAAAAGACAGTGGGACGGATTAGGGGCTGGGAATGGGTTAGAGGATATGGGCATTTACATGCATAGCATTGGAGTTTTTGGGTTTTCCATGATAATAGATCTATGAGGGTCGATATAGACATAACATGAATACAATTTTCCTTTTGTCTACTTCTATGCCTGCCCCCGATGTGACGAAGTGAATTGTTGTCGAGAGCACCAGTCTTATCTGAAGATTCGATCCCGCGAATATTTGTTTGACCTACAACTTTTCGGGTACTCACTGATGCTTACCCAGCTAGGAAGGCATGGCTTGATAGCGGGGAACCTCGCGACATTGCCGTCCGGGACTCACCAGTTGAGGAAGCCTGGTTTAGTCAAGATTGAGATTGAAGTTCTCCAGTGACCATCATGCGTCAACAGGGTGTTCGTGTAACAAGTCATTGCCGTAGAACTGCAGTTCACGAGGCCAAGCAGAAAATGACGAAAAGCAGAGAACAATACAGCTTCATCATGACGACTACCAAAACGGATGGGGCGTTTAGGTCTCCTGATTGCGTGCAACCCTGTCGTGCCTGTATGGTAGCTGATCCAGGTACTTAATAGCTGGCTCGATGCGCTGGGTGATCGAGGGCGGTTCCACAAATTGCCTTTGACCGACATAACTATCACTTATTGTGAAAGCTGAGATTGTGAGGACGCAGTCAGGCCTGGTTGCCAATTTCAAGAGATTGGTGAGGTGTTGGCCAGAAAAACATGATGGATGCTGTCGTAATTAAGGTACATGATGCATACCTTACCTTACCTTGCCTTAACTTACAGTCGAATGCCATGCCGCATTGGCAACTGAGGCACGGAACAGCAATAACGGCAAAAGAGGAGCTGGCGGCATCTGTGTGGAGCAGAAAGTCCGGTCGGCGGCCGGAAGAAGGACAAGAGATGTGTGGTCCAAGCGTCCACCCACCCCAAGCGAATTTCGACCAAAAAGATCACATGACGCGGTAGGAGGGCAACCGAACCCTACCAAAAAGTGCGAGTGGGGCGATTTGGTTCGCAGAGAAGCGAAACCTCCAAGCGACTGGAGCCCCAGCACCCTTTCCAAAACTTCGACACCACCGGCAATTCAGCTTATTCGCCTTCGATAGACCGCATCGAAAGCGAATTCCCTGGCAACTCACAACCCGCAAAGATGGCTGACGACCCCGAATACGTACGTGCGAATCTCCTCCTGTTTCCCTGAGCGATGGAAAAAAAAAGAAGCAAGCAATTTCGACCGACGCGCCCGCGACAATGAAAAAACTGGGGGAGGGACTTGTTGCGTGGTGGCGTGGGCTACATATTTTGGAACAGAACAGTTTTTGGCTGACTGGATGGACGCATATAGAACGCCGAGGAGGCTGCCGAGCTCAAGAAGAGAAGAGCGTTCCGCAAGTTCCAGTACCGCGGAATCGACCTCGAGGCGTACGTTTGCCCATCATCCCACATCCCACCACCAGACACACTACGCACCCCACGATCGACGAACACCACGATGATTTCATCACCCTACTCCTTCTCCACACACTTCCACGATCCGAAGACACCAACGATCAACCGAAACGTATGAGGGAAACAGCCCAAGCTAACATGAGTTGTTCCATAGTCTCCTTGACCTCGACTCTGAGCAGCTCCGCGATGTCGTCCACGCCCGTGCCCGCCGGCGCATCAACCGCGGTCTCAAGCGCCGCCCCATGGGCTTGATCAAGAAGCTCCGCAAGGCCAAGCAGGAGGCCAAGCCCAACGAGAAGCCCGACCTCGTCAAGACTCACCTCCGTGACATGATTGTCGTCCCCGAGATGATCGGCTCCGTCATTGGCATCTACTCCGGCAAGGAGTTCAACACCGTCGAGATCAAGCCCGAGATGGTTGGTCACTACCTTGCTGAATTCTCCATCTCTTAGTAAGTACCCCCCTTCCATGTGCTGCTTCCACGCAGCGATTCCTTCGAAACAATACTAACAGCCCACCAGCCGCCCCGTCAAGCACGGAAGACCCGGTATCGGTGCCACGCACTCTTCTCGTTTCATCCCCCTGAAGTAAGGGAGAGTATGGTTGTGGGCTGTCTATGGGAGGTTCTTGCATTCAAACGGGCATCAAGGCGAAACGGGAAATGGTTTTGGTAGCAAGGCAAGGCCGCTATCATGTTGTTTGGGCGATGATAGTTCAATACAACATCGTTGTCCGCTAAAAAGTTTGAGCCTCAAAATGGGAATGAATTCAACGAAGAGATACCAAAAGTACATTTCACTCTTCCACTTCTACTTTGCTGTGACAGCCTGCCTGTGGCAATCTTGCTATTCGACGGATAAGGAATTCCAGTGACAGGAAGTGGCCACTTTCTTCTTCCAACTTAATTAAGCCCTGGTTCATGTAGGATGTCATCCATTGGACCCACCAAAATCACATCGACCAAACTGAGCCAAGGTACTTCGAGGCACACACCACTTGAACAACACCGAAAAGGACACCTGCATGTACACTGGGCATCCGTAACAACGGCATGAAAAGCACCTTGGGTATATCTATGTCCATCTACTCACCCTCCTTCACCACTCTCATCACAACTCATCCTTTCCAACCAACTTGAGCTGCGCCTTCTCATGCGCATCAAGCCTCTCATACAGATCCTTGCTCCAGTGGCTCGTATCCCCCTTGTTCTTCTCCATAATCGACTTGACCGCAACCTTCCAGTTCTCGTCGCTGACGCGGTCGGCAATCCTCTTGGACCTGTCCGCCTCAGACGCCTTGAACAGGGGCCAGACGCCCACATCGGCGCCCATCTTCTCGTCGAGGAAGCTGTCCAGTACGAGCTGGCCAGCTTTACGCTGCGCAGTCTCCCATTGCGTGTCTTCCGGTGCCAAGACCTCGAGGAGGCGGTCCATGCCCTTGTTGGCGATGAAATCGTCCCGGATGGTCGGGCTCTTGACGAGACCCTTGATGGCGGCGACTTGCGCCTTGGCCTTGTTCGCGGCGCGGAGGACGTCGTGGTCGGCGGCACCGCTGCTCTCAGGTGAGCGCACAAACGAGGCGTAGAAACCGTCGCGGACCTTGAGCTGTGGTGCCTTGTGGAGGGAGCGGCAGGATGAGTCCATCAGCTGGGGCCAGACCTTGGTCACCTCCTCGAGGGCGGTAGGGTTGTTCTGAAGGGCGCCGGAGATGATGGCGGCCGCTTGCTGGTCGCGGGGCACCGCGCCCTCAGACGGCGCGGGCGTCTTGGGGTCGATCATGAGGCAGAAGAGGGATTTGACGGTGTCAAAGGTCTCTGTTATTTTGAGGCCGTAGTAGATATCGTGTGAAATGTCTTCGAGGAACTCAAGAGCCTCGTCCATGGGAAGGTCGCTTCCGTGGGGTCCCTTTTTTACGTATTCGAGGCTCGTGTAGAATTCGCCCGACTCCTCCTTGGGCTGTTTCACTGCGCCGACAGGTTCGTACTTTGGCGCGTCCTTGGGGATCTGCGCCTCCTCGGGAGTTTCCGAGTCCACCACCACGATGGAGCGGTCAACAGGCAGGCCCTCGAGTTCCGGGTTCTTCTCGGTTGGATCGTTGATCTTGGCCTCCTTTTTGCCCGTGTTGATGTTGAGGCGTACGTGGAGTCCATGTGGTAATTCTTGATCATCGTGAACTAGCTGAAACTCCTCCGTGGGTTGGAAAATTTTGGGATAGCATTCTGATGTGTTGTCGGTGTGGCAGATGAGCTCTACTTCGGCTGAAGGTGAGGGCGCTGATGGTGATGAGGCGGAGGCTGATGATGCGAAAAAGACGAGGCCGAGAACGACCATAAAAATCGTGAATGGGAGAAGGGACGCGCGGGTTGATCTCCTCGAAGCCATTTTTGGCTAGTTTAACTGAGGATTTCGACTTTTTGATGTTATTGGTTGCCAAGAAGTTGGTATGGATGATTCCAATGAGTTGAGCCGGGTGAAGAGGTACGATCTTATCTCGTGTACAAGACCAAAAAGCGCTAAGTTGCTGAATGAGATTGTGGGTGAGGTGGACCTCTAGTAACTTAAATCTTGACTCGATCTGACGATGTGAGTTGATGCAATGAAAAGTGGTTGAAGAGATACACGCCTTTATACACACCCGCGAGATTAAAAATGAGTCAACAATTAAAAAGGACAGTTTACCATCACGAAATAGAAATCCGTCGAAGTCATCCGTCTGGCCAAGTTGTCTCCAATAGCCCCATTAAGAGGCGATTTCACTTATTTGAATTCGGCAACTGATGATTGGCCCACCAGCCGCGACTGTCCGCGCTTGAACGCGCTAGCGCTAATCCACGAAAAGTGACGCTCCTCCGGCACCTTGGATCAACCTCCACCAAGCCGAAGCTCCCTCCTCGAGAGACGCCCTACCCAGCAACCGAATTCCCATCGTCAATTGACACCCCGTTTCCGAAACGTCATACACGATGCAGGCCATTCGAACGCGGGCTGTCTGCATCGCGCGTCAGTCACGGCTGACTGGCCTGCGCCAATCGAGAACCTACGCCTCCGGAGGTGACCACGGCCACCACCACGCCCACACCGTTGAGGAGCCCATTGGCGTACGTCCTGCGAACAACCCCTCCTTTGTCGTTCAATTGGCCGTCGCTGTGCTGTTATCTCTCAATTGATATCAATTGGCTGACTCGAGACTCTGTAGAAATTCTTCTGGGCCGTCGTCGCTGTTATCCCGTCCGCATACGTCGTCTACAAGATCACCGCCCCCGGCAAGGACGGCGAGCCTCCTTACCTCACCACCAAGATCCAGGAGGCGTGGCACTGGCAGGAGACATGGAAGGAGAGAAACGCTCTGCACACCAAGGCCGTTGAGCAGGCTGGATTCGACAGACTGCTCTTCTTCTCCACCCCTGCCAACCGCGATGTCGACCTCAGATTCCCCGAGTATGCCTCCCCCAGAGCATCCCCTTGCCATACGGAAGGCGTCTGGCTCCGTACAGTGGAAGAAGAAGAAAAGAACGGAAGCTAACAATTGATGCGCAGGGCCATGTCCAACTTCGCCGCCCGCAACGTTGTTGCCGGTTCCCAGACCAACCTGGACCACGTGATCGCCCACTACAAGAAGCAGCACCTCGAGGAGGAGGAGCGGAAAGTAAAGAAGCTTGCCGCGCAGAAGCAGGAATGAGAGTAGGGTTTGGTGTATGATACCGTTACATAGATCAACTCGAGGTTGAATCAAAATTTCCAATTCTTTTGTTACCAGTTGACCCTTCTACAGTCTGTTATGGAAAATAACCGACCAAGACGAAGACGAAGTGCCGCGGCTTCACTGATTTGCTTGATCTTTATTGATGCTGGAGCAGCGGCTATTGACTCTCTAAATGTCGGCCATGCTTGTGCCTTGTCTAAGGGCAAGCCTGCCCAGCTATCTACTGTCTGGCATTGAAGTGGGAAACCGCACTGTGTGTATCCGGGCCACGGACCTGTCTTGCTTGCAGAGCGAGTCCTGCAGTTCTACTCTCTCCTGTTTCTTGTCGCTCCGTCATCAGAGACACCATCTCCTTCACCGACTTCCTTCCCATAATTGATAAAAGTGAATCCCTATCATCGTCACAGAGAGCAGGTAAGCTACTCAAGGTACTTGGCGGAGATATGGCAGCCGCAGGTTCTGACTTCCTCATCTAGGACTGTAGATAATACCAGCGACGCCGCGTTACTCGCGACTACCATATTGTGCCATTTCATCCCACTTTCCTGCCGTTGGAAGAGGGAGGTAGTGAAGTTCCTTCCGATATGGCAAGTACATCAGATGCCCAGTTGTCTCACCCAACTCTAGCTGGTAGTATCCCGCCGCAAGTAGTTCTTGAGCGCCTGATAAGGTGTACCTATCAAAGAACGTGATCGCATCCCGTACCTGCCACTCATATCGTCTACGAGGTAAAGTGGCGTTGGTGCACCTCTCTCTCCTCTCGGGGCTTCCTTCTACTGCTGTCTTCTCTCTTCTCGACCTCTGCCTCTTCTGCTCCCATCTTCTGTTACTTTTCTCCTGTATATGCTCGTTCGACAGACTTCGTCTTTCATCACAATCCGCATTGTCCCCAAGCCCTTCTTGGTTGTCCATCCATTCTTCTTTCTAATTAATCTATCAGAGTATTCGTCGACTACTTAGATATTTCGTCCACCACCCACTACACGTAACACAAGCTTCACGTTGTCGCCGTCGCCATGTCGATACTACCCATGCCTCACGTGCTCACGTTCATAGAAGGGCCAAGGAGAGCGGTAAAAAAATACGAAGCTGGAGCAGCCATCTACCAGGGCCCGGCCTTGTTCAGGCTGACCAGTTTCCAACCAGAAGATGACCAGTTCTCTGATTTCTAGGAGGGATTGACAGTGCCCGCTGCCCACGCAATCAAGACACTTTACAGGGACTACTGCCCACGGCTGGAGGAAGTTCCTCATTCGCGACACATAATGAACGCTATGCACCATTCCATACTGTGCGAGTTCATGAACAACATTGGATTCATGGTATTCGGAAACCATCTCATACCTCTCGACCCTGCCGAGCTCCTTCCCTTTGGCGACCCGAATGGAAACGCCCGGTTCACCGGTTATTACAATGACACTATTTCCGTTTTCAGAGCCACACGGGACATCGCCGCGGGCGAGGAAATTCGGATGTGTCGTCCGTCATACATATGTCTCTGCCCGCTATGCTCTATTCCGCCACCAGCCGTAGCCTTGCGGCTTAACCCCGGAGCCTTCCCGTTGATTCCCGCCTCCGGCAGCTCCGCTAGCGGCCGGGCCGTCGATGGAGAGAGACGCGAGGAAGCCAATCGAGGCGAGGAGAGAGAGAACAGCGAAGAAAGCAAGGAAGCCGAGGAAGATGAGGAAGTACGGGAAGACGTCAAGATCTCTAAGCGAAATAAGGGCAAGGGCAAAGCCATCGACTACGTTATCGACAACGGTGAAGGCCCCAGCAGCTCCAAAGAGGAGCGGCAGGCCACAGACCCCTACTCTGGTTCCGGAGATGGTCCTTTTTCCTTTCGAGCAGCCTTGGCGCTACCGGCTTCGGGGCCTGGACTGCCGAGGACCCTTGATCCGCTCAGGATGAACCCTGCCAACCTGTCCACTGGTAACCAACAGCAGAACAAGGCTGCCAAATCCGACAGCGGTGGTGATTCAGAACATGTCGAGAATGTTACCAACAACGACGGCGCGAACGACGTGCCCCAGGACAAGAAGCCAAGTCGCGCGGCCAGATTCAAACTGGTCTTGAAGAAAAAGTTTGGAATCAAAGACAAGTCTGAGGTCGATCACCAAGAGGTCAGCCACAACAAGGATAACCAAGCCGAAGGCGACCAAATCGAGGATAATCAATCCGGGGTCAAACAACCTGGTGACAGCCAACAGGCAAGCGAACATCAGGAGTTGGCGTGATATTTCCAATTCCGAGGGCTTATGGCAGACAAGGATTAGAAAGTAGAGGGCATCGAGTGTAGTCTCAATAAACATACATACGAGGAGCCGAACCTGCACCCTTTGCGTGATTCAATGACACAAACTTTGTCAAAGTAGCAAATAAAAAGTTGGAAAAAACCCCTGAACCAGGATGGCTGGAGGCAAAAGTCTACCACACCCATGAAGGATGGAAACCAGTCACGTAGTGTAAACTGATGCTGTGAAGCACATCTAGTTGGTCACCCGAGAATAGCAATGGTTCAGTTAACGTGTTCATTACTGGGCGTGATGCTCATAACCTTTCGCAAGCCTTGTCTCTCATCAATGCCATCATCACAGGACAGCGAACGAGCCACAACAAGAAAGCGGATGCTGTAAAAAAGCTCTCAGACCCACCAAAACCGTTGTGCCAGAAAAAAATCCCCTTGCCAGTTTCTCAGCGCGGCACGACATATTCTAGCTGACCCAAATCATTGGTATGAGGATGCAGCCGAACCGTGTCGCATTATCTCCCGCACGCACCTTTAAGATCCTCTCGGTAATTTTCCTTCTCCCCGTCTGAGTTGGAATCGACCTTTTCTCGGACCAGTCCCACCACGCAAGCTTTGCTTTAGAGCTCATCGGGGATACAACGTCTTTACGAAGCCTTTGTTTCCCTTCTGGAAGAGCTCATAAGATGAGCATAACAATTTGGGGGGGAACCAAGTCGGTTACTCGAACCTGCCTCCTCTCCGGGGATTATGTCACCGAGATCCGCTCGGTTGCGAGGGAGAGATTGCGCCTCCTGGCAGTAACGGCTCCCTTAGAAGCCGTGGACTTTGACGAGCTATTGGGGGGGAATTGGGGTTAGCCATGTCTTGAGTTTTCTATGCGGGGAAACTGGAACGTGATTGTCTCGACGTGGATATTGGGGGGGGTTAGTAGTGATCTGACGTACCTTGGCGTCCATCTCGAGACCCTCTTGCTTGTCGATGAGGAAATCGTGAATAGCCTTGCGCTGGTCACCTGTGTATCACGATTGTTAGCTTTGCTTGTTGCGTACGTAGGGTTGCAGTGCATCTCCATGCTCGGAGCTCGCTCCAGCGGCCCTCGGTCGAAACGGGCTTCTGCCGACAGCGCGAGAGAGAGCACAAGACGATTCCCGTCGCCAGAGAGAGAGAGAGAGTGTGTGTGTGTGTTTCTTGACGTACCCTGAAGCTGCAGAACCTCACCGAGATCCTGGTCCTCCACAATGGTGCCGTTGCAGGCAAACTTCTTCTTTATGACCTTGAGAATCTTCTTCTGGTCGAAGCGCTTGGGCAGGCCCTGGATGGTGGTGAGGGTCTTGCGGCCATTGCGCTGCTGGATGCGGATGTGGATGTAGTCCTGGCCCTTCTTCTGCTTATCCGCGTCGCCCTCGTCCGCGTCCGCGAAGGGGTCGATGGTCTTGAGGTTTTCGATGGTAGTCATGAGAAAGAGCTTTGCGCGCGGGGCGAACGACTGTCGGATGCGTTGATGTTACTAAATTTGGGCGATTTGACGCGTATCGTTTTGTGTTCCTTGTGGATTGAGGAACAGAAGGTCTGGGTAGGAAGATCGAGGTATGTGTATGCTACGTGGTGAGGCTGAGAAAAAAGGCCTTGAACAGAAAGGCGGGAGTTGGTGGGATGGAGTAGGGACGAGGCGGGGTTGAAAGGTGGGAGAAGGGTGGGGTCCGTGCTTGGGCGGTGATGGTGGGGCCCTTTTTGAGCTTTCGGTGAAGTTCCATCTGAACAGCATGAACAATTAGGTAGTTGACAGGCACACAAAGCTGCACTGCCACGACTGATTGCCGCCCTCCCACACCCACCCTCAAAGCAGAGAAAGTCGGTGAGCTTCTCCAGCTTTGTTCCAATGGCTGTCGATCTTTGATTATCCCCCTCGTCGTACCTTGCATTAGCCACCTGCAAGTGTGGCGCATACAGACATCTCTTCTTGCCCTGAATCCCCAGCCAAGGGATTGGGCAGCATATTGAAGAGGGTTTCCCGATTATTTTCACACCAATTCGTACCTGTCTTAATCTGTGACACTTGTAAGACAGCTTTCATCATGACAGAAGTAGGCAGTGGCATAGAAGTACGCGGCGAGAAAGGTAGTCCCAAGGGCCGCTCGCTCCACACGACACGCAGCTTCGAGCCGGGCGACATCATCGCCCAGTTCAACAACCCGGCCGTCGTGCTCCCGCCGGGTCCACGCGCGCTAGAGTACTGCAACCACTGCCTCAAACAGCAGCGGCAAAAAGAAGAATCCGTCCCGGCCACGGAGAAGCTCCGCGCGTGCACGGGATGTAAGACGGTGGCGTACTGCGGGCCTGCGTGCCAGCGCGCCAACTGGTCCGTCGTGCACAAGCTTGAGTGCAAGGCGATTCAGAGACTTCACAAGACTAAGCCGGCGGACCAGCCGAACTGGGTGCCGACGCCGGTGCGGGCGGCGGCGCAGGTTATGTTGCGGCCCAAGGTGATGGAGAAATTTGAGGAGCTGGAGGGTAATGCTGAGTCGTGGCGCGGCAAGGAGATGGTTAAGTTGCAGCTTCAGGCGCAGGGGGTTGTGAGGTGTCTTGATGTCGATGAGGTTTCGGTCGAGTTGTTGGAGAGTGCCTTTCAGGTTCTGTGCAAGGTGCGTTGTGTTACTCTTGAAATTTCCAAGTTGGGTAGACCCTGGGGGCTAACAGTGCTATAACAGCTTCAAACAAATGCTTTCAGTGTGTCAGCGGATGACACTGATGGTGTTTACTTGGACACCACACTTGCCATGATGAATCACTCATGCAGCCCCAATGCCGTGGTCCAGTTTGATGGCAGGTCAGCCTCACTCCACGCAATGGCTTTCATCGAGTCAGGGGATGAGGTCGAAATATCTTACATTGGTAAGTCGTCGTCTTAGGTGCATGCATCTCTGTCGCGTAAACGTACCTCGACTAAGCCATCAAAGACGAAACTCAGCCAAAGAGCAAAAGACGGGAATATCTGGGATCGTATCACTTTGAATGCAAGTGCTACAAGTGTATCGACGACCTGGACGACTATCAAATTGCCCAGAAGGATCAGAGGGTTGCGAAGCTGAACGAGCTGAGTGTAACGCCTGATATCGAGAGATTCAAAAACCCTCATGTGGCCGAAAAAGATCGCCTGCGGCAAGCTATCGAAGTTACAAGGCTTCTAGACATGTTTCCTGCGCAGCCCCGCGACATGGAGCCCCAGGCGAAACACAAGTGGCTGAGGGAGGCGTACAAGTCGGCCATATGGTTTCCCAAGAATGGCCGATGGGCCATTGAGCCCTTTGCTCAGCTCGTGGACGAGGCGGCGGTCTATTTTGGAAAGAATCGGGGCAATCACGAGTGCGCTTTGGCCATGGCCTGCCTGATGGCCTATGAGATCGCTCCGTACAAGTTTCCCGTCCCGTTCCACAACGAGAGGGCAAGGGGCCTCTCTGCCATTGCAATCGCGCTGTCTCAAACAGCGCCTGAGCCGGAGAAGCTGGTCAAGCTGGCGAGGGACATGGCCGCGAAGAAGAAATTCTCTGCCGCCGGGGTCAGAGTATTGGAGAATCTCGACCAGGTGTCAATGTGCCAGATGGTTTTGTCATTGATCAATGGGTATAAAGACCGTACGCCGAAGATCGACTGGGGTGGTCTTGGTCCGTTTAGCTGGTATAGCGGGATGATTGCTGAGATTGAGAGTCTTCCAGGCAGAGACAGGGAGAATAGCTTGATCAACGCATGGATCATGAATCCAAAGGGGATGGACGACTTCTTCAGGTACGCTCTGGTAAAGCCGGTCAAGGCGTTGACTGAGCTTGGAAAGGCTGTGTTGGAAGTGGACTTGGGCGAGGACTGCGATTTGTCTGCTAATTGATACCCCTGGACGAGACCAAAAATCCAAAACAAACATCCTTTGTGAAGTCTGAGCTGCCTACTAGAGTATCAAACCTTGCTGTTCGCAGGTAAAGAAGACCTTGGTTTCTTGATACTCCTTTTGTCAATGGCGCTCGATCTGGTGAGCCTTGGGCTTTTATTCTCTTCACCAGGTCCGGCCGTTTTCTCTACTGGTGCCCTTCGTTTGCGACTCGTACTTTGCTGGACTTTGAGCGAAGCGGAGGTAGGTTCATTGAGAATCCGGGCATGTGCTCCCTGAAACAGGTCATTCGACCCTGGATCGATGGAATTCGGAATCCCAGATGTCTCCGAACTCTTGGATGGTCGAGTCGGAGCGAGTTGCAATTCCTCGCAAGGTTGGGAAGGACGCTCTGCACTCGCCTCGAGACGCTGTATCCTGCTCTTGAAGAGGTCAAACTCCATCTGCAGTGTTTCCACTTGATTTGCCCGGGCTCCAATCTTGGTGATGTTGCTGGTCAAGATATCCAACTCCCGCGAGGGTATTTGCTGTTTTGACGGGTCGAGTTTCTTTTTTTGGTCTTGCTCTAAGACTTGTCTCAACTGCCGTAACTCAGTTCGTAAACTGGCCATCTCCTTGGCGCTGTCCTTTGCCATGTCGAGGCTGTCTTTCGCGGTTTCGGTTGCACTTTTCACTGTCGCCTCTAGGCCCACGGTTACGCTTTCGAGCCTTGTGTAGTCCTCTCGCGCCGATTGGAGATCTTTTTGAATCAGGCTATTCTCCTCTCTAGCTTCCTCGAAGAGCTTCTGCATCTCAGAAATCACTGTGTTTGCCGTCCGAACCTGGCGTTCCAATCGAGACAGTTTGGGACTGTTCTGCAAAGAGGATTCCCCACCAGATGTTTCCAGCTTGAACGACTTCAAGTCGGCTCTGTGAAGGTCGAGGTCGTTTTGATGCTGATCCATAGTTGATTTGAGTCTCGTCATCTCCTTGTCGATGCGCGAAACAGCGCCATCGAATTGTGACACCACTTGAAAACCAGCGGTATCGATCCTCTCAATGTTTTCCTGCTGCGTATCAAGATCTAATCGCAAACGAAAGAAGTCAATATTCTCAGAGTTGGGCGATCTCTGACTGTTTCCAAAACCGGATCCTTGACGTGAATCTGAGTTAAAAGGAGCGTTCGTAGAGTACGATCCAGGGCGAGTGTCAACCCGAAGCTTCAATTTGCGGCATACATCGAGCTCTATGGGCTTGCCATTCTTCTTCAAAAATACAACAGAAGTCTGTCTGAGAAGTATTTGCGAGCTACTTCGGGTGAGTCCTGGGACCGTCGAGTTACGAGGTTGACTTACTCTTGAAGCACATGGTTGACTGGGCTGCTAAGACACTTGAGACCGATGGTATTATCACATTTGGCGCAAGAGACGTCTTGAAGCTCACTGCAAGAATCAGTCTGTCATTGCACACAAGAAATGGCGAATGTTCCCTTACCACTCGGCAACGAGGTAACCTGCTTCACCAATCCTGGTGGGTTCCTTGGCAATGATCTTAGTATTACCTTGGGCCTCAATCGTCGGACTGAAATAAGATTTTCCAATCTGAGTCCACAGATTGAAGAAACTTGCCAGTTTTGTCTGACATCTTGCGCACTTGCACTGGATAATCTCCATTTCGGTGAATGCTCGAAATACCTGCGATGGCACGGATTTATGAACTTGGGGCTTCGCGACGCCAAGGGACTACCGGTATGGCTGGTGGCCGTTGGCTCAGAAATTTGATGAAGGACGACGATTGGAAAAGGTTGCGTCCCAGAGACACATGGTGAAAAACGTAGGGTACCTTAGGTATCTAAGGTTGATGCTGCGACAGAATGCGACAGACAACCTGGGTGCGTGCCTGCGTACCTGCCTCATTTCAGTCCCTGTCGACCGGGAAGGAGCTCGAGGCCGGGGTCCCTGACCGTTGAGGCTTATCTTATCTTGCACCCAGCCGATTAGGTTGGCTCGCCCCGCAAAACCAACAATCAACGGTCGCATTTGTGCTTTCCACCTCAGTCAGGGAACTTTTTTTTCTTGAGCTCCCATCTGAAAACTCACCCCAACACATCGACAAGCACACCCCCACTACCTTACCTACCGCGGCGCAATTCGATATATTGCCATTGGACCTTCTGAAACCCTCCAGATTACCATCGGCAGCAATTGGACGCGAGGACATTATGGGAAAGCGCCGCAGAAACCGCGACGAAGGTGGGGAAGGTGCCATCGTCGCCTCTGATGATGTCCCCGGAACGACCTCCCAGACCCACGAAGCGACAGCCGAAACCGAGACAGGGACTGGCGAGACTAGTTCGCGGGAGAGCTCCTCAAATACTCAAAGCAGTGGCAGCTTGAAGAGAAGTGCCCCTGACGATGATGACGAAGGATGGACCAAAGTCGAGCGATCCAACAAGAAGCGCAAGAAGGTCCCCCGAGAGGGCTCCAACAACTATCCCGCAATTAGCTTCTCTACGAGTGCAAAGCTATTTTCCAAGATTAACCTCGCCATGCTTCGCGACCTTGTCCTGTACATATTCGCCGATGGAACGGGCCCGAACTGGGTATCTGTTTCTCACAGACCGAACTTCAGAAAGATGGTTGTGTTGATGGTGCCTGGATTGGAGGAAGCCATGTTCAAGGAAGGAGTGAACTTCGACAACTACACATCTGGCCCAGCTAGGAACCAGGACCGGACGGAAACGACGCCCGACGATTACTACCCACGAGCTCTATCCGCAGACCAGCTGCCGGTTGCGCTCCAGGGATTCGCCAAAATGTTCCCCCACTTGTGGCCCGTCAAGGCGCCTGGTGACGACAAGTACATGAAGCTTCACTCGCCCATGGGAACGTTCTTAACAGCACCGATGCCTAAGAACAAGGACGACAGGAAGGGCCCCAAACCGGCAAGAGAGCCCTCGGGATGGAAAAATGAGCGAACTCGCATAACCGAATTCTTGGCATCACTCGAAGAGCTTGAGACCGCTGGTCATCTCATCCACCCTGCGCTCATTGAGAACGAGGAGAGGAAAGCGGCTTTCAAGGTTCCCGAAGGATGGGCTATTTCCAAAGTTGACAAGATCGAAGACGGCGAGGTACCCGAAGCGGAGATAGAAAGTGGCAGCGTGACTGCTGGCCGGGAGTGTCTCGCCTTGGATTGCGAGATGTGCATGACAGGAGAGAGCGAATACTCTCTCACCCGTATCAGCGTCATCTCTTGGTCGGGAGAGCTCATCATGGACGAGCTGGTGAAGCCAGAAAAGCCCATTACCGACTACGTCACCCGATTTTCCGGCATCACGGAGGAAATGCTGAAGCCGGTTACGACCACATTGAAGGACATTCAACAGAAGTTGGTTGACCTCGTCACTCCGCGCACGATCCTTATTGGACATTCGCTCGAATCCGATTTGAAGGCTCTGCGATTCTCACATCCCTTCATTGTCGATACCTCCTTGATCTACCCTCATCCTAGAGGCCCACCTCTGAAGGCGTCACTGAAGTGGCTTACTCAGAAGTACGTTAACCGTGAAATCCAAAAGGGCGGTGCCAACGGACACAATCCCATCGAAGACTCCCGCGCCTGTCTCGATCTCGTCAGACAAAAGTGCGAGAAGGGAAAGCTGTGGGGTGCATCTGATTCCCAGGGTGAGAACCTATTCCGACGACTAGCAAGAGCGGGTACTGCGTACAAAGCACAGGGCGGAGAGGCAGGCGGGTTGGTCACCGGAAAGACAAGCGCTGCTGTCGACTGGGGTGAACCATCAAAGGGCCCTGGTGCTGGAGCAACCTTTCAAATAGGCTGCAAGTCCGACGCGGACGTTGTCAACGGCGTCATCCGTGCTGTGAAGGGAGACCCTGATGGACTGGAAATCCCCGGCGGTGGTGTCGACTTCGTCTGGGGTCGCATGCGAGAGCTTGAGGCGTTGCAAGGGTGGTGGAACAAGAACCGAGTCGAAAGCGCCAGCAGTGATGGAGGCCCTCCTCCTTTGGACCAAACTCAATTCGAAGGAAAGCTCGGTGCATCCCTTCTTGAGCAGTGCTTGGCCCGTTTGTCAGTTTCTCTCCAAGCTATCCACGACAGCCTTCCGCCCTGCACGGCATTCATTGTCTACTCGGGCTCTGGTGATCCTCGTGAGATGAGCAGACTTCAGGCCATACACACGCAGTGGAAGCGAGAGTACAACACGCCTGGAAAGAAGTGGGATCAACTGTCAGTCAAGTGGACGGACGAGGAGGAGCAGGCTCTCCGACGCGCTGTCATCAAGGCCCGTCAGAGTATCGGCTTCATTGGCGTAAAATAGATAAGAGTCCACGAGGGAAACATCCGGCAGCTGCGGTTCATGCAAAGGAAAAAAGACATACGGCATTTGAAAGATCCCGAGTATAGGGAAGAGTCCTCAGATGAGGGACTCACGGATTAGTGTTCATACATGATACCCATAACCTAGGTCATGACATAGAAGACTACCAGTAGCTGAGAGAAAACATCGCCTCTATATACGGTGAAGAGTGCGAAGGTAGGAAGACATTGAATCATCTCAGGGCTCTAAGAGGATGGATATCATCAGGATTCAGCCGAGATTGCTGATAATGTTGTTATCGAAGACCGGCTAACTACATCACGGTTGTCGGATTAAATTGCCTAAAGAGGAACGCAAAGATGTTGTAATTAGCACGAGCAGTGACATGTTTCTTGTACACCCATGCGCCACTCACATGCGCGTTTCGGAGTCGAGAGCTCCAAAGGAACTGGGGTCGGCGCTCACCCCACTGTTGTTTTCTCTCAACCTTGGGAACCTGATTGGTTACCCCGCCTCCGGCTGCGGAGAAAGATATCAACCGTATGCCGCGCCTAAGCCCCCCGCCGGCCTGCCTCGGTATCTTCTCGGAGACGCAGCCGCTCAAGATTGGTTGAATTACAAACCAGTCACATCCCACCTGTCTACCAACTCAAGCCCAACCATACTTAACCCAAACTCTCTAGAAATTGGCCTTCCCAACGGTTCTAGGGCAATCTTCTCTGTAGACATTTCAGCTACGGTTGCCGCAATATCGAATCGAGAAGCTCAGCTTCCTACCCTTCAAAATGTCGTTCATGGGTGGTGCAGAATGCTCGACCTCCGGCAACCCCCTCAGCCAATTCCAGAAGCATGTCCAAGATGACAAGACTCTCCAGAGAGATAGATTGGTGCAAAGAGGCCCGAATGCGCTCGCCGGTGGCTTCCGAAGCGCGGGCGCAAGCACCCCGCAGGATGAGGTACGCATACAGCGGCTTCCCCATGTCCCGGACTCCTTTGAACTAACCGGTCCCTACAGATGATGAACGGTTTCCTTAACAAAGCCCCAGGTCTCCAGCAAGAACTCCCCATGCAAAACGGCGCCGTCCGAATCGACCCGAACCAGGGAGTCCACCTCCGTGCGAACTCAACATCACCGACATGGGCGGGAGACTTCCAGAACCAAGCTGCCATGGAGTCGGCATTCCAACAACCCCCCGGAACCCAATTCAGCCCCGAAGATTTTGCGCGCTTCAGACAGATGAGCCAGCAACCCTCATCGGCGAGAGCAAGCCCCATGCCTGGTCAGATGGCTCAACAGCCGAGAATGGGTATGGGAATGAACATGGGGATGGGGATGGGAATGGGAATGGGTTACAACAGCATGATGGGCCAGCCCACTTTCCAGCCCATGTACCAGCAACCTATGCAACAACAACACGAGGACGCCAAGGGCAAGGGAAAGTTAGTAGAGCTCGACGATAACCAGTGGGAGGAACAATTTGCCCAAATGGAGTTGCAGGAGAAGGAGGAGCAAGAGGCCAAGGCTGCGGAGCCTGAACTGGACGAGATGGACAGGGCAATGCAGAGTGAGACAGGTTTCGGCGATTTCGAGTCAATATGGAAAGGAATCCAGGCTGAAACTGCTGCAGCAAGAGGCATGGTCGACGATTCGACTTTCGATAAATTCGATAGCGAGGACTGGGGTCCAGATTTCACCGGCATGAACGGCGACTGGGGCAGACTCGGCGATCCCGTCATCGAGAACTATCTCTTTGAAGAGGACAACTTCTTCAGCGAGGAGAAGAACGCATTCGACGAGGGCGTCCGCATCATGCGCGAGGGAGGGAACCTTTCACTAGCGGCTCTCGCATTCGAGGCTGCAGTCCAGCAAAACCCACAGCATACCGAGGCGTGGGTATACCTCGGCTCGGCGCAGGCACAGAACGAGAAGGAGACGGCGGCTATCCGCGCGCTCGAACAAGCCCTCAAGCAAGATCCCAACAACCTCGCCGCCCTCATGGGCCTGGCTGTCTCGTACACCAACGAGGGCTACGACAGCACTGCTTACCGCACACTCGAGCGGTGGCTCTCGGTCAAATACCCGCAGATCATCGCCCCAACTGACTTACATCCCATGGCGGAGATGGGCTTCACTGACCGGCAGCAACTGCACGATAAGGTTACCGGACTGTTCATCAAGGCGGCACAGCTCAGCCCGGACGGCGAACACATGGACCCCGACGTACAGGTCGGCCTGGGCGTCCTCTTCTACGGCGCCGAGGAGTACGACAAGGCCGTCGACTGCTTCACGGCCGCCCTCCACTCCTCGGAACTCGGCGCGTCGAACCAGCAAGAGCAGCTGCACCTGCTCTGGAACCGTCTGGGCGCCACCCTCGCCAACTCGGGCCGCTCCGAGGAGGCCATCGCGGCGTACGAGAAGGCGCTGAGCATCCACCCCAACTTTGTCCGCGCACGGTACAACCTGGGTGTCAGCTGCATCAACATCGGGTGCCACGCCGAGGCGGCGTCGCACTTCCTCGCCGCGCTCAACATGCACAAGGCCATCGAGAAGAGCGGCCGTAACATGGCGTACGAGATTCTGGGCGGCGGCGGCGGTTCCAGCGGCGGCGGCAACACAGCGCAGCTCGATGAGCAAATTGACCGCATGACGGCACAGAATCGTAGCACGACTCTGTACGATACCCTGAGGAGAGTGTTTACGCAGATGGGCCGTCGGGATCTTGCGGAGAAGACCGTTGCCGGTGTAGACCCCGAGATCTTCAGGGGCGAATTCGACTTTTAGAGCGCTTCTACATTCGGTTGCATGATGGATCAGACGGACAAAAAAGGCTGCCCCGAGGGCTAGATGTAGCATTATAGCGGGTGGAAAAGAATGAATGAGACAACGCCTTTCATGAGAACCTTTGATTTAGCTGTATGATTATGTCTTGGCATGGATTGTTAGATGGGTGTCGTATAGTGACTCCTGGTCTTCGTGGCATCGGCACGTCTCTGTATGCCTCATCTTCCACCTCGTTGGTCGATAGCAATGGCTTCAGTTCGGTGATCTAAGGCGACGGAGGCTCTCGTTCTCTTGGGCCACAAAAAAACAGCGCCAAACTCATGTTGCGATGGGGCTTTGTCATTTGGTATCGAGCAGACTTGGCGGGATCTGCCGTGTATACCACTGTACAAGGCACACACACGAAGATGTAGAACTCTTTACTTGATTTAAGTAGCATGAATCCAGGTGTTTAAGACGACTAAGTGGGTTTCACAGTTTTGGTGCATCTCAGTCTCTTCGTTCCTCGTCAAGTTGACGATTTGACCAATTGACATCACCACAAACATTTCCAACGCATAGTACTTGTAAGAATAATTCTGACTGGGGTATCGTGCAACTGCCGGCTAAAAGACCACACACACTCCCGGGCTCTAAATCCTCTCTGCCTCACACCCACGACCTCTGGTCCATGTAATCCATCTGTCACCCATTCCTTCCTAGTCCCGCCACCACTGTTACTCCCGCCGCCACCTCCGCCACCTCCGCCGCTGTTTTCCTTGCTACCACCCGAGGCACCTCCCCAGTATTTCCCTTGGTCCCTCCGTGACTCAGGGTTCCCTTGCTCTTAACGGGATCCTGCCAGGGTGGGTTGGTGGGATCGTGGTAGTAGATGGGGGTCGTCTTCTTGCCTGACATGTTTAATTTTGAGCTTTAATATCTCTATTTGTACATATGTAGTAGATATGTGAAGTGTAGAGATCTTTTTGAGCTTGGTTATGCTGGATTGGAACTAGTTGTGGATTGAATATGTTGGAGCTGGATGCTGAGTGATGGATTGTTTCGAGGATGGTGCTGTTCGACCAAGCTATCGCGCATTCTGGCTTGTTTGATACATGCCTGGGTCTGTTCACGTTGGACTTGGTGACTGGTTTGAACGTGGACGGTGAACAGATTGGTGAGATACCAGATGAAATGGTCCCAGTTTGATATTGGTACCTCGTCTAGAATGCACAGTCAACAACATTCACACTTGAGAATACTGATTTCTTCTTTCCTTAATGAACAAGAAATGTCTTCGGCAGTCGCGTTAGTTGTTCTCATCGTTTTGCTCGAATTATTTCGTTCCGCTGTTTCCCCCCTGCTACGGTCAACTTCACATTTTATTGTCTTTAGTACACCAACATGGTTGTTGCAAACCTCCCTGGCCCTGTCAATATCATCATGGAGCATTAGCCGCTTCTCGGCATGGGTAGAAACAAAACTTCCAGTGGCATGTTCATTCTTTTCTGGTCTCGCTGCGTCAACCTTGTTAACAGCCCTCCCCCTTTCTATCAACTTTCACTTTTTAGCCAAAGGTCGCTTGACTTACGATGAGCTAACTGTATAAGCTTCGGTCAGTATCTTTAGGTTCTCCATTTATATATTTGAGTTTCGGATGACAGGAACCATGGTTGGAGACAATGGCAATGAGTTCACGAGTGTTTTCATGCTGCCGCCGATCAGAATTAGATCCCCGCTACCCCCTTGATAGCTCCCGCAACATGTCCCGGCTTAACAACTGGCTCAGCCTCTCTTCCTTGTTGACCTTGAGACAGACGGCTGTATCATACTTCTCTGATGTAGCCGCTGGACGCTGATGATGGTTCAGCTTTGCAAGTCTTGCCGCCTAGTCTCGAGAATGCCCAATGCAATGAGGACATTGGCCAAAGACAGATTACTTCAATAGTTTGGAGTAGTGACCATGTGTTCATTAAATCAACTATCAAAATGTGTGCCCTTGCCCAGTATCATGACAATGTAGTGGTCGTCTCTGTCTCATGAAACCGAAAGGGAGAAATGCACCCCCGTCCCCCAAGACAGTGCCAGACAGCAAAAAACAAATCGCTGGACCAATTCCCCCTAAACTCCCATGTCATCAAGATACCCCGCGAAGTAAAGTTCATCCAATTTCCCAAAAGGAGCTGCAGCGATAAGTCTCTGAATCTCCTCCTTTATGCAAATAGAGACGCAAAGTTTAGAGACACAGCCAGCATCGTACGTAGCCCATACCTGATCAAAACCACTTAACATAGCCAACCTTATCTCACACCTCGAGCATGAAATGCTTCATCTCCTCAACACCAACAGTCCTATAATCACCGACAAATTAGCCTCCGATCATAACCTCATAGTACCCCCCCCCCCCCCCCCGGCCTGACACATTTGCTTCGCCTTGCCTTGAACCCAAAGGCAGGAGATCGTTCCGAAATGTAAAAGGGACAGTACTCACATGGTGAGGAACATCCTCGCAAAGTCATCCACGTCCGCCGGCCTCGCCATCTTGGCGACACTCTGCACGAAGAAACTGTTGACCAAAAACATGGGTTTCTCGCGCCACGCAGAGAAGAAGGCCGGCGAAGACTGTGCTTCCCAGAGGTGCCTCGAGAAAGTCCAGCGGTGCGGGATCAACCATGGCGCAATATCGGGATCTGAAATCACACAAAATAGTCAGCTCTAGGCTAGGCAAGGGGGCACGAAGGAGGGAGAAAAAAGGAGAAGCCTTACCAAAATCACCAGCACTCTTGAGCATCTGATACATGCTCGTAAAAATGTACCCCATCAACACCGTCCGTCTCACACACTCGTTAAAAACCCACACCTCCCAGGACCGCGGCGGTCTCCCGCGCAACGCGCCATCGTCCAGCAGATGCACCTCGTCAAAGTTGTCCCTCAACCCCTCGAGGTCCTTCAACCACTTCTCCAGAACACCCATATCCCGCTCCGCCTGCGCCCGCAACGTCACGTCGCCGTCAAAACACCGCACCGTCTGGATCAAAAACAGGGCCTGCGCCCTCGCGAGCTTCTCGTGGCCCGTGATGTTGCTTCCAGCTGTCGTAGATGTTGATGAGTCCTTGACGTTTCCTGTGCCGTTACCACCACCACCACTCTTGAGGATCTCGTTGGCACCCTCGCAGACGGCGCGCATCGCCCAATCCTTGTTGGACTCGGTCATGCCCGCGTACGCCGAGATGGCGGTGTAGGCCGCCATCAGGGGCCTGGGCGTCTCGCGGACGCCGCGGTAGAGGTGCCGGTGAAGGAAGGGCGCCTGCTTGGTCTGGGCGAAGACGACGGGCATGTTCTTGACGAGGCTGACGAGGTGGCCGATGCGGGAGTTTGGCTCGTGGATTTGCCATGGTTGGAAGCCGCCCTGTGAGGTCGGCGTGAGTATATGTGTCCCATTCCCGTGGACATACGCGAGGTAAGGGTTGCCAATGCGGAGTGGCTAGATGGGGGCGAAGGGAAAAGAGACGTGTGACTCTGACGGGAAATGGGGCATGAAAAGAACGTGAATATGGAGACGTGAAGAGCAGGGGGAGTTTTGTGAGATATGAGAACCGCAACAAGAGAGAAGAGATTCGTTAACTTACACACACTTCCCCCATTTCATTATCCCAGTCACACGGGTCCAGCTGGTTGATCTCGGGCAGCATAGTCTTCTGCACAACAGGCGTCAACGGCGTTTCCCAGAGCTGCAGCTCCCCGCCGGCCGTCGGGTCCGCGTTCAGGAAATCCATGACCGAATTGAAGTCAAAGGGCGCGTTGGCGGCATTCAAGTCGACGTTCAGCGACGACGTGGACGGCACTGACGTCGCGTTGTCGGTGCTGCTCCCGCTGTTGTGGATGTCCTCCGTCATCACTATCGTCGGGAGACCGCCGTCAATGTACGATGATGACGATGCGGGCGTGGGTTGCTGCTGGAGTTGAGGCTGATGATGTTGTTGATGTTGATGTTGATGTTGGTGATGGAGATGGTGATCGGTCAGAGTGTTAAAGTCAAAGGGAGGAAGGTCATCGTTGATGTTGCCGCAGTCCTCCTCAATGTCCATGGCCTGAAGGGTGTCGCCTGGGTTACTGATCATACCCCCGGCGGAGGGAGGGGACTCGCCCCGGCCGCCGAGGCTTCCAACACCAATACCACCAGCGGCGGCGGCTCTTACACCACCACCAATACCGCTTCCATTGGCAGAGGCGGGCGGCAGGTTCTGGTACACGCACGAAAAGTTCTTTTCATTACAGCGCGTGCAGCGCGGGGTCCGCTTGTCGCAGCGGCGCTTGCTCCGTACGCAGGCGTTGCAGCTCTTCTGGCGGGACTTGTCCGCCGCGTCCGCCAGGTCACTCATCGTTTTCAGACCGTCTGCGGACATTTCTTTTCTCTTTCTCTGCTGGTGTTGGTGTTGTTGCTCCTGCTGTTGCGGTTGCGCTTGCTGGGTCTGATGCCCTGCTGCTGCTGCTTCTGCGGCGGCAGCGTCGGGTCTTGGACTGTGGAGAGAAGGGGAAGAAGCAAGAGGAGTGGCGGCGGCGGATAATAGATGGGTCGGCACGGCCAGCTGGATCCGATTGACCATGGGGAAGAAAAAGGGCGGAATAGGGAGAAGAGGGAAAAAGAGGTAAGAGTGGGAAAGATGCGATATCACGATTTCTCAAACAAGGACCGATGGGTCCTCTCTCTCTCTCTCTCTCTCTCTCTCTCTCTCTCTCTGCCTTTCAGAAAAGGATCCAAGGCAGTCAGCTTACGCGGTTTGATCCTCGTGGGGGTTGCGTGGGCAAGAGTGTCCGCTGAACCAGTGAAGCGACTCGGTCTCAATCTGCAAGACTGCCACCAGGTTTACTCGGAAAGGAAGCGAATGGTGTTCGATCCGTTCAAGCCGGTGGGAATTTGGGATGAAGTTGCGGAGCAGCGTCAAACTCCGATCCGCGTCAGCACAAAAGTCCGCCAGCTGCGGCCCCACACCACGGCCGTCAGACGGTCGGTTCGCCCAACCAATCCGAAACTCCGCAGTGAAGCTTCCCGAAACTCCGCAACCATCACCGGCTCCGTGTCTACGGCGTCCCATTACCACTCTATTACGCCTTTTCTCCTCCATTGCATTCATCTAAATATGGCCACATGGTCGGCAATCAGAGCGAATGGAATACCTTCCTCCTCGCCCGCCATGGCGACAATAATCCCGCCACCTTGCGTCCCAGCAGCTCGGTCTCGACTCATCTCACCCTCTTTTCCTCAAAGATCATCCGTTTGCGGAAGTCGGTACCTTTCTAGATAACCTCATGGCGTCCGCTCGAAAGCGTGGTCTGATAAGTCATATGACGGAAAGCAAAGCCATCACACCCATCAAACGTGGGCGAGACCATTGATAGACATTTCCATCTCCCTTTCAGTGAGTCACCAGCATCAAACCATTCGCAGAATTCACCCGCGCGGCGCAAATCCCCGCTCCTCGTTCACGTTGGGAGGTTACCGTTCCAGGCGTACTAGACCTCTTAAGCCGTCGGTTAAGCTACGATGTATTTCCGTTATCGTCCAAAAATCCTCGTCACCTTGTCTGCTTGCAACAGAGACATTTCCCACGCGTGCCCATCGCCTGGCCACCCACCCCTCCTTCCCCTACTTGGCTAAGAGATCTTTTTCCCCGCGCGGGAAACACACATATATCAAAAAGAAGAAGGGATATGCAAAAGCGTAACCCCCAATAATGGGGGGGGGGGGGGGGCCAGATGACGTCTCCGCGGCCCGAGAGTTCTCGCCTCCTCTCACGATCCGAACACTGGAAAGCTGTTTTCAGGTCGTACAGGAGATCTAGCCCTCCTCCCCGGACACCGCTACACAATAGACCTCCAGACCGTCGCCGCCGCCGCCGCCTCTCCGCACAATACACTCACCGCAGACGCCTTTTCCCAAAAGATCGTCATCACACCCCAGAACCAGTAAGCAGCCTCGCGGCATCGAAACCTCTGGACCACGTTTAGCTGTCACCCAAATTGAACCCGACCGTTGAAGGGGAAAGAGGAACAAGCCCTGTCGCCACAGGCTCGCCGTGAAAGTCGAATCCTCCTCCCACCCCCATGAGCCAAATCGCCGGGTACCGACCTCTCGGCCTTCCCCCCCCTACATCACCGGACAAACCTCAGCTCCAGCCTCGAGCCTCAGCTCCAACTTACATTTCCCCTTACCATCTCTAGGCAAAGGTAGGTTCGCCAAAGATCTGGGCACCCTCGCTCGAGCGATTGTTACACGTCTCGCCAAAAAGTCGCCGATCCTTCTTTGTCGTCGCTTTCCAATTCCGATCACAGAAAAACCAAGGGGCGCAATCTCTCGAACCCGTTCGAAACAATCCATTATTAGCAACCGTCTCTGTTCTCGACTTTGTTGTGCGAGAGTAGTAAAGCAAGTAAAATCTCACCAAGAGAACCTGTTTCCTCCCCGTCGTTTGAGGCGTTGTGCGCCGTCCTGTCTTTCTTCCATCAACCCACGCCCTACCACGTAAACCATCAACTTCCTCCCCTCCTGACAACCTCGCACTCAAGGAGACGGACAAACTCGAGGTTTAGTTAAGATAGTTTGTCCGTTCCGCACGAGCGCAGCCAGATTCTGTCAGATCTAAGAAAGAAAATAAGCCTCAAGCCACCATCTTGCCTTTTATGTTAGGGCAAAACCACGCTTATCCATACTTCCCTAACTTCCGTGCCTCCCTCCTTCGCGCTTGGCCGAACTGGACCCCCCAAACCAACCGCTCCCGGATCGAGGTATCTCCGTGACTGTTTTACCCAAACAGACGGCGCAAAAAGAGAAGAGAGTCCGGCTCCCCGCATGCGACGCATCGGGATCTACCGTACTTTTGAAGATTCGTCGCCTCGAAGAATTCCATCAAACGACGGAGAGAGAGAGAGGGGGGGGGAGGCACGGGGGCCAGGTTTCGAAAAGGATCAAAAGGTGGTAAAAAGATGCATAGACGCTACGCTACCTTAGCTGCCGCCCAGAAGTGTGCACCCGCCCATCTCCTACCCTTAGCTTAGGCGGGGGGTAGCCGTACATCGAAGATTGGTAAAAGGGGGCACCCCGCGGCTACCGTGGTGGGATGGGCGGGCAAAACTAACAGAACGTTGTGCAAAGGCGAGAGAGACCGAGATGGGATAGACCTCGACGGCCATCTTTCTTCTCCCCGGGTGGATGGGACACAAAACGACAAAAGGGGAGCTGCGTAACGCTGTGCGACACACAACAGCCGGGAAGTGAGATCGATAATGACGATGGATGGGAAGGGGGAAGAAGTAAACTGGCCCTGATACCTATTCATCTGCAGGCCCCCTTCCTTCTCAGGGTCGGGTGAGCCCGCTGTAAGCCACGACATCCAGACTTTTGATCCCGCATGATTGTTTCAAAACGAAGCGGGTTCATCGCAATCACTAATCGTCGGGACGCCACCCATCCTTCTCAGCCTCTCCAGATTCTTCGTGTCGCCTGAAAATAATACTGGCCGTGGACCTTGAGAGAAAAGAAGAAGAAGAATCTTCAAACGTTTCCCGCAACTCTCGCCCCCCACATCCTCGTGAGTTGTCCGTGACAGTAGGGCGAGGTAGTTTAAAATGATGATTATCGGCTGAGCCTTGCCCTCGCGGGCCAGGACCGAGTGCCCGGACGCGGCGGCAAGGGCGGGGGAAAGTCGAGAACGGGCCTTCGGACGGGGAGGAGGGTGGACCGCTCTCTGATCCCTCTGTGGCTGGCCCCTCTCATTGCGGCTGTTGCACAGGCCGATTACTTCAAGGGGGGGTGGGGGGGGGGGGGGGGGGGGGGGGGGGCATAATACCGCTTTCTTCTCCTTTCTCTTGGGTCTTTTTTGGTCTTTTTTGGGGGGATTGCTGGTTTACTGATCGCCAATCTCCCGCTCTCGCGTGCCTCTGGATCGTGCATGGTCGCACAAATGCCGCTACAGAGCAAATGAAAGGATCCGTCAGGGACCTTGTGCTATCTGGACTCGTTTGAACCCCCATTGTCGTGACACCGTGGCACCGTGGCAGGCGAATATCGCTCTCTGGGCCGCGGCCGGCCCCTTGAGATTGGCTCCCGTACCCGATATCCACTCCCCGAAACCATGCCGGTACCCATGATCACCCATCAAGTGAACCTCTCGGGAAACATTTGTCTGGATACCGATGGTGTGGGTGGAAACGACCCTTCACGAAACCCTCCCTCGTGTGCCGGCCAAAGGAGGGCGGAGAGGGCGTCTGCTGGGCATCTAGACTGTTGGATGTGGGCAGCCCGCGACGCACCACGCCACGAGGCAAAAGAGCAACCGCTGCAAACAGGTTTTCGTTGTACAGCTTTGCAATGTCTCAGACACCTCTCCAATATGTGAGCTGTGGCGGTCCAGTGCATATTGAGATGTACACACACGCCTTCCCCAAAACCGACAGTCGAGGAAGACACCCTGTTGCACCGTCCATCGTTTCCTTGAGCAGAATGATCTATCTATCATTCTGCCTTGTCCCATCCTTCCTTATTAGGGCCAAGCTGACCCAGACGATGTCGTTGACAGATCGGAAAAAAAAAACAAGATCTCTCGGTCAAAGCGTAAAGACCGTCTCGTGTCAAGCAAGGCGAAAAAGGGAAGACCTCGCTTGGGTGTACCCCTCGAGTCCAAGTGATAGCTTCGATCTACGACAAGTAGATCTCGTACCCGCACCTGACTGAAAGAGACAAAGCTCAACGACAACCTGGAAAAAGACCATGGCGGACCCATTAGTGTAGATACAGATAGGTCGACGTTCGATCGGCTAGAAGTGTTCTCGTATCTGTCCACACTTCTTCCCAGCTCGTAAGGATCTGGATCCCGTAGCCTGCCAAACTGCTTGCTTCGGAAGATGCTTTGCGGGGATGAAAGCTCTTGGCTCCGTCACCTGCTTCTTTCTGCCCATGATATGATTCGTTGCTTAGAAGGGCAGCATGCAGCTATTTGAGACAGCTCTATTCCCGGTCGCTGAACCTACGACGAATCAGCAAGAAGAAGCTCCTTCGAATAGCATGAGTCGAAGGCCGGAATAGACTTGTTTCGCTGTACTGGCTGCCCCTGTTTCGTCATTGCCAGCCGCCGACGCAGCACCTAATGGTAATGCTGTGTCTGCGTAGTGGCGGCGACCATCAAACCCCCCCCCCCCCCCCCCCCCCTCAATGGGGCGCCCGGATCATTCGCTGCTCTGTGCCGGCAAGGGTACAAACCTTCCTGGCGTAGATCATCAGGCCTGGAAAACCACAAGTCTCAACCCATCCTCAATTCAACAGCCCCTCCTGGTGGTTGCTATCTCCAACGAATACTTCATCGGATTGAACCCAAGAATAGGATAGGGTTGCGTTCCCAAATGAATTCAATGAGGTCCGTACGCCTGGTTCGCGTGAAAGTCAGAGTTAAGCATCACGCCATGTTTTGACCGTTTGCCCATCGTTGCTGTTTTCGACAGTGCGTGAGACATCGTCCGATAGCCACAAGAGCTAAAAGCCGTTGACGGCGTGTACGGCGCCTTCATGAGCAATCAACCTGTGATTTTCTCGCCCTCTCAATCGATAGTTTGCTTTGGGACCAGGGCTCGACTATTGCCAGCAGGACGGGGCCTCCGAGGATGCTCGAAGGGAAAGGAGTCCTGGCTGTCATTCAAACCAACTCTGAGCAGGCCTAGCCACCGTGCAGGTGCCGTCTGAGAATCGGTTAGGCATAGTGTGTTGTATGGGGTGAAAGTTTGAAGCTTAGATGGAGAGAAATATATCATGTATCGGTACATGAGCTCGTCATCTGAACTTTCGCAGTAAGACCGTGCCTGGTCACAGCAGCTGTTCCGTACATGTGGCGGGCAAAAGCCCGAATTTTTCAGTTTCACACAACGTTTGTTGGCATAGATAGCCTGGCAGCGTTCGGCTAGGAAACGTCCTTCTTAGCGATATGGGACCATGTGTAGCTGTCGCCGTGTCTAAGTCATTTGGAGTGACTTCGAGGAATGTGAGAGACCAGATATCGAGCCATGTGTGAAATAGTTCTCCAGCCGGAGCTATGGGCCTGGCGATCGATCATTGAAGTCGGATGCGACCAACGCGTAGATATGCCGACCTGACACTGTTGTCCACTCCAATTTGGAGGTGACTCGCAAGGGTGGTATTCTTGTGTCGGCTTCGATCATACCAGACCGCTGGCCGGCTCTCACTCACAACATGACCTCCTGCGTCTTTACACTCGGGCCTCGGTTCCGGGGCAAAGGCCAGTTGAGGTAACTGTGCATCAGGCGTGAAGAAGAAGCCGTTGAGGGTCGCTCAGACTTTGTTTGACGACTAGAAACGCCAGGTTCAGCCTTTGGAATTGAGTCCCGTCAACCTGATGGCTCTGCAGACGAACAGGTGAGCACTGCGTCTGATTTATGGAGTGTCAACTGTTGTTGGCTAGGAACGCTGCTTCTCCAAGACGATGTAGGTCGGTATCAGGTTTGCCAGATGCATTCAATGATGACCCCGTTTAGTCATGTCAATACGGAACCCGAGCCCGCGAACGTGAGCCGAGAAAGTCAGTGATATTGCAGTAGCCTGCTGAAAGGAGCTGAAGTTTATGAGCCAACAGCGACGTATTCGTCCAGCTGCCGCGTGATCAAACGTTGTTGCAGGAATAGTTGACGGAGATGCGAAGTAAACCAAGCAGGGCAATATGGGAGGGAACGCGATGCCGCTCAACAACCGAAACTCGACCAAGACCCAAGCGGAACTCGACGAGCTAGTAGCGTGAGTGCAGAGCACGTAGAGCCATCGACGCCTTCAGAATGGTGAGGTGCATGGCAGACGTTGGGTTTTCGATACTTCCTGTATACGTACCTACTGGACGAGGGTCGTCGACACTAGCGAGGTGCTCCTCAAGAAACGCATTGCGGCCGTCCCAGTCAAGATAGCCGAAGATCGTTCATACTATCGAACCTGAAGCTCCTCATCGTGGGTCTCGTGTGAAGATGCGTGCTGCTGGCATGGCTGAGGGTGCCCATACTATGACTCGCCATTGATCGTCGAGCTCGAATCACAATTCCAAGGGAGGGACGACTCGACCAAATGCAGAAAGCCTTCGGGTTCGGGGCAGCTGAACCTCAACATTCGCAGTACTTGGGGAAGTCTTGGGGAGGAACGAGCAGTGGCAGCCGAGTGAAATGTGACGAAAATGATACAAGCACTGCCAGTGCACTGCAGCGTCAGATCGTGGGCGTGTGAACGTCCTCCATTTGCGGTAGCGCAAATGTCGATCTCGTCAAACGATTGATGCCGCAATGGTTTGCTACGCCGCCAACATGTACTGAAAAGCCCTGAATCTGAAGATCATATCAGGCCACGATTTGGAAGTGAATTGGTTTATCTGAGCCGGAGAGGCTGACGTGGATATCCGTAGCCTCTCGGGAATTGCTAGGCCCATTATTGGTATGCTGCCTCTGACGGAGATGGTATCATTATTCGGCAGAAAATTGCTTGAATGCCAGCTGCGTCATCGTTGTTGATTTTTGTTATTGTCTCTTCCGTGCTCGGATTTTCCGGCCTGTAAATGTCAGTGCGAGACATAGCCGCATGCCCAAGAATGACTATCTCGTTAGGGCGCAGGAGACATGTTTTCTTTTGGTTCTTCATTGCTAAATGAGCAGTACGGACACTGGTTGACTCGGAAGTGGACTCGAGAACTCTCAGACTGTCTGGCTGGACTCATGAAACTTCAAAGCCAAAGTTTCCTATTCCGAAGCAAAACTTCTCTGGATTGTACCGAAAGTCGAAGCATGGTGCTTTTAGTAAGGTATGACGATCTTCTCAATCGGTAGATGTCTCCGCTGCAGCGATCCCATCTGGACGAAAACGGACCTTGACCGACCAAGTGATCCTGTACTGCGAGGCACAGGGGTCCAGGGACGGCTCTGTGTCGGCGAAATACAGTGCAGATAGATTGCTCTAGCAAGGCTTCGCATTGCCGTCTGATCACTTCCAGGGGCGACCCTGACACGAGGCAGCACCTACGACTCGTTGAGTCGTGACTTAGCACACTGAACTTCAATTCGCTTCGCCGTCTAGCAGAAGGTGCAGAGCCCCCTACGTTGTAGGCATTGAGGGCAAATGACCACTGTGTATTTGCATTCGAATATGTCCGAACTCAAACGGTGTGTGGAGGCGATGAATGTAGGTATTGCTTTGAAAGTGCGGGGGATTGTCGTCCTCGTTTCTCTGGGGAAGCGGCGATTACCAGTGCTGGCAAGAGATGATGATGTGCCAGTAAACCTTTGTTATAACAGCATGGCGCATCTGTCGTGGTGCTCGAGGACTCGAGATTTGCCTCTCGCTGGTGCAGCAATCACGCCACTGGCAGAACGATGCGAAGAGGCGGCTGGTTCGTCTCTATTGTTTGCGAATCAACGGGACACCGTGGAGTGCCCTGCGGAGAGACGAGTCTCGCTTTGTAGGGGGACTTTAGTTAATTACCTGACGAGACTCGGTGCAAGTTTCTAGGGTTCTTCTATCCGTCGCCGAAGTCTCAACAGCAGCAGAAATCTCTGGGAATTATCGCAACGTAGCCTGCTTGAGCCCTGCGTGTCGGCAACTCTCTCCACGACTCTAGAGTTATAGATGTGGTATGATCTGAGAGTAGGTTCTTCCTTTGAGACTATTGAAGAGGCAAGCAAGCTTACAATCAACATTGTACCGACAATGGATGTTTGGTGCGGTGTGTTGCATTCGTGTGGACGTGTGATGGTCTCGCCGGTGGGTTGTACCCCGGGAGTTGAGAACCACCCAATGGGCTCACTCAGAGCGAACGCCAGCGGAGATCCTACACTGGCAGGTGGGAGAAACGTGGCACACGAATCTGAGGAACCGATGGGCCGTCACACGGGCGGAAAGGCAACGCAGGGAGCCTATTCCCACCAACCCTGAGGCCATGCCCCGCACCCCTCGTCCTCGAGAGAACGTGTGGTTCACATAGCGTCTGAGTACGAAGTATGGAGTACTTGGTCTATAGGGGTATGTTTAAACTCCCTACCAGGTAGCGTGGGTCTGGCCAGGGTAGAGCAGTGACTCTCAATGGCCAAATTTGTGTTCGACGTGCACAAGAATCTCGAAAGTAATGCTGCTGATGTAATCACGAAAAGTGCGGGCGAAGATAACTGACAAGGGGGTTAAACTTTGGCCTGATACCGTAGTACGGTACAAATACCGGAGCTGGCAAGGCCGCTGTGCTGTGTGAACTGGAGGTGTGTCGATAGATGAGAGAACGTGAAGAGCCCCGTACTGTACGGTTACCTATACGTCCATGACTGCACTGGTTGACAGACTCCATTGGGTCAGCCCAACTGTCTTGTCTCCAGCGGCTAACTTGTCTTGCTTGTCTCATCCTTTTCCCATCTAGGTTGAAAGATATGCACGCCTAGAAATGGCGCCGCCGGATTCCCTTCATCGAACCTCCACGTGGGACGACTAAGAGAAACCCACTCTTTTGCGTTTAATGATGATGTGCAAGCTGCCGCATCCTGGAGAGAGCGGCTTGCAAGGGTCGTCCTGCAATGCAGATTGGGGCCTTTTGAAGCGCGGGCTAGGTATTGTGAACAGGCGTTTGTGTAGTACCTTTCCGTAGGTATTCGGACTAAACAGAACGAGCAGGTCGAGACACAAGGGGCTCCAGCATCCGTTTAACGACGTACGGAAGCTGCGAGATTCTTGGCGGATTTGTCTTAACATTGCTGTTCGAAATGCAAATTTGCTGGCAGCTGATCTGCAGATGATGTTCTTTCGCATTTCTATGGAGTGCTCCTCCAAGAACAGTGGATGATTCCCTAGGGACTTGACTCAAATGTCGATGCGTTCTGTTCTGTGTGGGCACAAAACTGGATAGAATACGCCGCCGGGGAACTAGGGGCCTAGGAATTCAGTCTTGACTCTTGAGTCTTGACGGGCTTTTGACGGTGCTGAGCAGACGCGATCCCTGCAATAAAGAGTCGAAAGGCCATGGCTGTGGAGATGTTCAAGTTGTCAACTTGAGCGGAATGTAAGGTATGGATTTAGATCAAGTAACGTCGCGATTCAGCATCTGTTCCTTGCGTTATTTGCTTGCACCTTGAAGTGTATCCAGTAATCGGTATTACCTAGGAGTCAAGGTAAATGTAATCTCAAGCATATTTGGAGCCGCAAATGGGCGATGCATTTGAGTCAGTCAAGGACTGGTATTTCGTTGGGGACGGCCGCCGCCTGGGAAAGGGTAGTTGACTGCTGATTATCCCTGTAAAGACCTCCCCGTTGCAAGACCATTATATCCATACGGATACTCCGTATACCGTAAAAAATACCACAGCCTCTCAGTCGGGAAATGTCTCGCTTGGTTGAGTCGTTCTCCCCATCGCGCGCCGGCGACCTCGCCGGGCGGGATGATCTGTTTGCATCGGTTGCTGGACTGCATTGAGATGCTGCAGTTATGCTCGTGGCTTGCCACACAGGCAAGAAGGCAGTCTGCAGTTCTTTGAATGTCGATCCGGCGTGAGTTTCAAAATGAAAAAGAACAATGTGAGATCGGCGCAACTGTGACAAGCGCTGCCCATTAGCCGTGGTGCCATGGTTATTGAACGATTCTTTTGCCGAAAGTATCCCACAAGGCTCTTGCTTGTTACAATGTGGGGGTTCCGACGTAAAGTATCGTGGAACTCGGACCACTCTAAGCATGGCTGGCCGCTGCAGTGCTACAGTGCTGCACTCGATCGTGGTTCATGATTGATCCCAAAAATTTGGCAAGGCTGGCTGAGCAAGGAGCTGTACTCCGTAAGGTAGACAAGGTTCCCTCCAAACAGCACAGGGTAGTCCCCTTCCAGGCCGAGCGTCTCTTGCCGACAAACGTGCTGCCAACGAGACCTGATCAGGCAAACGCCCTTGGTGGGACTCCAAGACGATGGTCCATGAAATCCGAACGGGAATACCGAGATAGGGGTTCGTCAACGAACAGGTAAGCCCCGAGCTCATTCTTTATTTTGGCGAATGCAGACAGTGTCGATCATTTCATTTCTTTCCTGGCAACTTTTGTCTGAGTCAAGGTGTTGGAGCCTTGAAGTGCAGCGCGGAAAAACGATAAAAGGATTCTGGGCGGGCCCGGCGATTTGGCTGAGTGAATGTTCAACAACGTGGCCGGCTCTATTCGTACATCCTTGCATGTCAAGCGGGATGGCAAACAAGTGCCGGGTGATGCTGGATAGACACTCCGTAATCACTCATTGCTGTCGGATTGGTGGCTTTGGGGCCTGGAGGACGAGACAGAGCCGCGTCCCGATTCCAAAACAAGACGTCGAATATTGTCTAGTGGATGAGTGCTGATTGCCGTGTCGTGTGCGTGTAGTGCGGCTGCGAAGATGCGAAGAAGGCGAACAAGTAATGATCGACGACAAGCCTCCGGCCGGGAGGGATTGCGGCAATGAAGAGGGGGGACTCATCCGGGGCTGCGTTGCTTCAAGCTCGAGTGCGTGAGTGCCTATGTAGCATGCGGGATAGGGAGTATTGGTACAGACTACCTAGTACAAGGGTGCTCGGTGTGTATTGCTGGATGCCAGGATAACGAGCTGTGGAAAGTGGCGCCGATGCCACGATGGAAACTGACAAGGACTGGGGAGGGCGAAAAGGGTGCCTGACCGTCAGATAAAGTGCAAAGGTGGTGTTGTAGCGAAGCATGAGGTTGGATGAGGAGTCGCTGTGTATATGTCCGCACGGTACGGAGTAAGGTTGGGCGGCTTTTCATGAGGATGGATGAACCTTGGGAATTCTAGAGCGAGGCACTGTACATAGGTAAGGATACTAACAGTGCCTATGGAATACGGAAACCTCGTGCTGTCCATGATACGTGGGGAGATGACGGCAGAGAATTCAACGTCAAGTATCCGTACTTTACCTTGGGGGTGGTCAGAACACTTACGGTATGCGCAGAGTCTATACGGTAAGCACTCCGTAGAGCTACCACCCAAGGTAGGTAGGTACTCAGCACAGAATGCACGTGGTGATTGGGATATCGCGCATGGGAGGATGGCACGATGGATAACGTAAAAGGGAAGTATGCTGCCGGTTGGCTAGCGTTTCCCATTACATAAGATCTGGGGGCAAGTGGGAGGCTGTGCAGTAGATCAGCCACAGGTTAGTTTTCTCTTGACACCCGTGACACCCAGAGGAGGGGGGAGGCGCGTGCTCTCGAGTTCCGAGGCTGACTAAGGAAGCTGTGTATTGCGCTTTGATCAGAAATTGCTCTGTGTTGAGAAAGCTCACAAGCTCAAGCTGAAGCCTCCGTGCCTTCCCCCCCCACGCACTCTCCCTCCGTGTCTGAATCCACCGGTCTCCACGTCGTTCGCCTTGCGGTTCGTATTGTCGGTATGTACTATCGACCTGGTGATGGGCGCTCTTGTCGAACTGCTCCAATCAGCCACTTTCCAGGTGCAGTCTATGTTTACACTCCCGCATTCGCCCCCCCCAAGTCTCAAGATTGCTTTGCTTGAGGTACCTCGCACATCTTTCATCAGGTGCAAACAAGACGAACTGTGTCGTACTTGGCGCTGTGAACTAAGCTTGAGACTACATTGGTGTGAAGACGACCGCCGTTTCTCCAGTTAGGCTGAGGTAGTCAACCAGTTCACCAAGCGAACCACTTTGTGCCTGGTCGAAGGACAGAAAAGAAAGCGAGCAACTAAGAAGAGACGGGAGGGAAAAGATAAACCATTCACCCCCCACTCGGCACGAGGCTCCCTAGTCGGTACCTGGAGCCAAGCGCCATCTTTCAATACGCACCGGACCACGCCTCTTCCACTATTCTATCGCAGCCGCCTCTAGACCCAGCCACCGAGGCGCGGACATGATCAGTTCCGGGACACGGCCTATGGATAGGTACGGCTTGCAGAAAGGAAACCCAGCGACGGTAATAGCCCAGTGTCTCAACTTCCAAGTTGCTCGGCGGTCTAGCCCTGATTTATCACTGGCCGCGGGAAGGGAACGGGACTGTGAGTACGGATACCGTACCAGACCTATCTACGTATCCGTATACAGATACATGCGAGAGCTGTCGAAAAGGCAGAGACACTCAGCCAATGTACGAGTTCCTCGCAAGACGTGTCGAGTGATTTGGAAATATTGAATCAAACGTGGGCTATGTTATTGATTTGCATACCACGACGGACGAAGACGCCGACGACTACATGGCCTTTTGGTGGACTCCAACATACCGTGATACATGGCCGTAACGCTCCCCTTAACTTCACTCCTGCCTCGACGTGCTCGACTAATCACATTAGTTACCTCCTGCCTCCTTACCTGAAGTGTAACGTACCTTCCTCTTGTTGATCTGCAGATATTGAGCCCTCGTAGGCTCGTACACAGATGCCTGAGTCCTGACGGAAAGTGCGAAGGAGAGCTGGAAGGAAGGGGTGAGGTATGTGAAATTACCCGAAGGCTCCATGGACTAAGGTAACTAACGACGGAAGCATTCTTGCTTGATCTTGGACAAACGGTGCTGCATCCCCCAGAGACGGTGCCCTGTTTTCTCACACACGCACAAACAAGAGGTACTTCGTACACATAACCAAACGAGAGGGGAGAAAAACATCAAAGTCACTCATCCGCCGTGTTACAGTCTACTATTCAGGCCCAAAATTGTGTATCCGTACGGTACAGACACCACCAACATTGCTTGCGACAGCCTTTGGTGGAGCCGCCTTTGTTCCTACAGTCCCTGAGCAAAAACAAACGAAGCGATCCTATCTGACCTGCCAAGCTGTCTACGGATGGTGATTGCCACGTTTATGCCCAGTATCCGACACCATCACCGTCTACCTTGCATCACCACATGTTGCTTTACCATGGTTCGACAAAACCAAAAACGAAAAAAAGACAACCCCGAGACACGGATTTCAGGGTTCTGGCTCCAAAGATCCGGGTCCCTCCTTGCCTGTGCCTGTGCCTCCCTCTCGTGCCGTTTCTTCAAGGCCCTGATCTCGGCTGGATCTGACCCAGAACGATTTATCCCCCGGTTATCGTTTTCATGCTTGGACGGCCGACGGAGGTGTGCTCTGCTTACGTCTCTTCACCGCGCTTGGCTGACTAGTCGAAGGTCGGGAACCTTTGTTGGTGGTGGTACGGCATCCTCCCAGGCGCTCGCTGTACGGAGTACACTACCGCATGGAACGCACATGGGAACGATCGGCCCAAACCCAGTCGCCTGGAATATTGACATGGCGGGATGGATCCGTCATCCACGAATGGACGTGCACATCCCGCATCGCCCATCGCCCATCGCCCATCGCCCGTCGCAAACGGTGCCGCTCCCAGCTTGTTCCCAGCCCGGTACGCACGAGGCAAGCAACCACCTCGAGCAGCAAGGCCCGTCTGGATATGCTATGGCCGCTACCAGCTCCGCACGCGGTAGCCATGCCAAGTCGAGCCCTGCTGATGGTGCCCACCTTCATCACCACCTGCCCTACCGCCAAAGGGCAGCCCGTTCACTACAGTCCTCTCTTTTTCTAGGTAGGTATTACTACGCAGCGGAGTAGGTATGGCTACCGACTTGAGGCTTGAAGAATGATGCCCTGGCCACTGGACCATGTTTAGAATCGATGCTGGCTCTGCCACTCTGACCGCAGTCCTACTGGGATGACAAGAAACGCCGTCCTCTTCCGTCTCGTCCCCGGGACCGGGGGCAAGTCCTGTTGGCTGGCGGCCCTGTTCTCCTACGCCTACTCCGTACGGATACCTAATCCCTTCAGTCAGGATAGGGGTTTGATGATGAGGGGACCCTAGGCATCAAATTTTTGAACCCCATCGGCGTCGGTCTGCCTGCATCCGCTATCCACGATGAAGTCGGCATTTAGCATATCAACTGCTAGATACGCATGCCTGCACGGAATGACCATTGCACCAATACAATGGCGGAGGGCGATACACTACGTGCCCGGTTTTGTCGTTGGCAGCCCATAGTGCCCATGTATCCATCCATACCTTGATTTCACAAGGGGCTCAGGCATCAAGGACAAGCAAACATGTGAGCTCAGCAGCTAATGAATTGCACATTGCTGCAAGGAATCACTCGACTGAAAATCGACACCACGTTGAGTTAAAGTCGTCACTTATAGAGCAGCATCTGGCCTCGGTCATTGTTGCTACCGCTGGAATTCTCGGCCGACCCCTTGACCGCTGTGCCTAGGATGGCATCCCAAGTTCCCAGCCGAGTTGCCAAGGTTCTTCGACGACGGTACGACACGGCACGGCCTACGGATACCTGTCCTGGTACTGGCGATCGTATTCCGGCTGCGAACAACTCCAACATTGAAGCCTGGTACAGGGACCGGACCGGATTCCGAGTCCGAAGCGCAAGTGCGTGGCCTAGATGACGGCGATGGCGTTCGATGCGCACTGTTGGAATGCTAACACGATCGGTCCGGCCTCGTTCGCTTCTTAAATTTTTGATGGGCCTTTTTCTTCTCACAGTCTCACAGTTAAGGCCCGCCGAGCCTCTCAAGTTTCTTCTGGCCCCCGCCAGTTCGCAAGCCCCGAACTGGGTGGCATTTGGTCTCGATCATTGTGAGACGAAACATGAAAACAGCGGGCCCGTCATCAGATCCCGCCAGCATTCTTCATTCCTTTTGCTGTTGGGTTCTCCTCTAGGCTTTACTACGAATGCCTACCTATCTACTGTGCGCTGCCCGAGACCCGTCTTTGGGACGACCTGGCCTGACCAACATACCGGCCTGGTCTGGCTAGGCATGGCATCGGCGGCATGGCATGGTGCGACCCTGGCGCTGTTGTTTCTTCATAGCACAATCGTCATTTCATCCATTTACACGATCAGGTCACACGATCAAGTATGGATACGCACATTGGAAATACGGCCACTGCGGCTGTCGCTGTTATCCCGCTGTACTCAATGCAGCATTCATCCTCATGATGGGCAAGTCCGGGGTCGGCCTTGAGCGTGCTAGAAAAGACATTCATGACGGCGAGCAGCAACGTGACTCTGAAAGTGTAGGGCACGACGGATACGGAGCACTGTATGCTGCCTCCAGAGTCCACTAAACCGTCAAGCAGTTGAATATACGGGAGGCTTTGTCCAGATAAGGTACTTACACTTGGACGACAAACGTACGCGGATGCATACGCACACGCACACCACATAGAGCTGTTAGCAAAAACCTTCTCCAGGATGCCACACGACAAGCAGATGCTCGATGCATGTGAGGACCGCGACCCCACTTCCATCGGAGACGTCCTTCCCCTCGAGCTTCCCAGCGTGGTATGGCACATCCACGAGGAAGTGCAGCGTGCGGCGTGTGTATGGATACATTGGCAAGGCCATATGGCTTGCCATGCTGATGTCGGTGCAGGGGACAGGGATGATTGCTACGGGGCCAGACAAACGTCCTAAGTACTCGCTACCGCCGAGTCCGGGAAATAAGAAACGTGAACAGCGCCCATGCGTGCCCAAAAACCCCCGAACAGGGTTCGGCTGTGCCGCCACGTCGTCCACGATGGCGCCGCCCGGCGTGGTTGTGGCAGAGAGGTAGTTGGGGTGACACCCCCCAGGTACGCTCAGAGACAGCAGAGTCTTGAATACCTGCGGACCAAGTACTTTTCTCATCTGCCTCGACACGGTCGCCAGACCCCCCCTCCCCATGCGATGCTCTGGGTCGACCTCGGAGGCGTGAGCTATCTGAGCAGCAGCCAGCGAAATCGACTGGCATGCCGCACAAGGCATGGGTACATGCACTCGATCGGGTTACTTGGACACCTTATTCCAGGTGGCTCTGCCCGTCCGTAGTAGCGCTACAATACGTTGGCATACCTTATTTTCAGGGCTGGCAGGCCGCAGATGCAGAAAGTGAAGGCAAAGACGCAGGAGTAGGCAGATGTACCTACACTCGACACAGCAGGATGAAGCAGCAACGACGATGCTTTGACTGAGACTCGACAAGAGGTTGGAGATGGTGACGGCTTTCCATGATATCAATGTCAGGGCCATTTCAGCGCTGGTGCAAGCCGCAAATGATTCAGTACCTACCCACCTTTTCCTCCCTTTTTTATTTTTTATATTCCGTTGTCTATTTTTTCCGTCTTGGTGGAGAGAGAGAGAGAGAGAGAGAGAGAGAGAGAAAGAGAGAGAAGAGGGGGTGCTCATGTGTGATTTTACCGCTGCTGGGCAGAAATACGAATACATATTCCGTGCCACTGCATAGGGACAAACAAGTAGCTATCTGACTGGGACGTAAGCAGATGGGAAAAGCGTACGAAAACACAGACGGTACTGTACGATGTACTCCGTACCTCGCTTCGTACGTAGGTGGTAGAAGCGTAATTTAGGTGGTGCCGTTGGCTCGTTCACACACACACACACACACACACATTCTCTCTCTCCCTCTCCCTCTCTAGCATCGAAAGTTCGTCCAAGTCACTATGAAAATAAAAGAGAGATAATGAAAGGACTGGGATGAATTTGTGAGGAGGGACCAAGGGAGAGAGAGAGAGAAAGAGAGAAAGAGAGAGAGAGAAAGAGAGAGAGAGATAGAGAGAAAGAGGAAAAGAGAGGAGCGAGAGACTTCCATTTGATTTAGCTTCACTCCCCCCCCCTCCCCTGTACCCAGAAACCCTGTCTTGTCTTGCCCTGTCCTGGGCTTGTCCTATCCTGTCCTGTCTTGGGCATCCTCTCCTCTCTCTCTCCTCCCCTCACCCCCGGTTCCAAAGGCCGCCTGTCGCTGCCGCTCTTTTTTTCTTGGTGTCTGGATCCCAGCTTCTTTCTTCCGGGTTGAGTCTTCTTCTGCTCGTCTGCTCAGGCCAACAAGTCACCCACCCACCCTACCTACCTAGCGCTCCCGCCTGCTCAATTCCATCTCATCCCCTCCACCCCCAGCTCCCGTTCTCCCAATCTTGAAACTGCCTGCTTCGAGCCGTATTTCTCCTCCACTCGCCTCTACCTCTCTACCTTACGCCGGCCGACCTTCGAGTTTACTAGACCTCTCCTCCTTGCTCCTCGGCCTCGTCCTTGTTCAACCTTCTCCATCCCACCCTCATCGCGCTCTTCTTCCCCCTCACCAACACCTTCGTTCGTTATCCAAATAATCCCAGGATTCAAGTAGCCTGCGCTTTCAGACGCCTACAGAAAGGCTGCTGATTTCGCATGTCCAGCGCAATTCAACCCCGGACAATTTAATTGTTCGCCACGTTTTCGCTACACACCTGGCCCGCCTCGTCCATCGCCTACCTGTGCCTCGCTTCGCCTCGCTCTGGCCATCCTTCTTCGTCTTCTTCTTCACCTCCAATCCGATCACCGACTCCGATCCAAGTGCATCACGACGGCTATCGTTATCGCTACACTTGCCACCATACGTGATTGCCATTCAACCAGACCTCGTCCTCGGATAATCGTTGAGATACAACATGGACGGACAGCGACCAGCTTCACAGAAGCTTCCTGCAGGATTAGCGGGTGTATTGAACCCAGACGAGAACCGCGACTCGGCCTATTACTCTAGTACAGATGCCTCAAGCAAGCGTACGTTGGACACAAAGCTAGAAACGCTCGCGATGGAGGGGCGCAACTAACTCTTTCTCCCCCACAGATAACTCTGCGGCATCAGGCGTGGTGCACCATGCCCTCAGCCCCACGGGGTCAGGCTATCAATCTTCGCTGGCAGACAAGACACCTTCGCCTGTCACGGCTAACATGATCCCTCAGCTGGTGTCGCCTGGACAGAGCAACATGAGTGTCGCCGCCATGGTGTCGCCAACAACCCCCGGTAGTGCTGACCCGCGTCGATTCGAGCGCCCGACATCACTGGATTCCGGAGTGGTTCACGACATCATGGGGCCTGGGTCCCGAAGAGAGAGTGTTGACAGCCGGATAAATCAGGGTTTTCACGACATGAGATTGGGCGGGAACTCGCCATACGCGAGCCACAACCAGTCGACTACCTCGATTCAGAACACTCTCAACCAGCAGCGCAATCCCCGTCCCGGCTTGGACAATCTTTCGGTACACCGCATCTCCAATGGATATCAGCCTAGCAGCGACAGAAACCCTGAGCATCCAAAGATCATCCGGACCGCACCGGCCATTACAGGCCCTGCGACGAGCAACATCGCCCGAGCTGCGGAGCCCACCAAGGGTCAGGCATGGGCCTTCCCAGAGGAAGAAATACAACGAATCAGCCACCACGAGCAGTACTTGGACTCAAGACGTAGTAGTATCGCCGAGTCCATAGCCAGCAGCCAGTTCACCACGGAATCGAGACTACCGCCTGGCCAGAGACGTTTGGATGAGCCTGCCGACTTCAACAACCGTTTATCAAGCACCTCTTCCGATTTTCCTCCCGTCCATCATCACTCGCTACAGCTCAAGCAAATTGGAGATCTGCGCGACGACGATGCAGCTTCGCGGACGGGCTCACAACCTTACAGCCGCACGCCTGAGCTGCGGAAGAGTCACAAGTTGGCGGAACGCAAGAGAAGGACAGAGATGAAGGAATTGTTCGACCAACTGCGTGATTTGATGCCACAGGAGCGAGGTTCCAAAGCGTCAAAGTGGGAAATTCTTACCAAAGGTTAGTTTCATGATGCACATAATGATTCTCGAGCATATGCTGATCAGTAATAGCTATTTCCGAGCACCAACGAATGGCAGACGTCATGCGCATGGTGCAGTCGCAAAACACAACGTTGGCCCAGGAGAATGACGGACTGCGACAAGACAACCACAACTTGCGCGTAGACATTCAGCGTCTCCAGAATGAGCTGCACAACACGAGGTTGCAACAGTCCCCCACAGGCCAGGCGCCGCCTCAATCCCAAGTCCCTCCCCCTCAAGCGGTAGGGTATCAGGCGGATCCTTACGCGGCCCGCCGTGAGCTGCCACCAATTCGAGGGCTGAACGGCAACATGCCCAACGGGCCTGATTCAATGACGGGCGTCCAGTACGAGGCTCCCAGAGTTAACGGCTATCGTCCCGAGAGGTACTGAGTCCATATCAAAGACGAAATGAGGCAAGGAAGAATCAACGGTCATGTACATGACCACATTATGCGAAGCAGCGTGCCCCAAACACTCGCCACGGCACTTACTCGTGGGTCAACAAGCCGCGCACGCAGCGACCCCGTGGGCAAAGAGCCTGCGGGATCAACCAACCTATACCCAACCACATGTTCGCGGCCTCGCATGCAGGTCTGCGTGTTCTATTACAGTTCTGTGCCTTTGCTGGAAAGCGCCATGCTCCACAATGCCGTTTGGCGGGCTGTTTGTTTATTTCTTTTCGTGTCGAATGCATCGATACCTGAGTGTGCCACTGCCTCACAGGTTCCGTTGAGATCGGCTCCTCCAGTTCAAAACTGATCACGGGGGACGACAATATACCCTCGTCCTTGGTCAGTAGATAAAAAAGCAAGAAGGCGTCCTATATTTCATCTGTTTCATCTGTTTTTGGGGGGTTGGGTGGGCAAGGCTCGAGAAGGCCAAGGAGGGAATGGTATGGAGAGCCTGGTGTATATACCTACGCGTTGGTCAACGGAATGGCGATGCGGGCATCTAGGGTGCATGCTATGTAATTCATTGCTGTGCTCCGGGAAGAAAAAAAATTATATAGGGAAACTCTGCGGCAGGTTCAATGACTGATGGAGATTATGGATCATCCCTCAGGCGGGAGATACCAGAGGGAATCCAGCGTTTGAATTTGTTCTCCCAGAGACGAGCTTAGGCCTCTCCCTGGAAGCGAGTGGCCATGGAAGCTGTAAATCACAATCTCCTCCCAGGCGGGATGAGGAATCATTGCGAATATCAGTTCTATTGCAATATCATAAACTTGGGCCGACTCATTGTGAGTGAAAAACGAAGCGGAAAAGTCAAGGTTGACGTACATGCCATGGCTGGACTCCAAGTGGATACTCGGTCGAAATACGCTAGGTCGAAATTAGACTAGCGTTCCCGGTCGCCGCGACCCTCGACACGGTCATCCCAAAATTTCTCGTTCGCCCATGGAAATCTCAATCTGCACACCACATCATCTCGCCCTTCACCCTTTTTACGTTTCTCCCTCTCTCTAATCATCAGTCCGTCTACTAGTCCCCCATCACATCCCTTCAATATGTAAGTACTCTGCTCTATCATGCTTCGGCAACGTTGCACTCTGCAATAATTCCATGGTCGAAGGAAGCTAATTGGGAACTTTCTCCGACATCAGGCAGTCCATCCGTCGCGCGGCCACTCGCGCCACCTTTACCAGCTCGGTCACCGCCGCCGCTGCGCCCAAGTCGCAAACCGTCTCCTTTGCTCTGCGTGCCCTGAACGCTGCTGCCATCAGATCCTTCTCCGCCGCCGCGCCGAGAGCCTTCTCCCGCTCCATTGCGTTCCGTGAATATGGCCAGGCCGAGGGAGGCTTCCGCGAGCAGAGGGGCCGCAGACAAGATCCCAGCGAGCACGTTCTCTTCGTCCAAAACTACTCTTTCGATGTTAAGGCCGAGGAGCTGAGCGAGGCTTTCTCCAAGTACGGCGAGGTTGTCGGCGTTGCGATGCCTCCTAAGAAGAGGTAAGTCTCCATACCACTGGATCTCCTAGCGGAGCTTCTGGCTTCGCGTCTTCCTTTTCCCCTTTCCTGATGGCTCCGGCTCTCGTGCCAGAACCCTGAGGAGAGGGCATCATCTGAACTTTTCCTACCCAAGTCGATCAGGGGCTAATCGCTGGATCTTCCCTCTTCTAGCTTTTGCTTTGTCTACTTCAAGACGGCTGAGGCCGTGACAGAGGCTGCCGAGAACGTTGATGGAACGTTCTGGCACGGCCGCCGCATCGTTGCCAAGGCTCGCGACGCAAGCGCAAGAGGACCCGCCAGAGAAAGGGGCGAGAGAGGCGAGAGAGGCAACAACAGAGCGGCCAAGAAGGCCATTTACGACGGCCCTCCCACGGGAACCATCTACATCGGTAACATCTCCTTCGAGGCCTCTGACAAGGACTTGAACGACCTTTTCAACAGCCTCAAGGACGTCCTTGACGTGCGCATCGCTGTGGACCGCGCAACGGGCTGGCCGCGTGGCTTTGCCCACGCCGACTTCACCTCCATCGAGGCGGCGACGGCAGCCATCGAGGTCCTCAATCAGACTGAGATTCACGGCCGCAAGCTCATGAGCGCCAACGCCCCCGCCTCCAAACCTCGTCGTGGCCCCCGTTCCGACAGAGACTCGTCGAAGCAGGTTGAGGAGCGTGTCGAGAACGAGCACGCCCAGGCCGAGGAGGCGCAGAAGGAGCAGAAGCCTGAGGCTGGTGAGCAACAGAACAACTGGAACGCCTAAGTTACCTTTTCTTAAGGTGGTCGGGTGTGTGTCGGCTGAAAATGATCAAGGGCATCGACGATGTCCCTCCTTGTGAGCTCGAGAAGGGAAAGTTGATTGGATGATTTTGTTTCGGCGGCTGAAGGCTTTCGATGAGCCTTTTGTACGAGATCTTCTGATGTATTGTTTTTTTCTACTTTTTTTGTGTTTTTTTTCCTAGCGGGAAAAAGCGTCAGGGATGGGTGAAGAGAAAGTGTCCTGGGCTGCCTGGAGGGGGAAAAGACTCTCGGGCGGAAGAGAAAAAACTGGTGTTTGGAGAAGACGGGGGGGAAATCTCCTGACGCAACGATGAATAACTTGAAGCCGACCAAAAGGCATTGTATCATACGAACTATTAGAAAAGAAGGCCTTTTTGCTTATCATGGGGCTTTCTTTGGGCATACATGGCAAAATTCTTCATGTATAAAAATGTAATATCTCTCTCCTTCAAAACATGACTTTGCTCCAAACTCCTGGGCTGATTCACTCTTGATTACCGTCTGTTAGTTATGCTGTCCGTGACAGCTCGAGGCTATGTGCGAGCCTTTCGCTATCTAATCGCCTATGTCCATTTCCAGGGAGTCTGTCTACGGGCAAGCACGGGATATCGGGACGAAGGACCGACAGAAAAACGTTCGGCATGGGAGCCCCCCCGGCGGAACACAGAAAGCGAGGAGAGAGAGAAAGAGGAAAAGCACCGACCCTATTCGGGGGCCCGGAGCATTCTCATGTCCTTGAAGGAACGGGATATTGATCAGACGGTGGTGGGCAGCCTATGACTTTTCTGGGAATGTGTGTTCGATCCCGGCACCCGGCCAAGTACAAAAAGTCCCCGTTCTTTTTTTTTTTTTTCCCTTCCATTCTCACGGAGGAAACCTGTGTACTCCTCCATTACCTTGCTCGCGCCCGACCTCCTTCTCCTGGACCGTGGACCGTGGACGACATTCTTCACCCCGCCCCCCGGTCCCGTCTTCCTTTCGGCATTATTGACACGGACCAAGGAGAAAACTTTCTCTGATGGGAATGCCAAATTCTACGGAACCTGGCCAAAGCTTCCATTTAGCCTTCCTTCTTGTACGACGTCGCCTGTTCCCTGGATCGGTCAAGGCGAACATGTTGTATCCCGTCAACAATCTATTTAGCTATCCCGCTCTTGGAAGGGCTAGCTGAAGGGCTGTATGTACTCCGTAAAGGATGATCTTCTGCTCCGGCGACCAAGGCCCCCGCAGCAGAAAAACAACACGCCTCCCCCGACCCCCGGCTCCCCGTTCTGCCTCTGCTTCTGCTCCCCACCGACCGACCGAGTCAGTTTCTTTTCTCGCGAGAATTTCACAGAGTGAACGGGATACCCGCGTCCACCCACCTTCCTTGGACCTTGTTCACGGAACTCACGATCCATCATACCATCCTACGTGCTTCCCGCTCAGTCTTCACCCCCCTTCCCCCCTTCCCTTACCACCCTTCTCTCCCCCGCAATGTTTCTCCTTGATGAACAACATGGAGGCATGGAAGGTCCGTCCGCCCCTTCTAGAAAGGTTCTCAAAGGGGGAAAAAGAGGGGGGCCCAAGTCAGGAACATCACGGCATCGCCGTTGGAAAGTAGCGAATACCTACCCGTCGCGAATACACGTATGTAGAGAAACCTTGATCGCGACGCGCTTATGAACGCGCGAAACTTTTTCGTGCCCACATGCAGACGAAGGCATTGATAGATATACCTATCCGTAAGTGAAGGTACGTCTGTGGGAAATCGGTGCAAGACCCGCCGGTCCCGATACCCCCGGCAGCCCAAGACCAAAACCATGCACGCGACATTCCTCCAAAAATCTTACACGGGGGCAATCCAGAATTTCTTCCGAATTAGTCTCGACAGTTGATTCTGGTTGGTCAGAGACCCCAAGCCAGCCCACCACATACATGCGCAAACCCGCAGTCTTTTTTTCCCTAGCGCACCATCACCCACTGGAGCCAAAAATTTCGATTTAGCAAAAGAAAATTGCAACCAAGGACAAAAGAAATTTGACCAGCCTGGGGGTCGAACCCAGAATCTCCTGATAACACACTTAGTCGTAGTCAGACGCCTTGCCATTGGGCCAACCGGCCGATATCCTAGAAAGGATTCGTGCTTGCTTGCTTGTTCGTTCGGAGCCGAAAATTGAGCTATGAACCGGAATTCAGAGCCTGGGACCATGATGTTTAAGGTAGCTTACTTTCTTTCACCTACGCATTACTTATCGACAAGACATGTCAAAGAAGATCTACATGCATACTTGATTATCATGTCAATAAGTAATGGTTCTTGGGGTTAAAGCATTCCACGTCGTTGAGATTTTGAGGCTTTAAAAGCTTCCATTGATGGGAGATTTCACGATGCACTTGTTAGTCTTGGAAAAACACACAAAAACTTCATCTTTTTGGACGGATTCTTGAAACATCTTGAGAAGCATATCGTACTCTACTAGCTGGAATTGTCACCGCTGAGAAACCCCCCCGTCGGCTGGGTAAATCGTCTTTGATGGATGAGGGACTGTTGTCTCATGATGAATAATTCTCGTCATGTGTTTCATACTCGTGATACATACGCAAGATCAAGCTGACTCTGATATCCTGCTGCCATCAAGTCGACTATGTGATGGCCATCATTTCTACGCGTCCCATTTCTTCATTTTGTACTCGCGGCGGTCTATACCTTTCTACAGTTGGCCGCGGCAAAGCTCTCGTCTGTGAACCCTCGCAGTTAAGGGCTGTGTCGGAAAAAGATGACCGCCGCCGCTGCAGGGCGCGATGATGGCATTGAGAACCTCTTCCTCCCCTTCTTCTTCTTCTTCTTCTTCCCTCCTCCCTCTCCCATGGAATTCTGCTGCTGCCGCTCCGAGACTGCGGTCCTGGAACTCGAGTCCCGCTGTTGCTTGGCCAAGGATGAACGTACGGGTGATGGTGAGGCGGCCATGAGCATGGCAACCCGTCTCGGCGACCAAGTCCGGCCGCGACGGGCCTCGCGGACAGGAAAGATCTGGCCCTCGAGATGACGACTGTGGGCGCCGTAGCCTTTTTGTTGCGGCGAAGTTTGTTCGGTCGTGTTGTGGTGGGACATGGACGATGCGAGGAAGTGATGCTGTCTTCTTCGGCCGCTAGGGCGAGGAGCTTGGGCGTGATTTACCTGCGAGATATAGACACGGTCGTTTCGTCATTGAGAATCGGTAAAGCAGGAAGATAAGAGAGTGTGAAACCAACACAAGTGACCTTTTAACCTGCGCTGTAACCCCCACGACCCCTTCCCTTCTCCTTGCCGCCCGCTCTCGAGCTCATCTGAGCTTGCTGTTGGAGTTTTCTTTATGGCATGGAAGGGGCCCCGCGATCTTTGAAGGCGTCCGGTGCGTTTATATGCTCCTCGTATTTGAACTAGAGTCTGAGGATAGGTGCTCGCGGGTTGTACGGCCGCCTGATCGCGGCGGAGTTTTAGTGCAGATAGCCATTCGGGCTCAGTGTTTTGGGTTTCATTCGGGCCGGAGTTAGATGGATGTTGTAACCTGATACAGTTGGCGGTACCTGGATGACTGAACCCCTAGTCAAGTGGAGGACAGGTTGAGAGGCTTGGCCATGACTGTGACAGCGGCTGAGATGGAGGTAATGCTTTATAATGGAATTAGGTGAGTATTGATTTGGGTTCTAGTATGGGTTTGGAGTCTGACTTAAAAAACAGTCCAAAATACGCGAGGGTCGAGCCGCGGTGCTTATAAGTGACATTTCCATCAAAATGTCGTGGCTTTTGAAACCATAAGATGAGTAAAATGTCAACAATCATCGTAGTATATTTCAATTTCAATTTCAAAGTCATCGGGCTGCTTCGGGGGTATGGAATCCGGCGCTATTGTCGTTCTCTTCCGGTGTATACCTCTTGATTGGAAGTGGGAACTCTCGGCAAAGGCTTCGAACGAACGCCAAAGGGCCACTCGGTAACTTGACCATGCCCTTCGAGGTCGAGAGACTTGGGAATAGAAGTGAGATGAATCGTTCGCTTGGGAGACATGGAATCAGCGAGCAGTCTAACAATATATGCAAGAGGTTGTGGCTGGGGTTTAGTATCCGGGACCGACTCCCGAGGCTACGAACTCTCCTTGATCGATCATGTTGAGCACCGCAGAACGGGCTATTCCATGATCAACAAACTCCAACCATTCTTAGGAAATGCTTTGAGCCCGTCTGATTTGACTCTGTGCTACCGCCAATGGCCGGCAGGTACTTGTAGAATTATACTATGGCGTCTTTGACTTTTCCCACCATAGCGAGTGAATTTCCCGATTTCCATAGTCATAATTATCATGGCCGTAATTAACTAGGTATGATACGACCGTGAAAATCATTAGTGACGTGAGCGCCTGTTGATTGATGGTTGTGGTATATAGTACACATAGACAAACAGTATGGTCAATATAGCCGTACTTGATACCTTCTGATGTCGTGCTGTTTATTGTTCACTGAACTGCTTTTGATGCCGATGCGGTCGCCTCTACCTTATTTAAAGTCGTAGCTAGGGGGTTTGCAAGCTATGTAACCCCTTAGGCGATGTAGCTCCCACGGACAGGGGAATATCGGAGAAGAGCTAGCTTACCCGACATCAAGTTTGGGAGACTTTTTGGAGCGTGTCAGGCGCGCTGACGGATGGAGGTGCAGACATAATGATCATCACAATCGTTCATCGTCGGTCTGTTTCCCTAGTAAAACATGAAGAAGGGAGGGGCGACTACGCTGTTGGGCACAAGTAACATTGTACTCAGTCGTGCTTCGTGAGGAGAGATTGGGGCATCTTCCACATGTTACTTCAACGCTGAAGTAAGTAGCTTACCTTGGGCATCACTGGAAAATCAGAAAATGAAACAAAAAAAGCGTCTGTTATTCTTTCTTTCTGGCCCGAGATCTTGATCAATACTCATGGCTAGCTCACCCCAAAAGGGGTAAAGAGCTGTTTATAGACATCAACCGGGGAGAGAGGCGAGACAAGCGTCTTCCCAGATCCCCTCGAAAGTGACCCGAATTCCCCATGCCGTAGCTTGAACGCCGAAAACTCCCAAATCCCTAAGTTCGCATCTTGGTCTTTTGTTTTGCCATTGCTTTCTCTCTCTCGAACGAAAAGAAAAGAAAAAAAAGTCGAGGCGTGAGGACTGACTGCCAGGCTTCCCTTGGTCGCCCTTTCAAATGCTCGTTGAATTCCCCCTTTTCCATACCTAGGCATGCTGGAGAAAAGAAATATAGTAGAAACCCAACTTCTGTATCCAGAAAAAAACTCTCTCTTGATTCTGCCCGGTGCTTTCAGACCATGACTCTATCATTGATGTTTGATTCTCGTTTTGGGTACGTGAAGTTTTCGACCGTGGTCGTGGAGAAGTGAATTGTTAAAAGAGCGGAGAGAAGACAGTGAAAATCCAAATTCAAGGCTCGAGGCGTCACCCTTCCTTGACGAGCTCTCGTGTTTTACACCATGCACAAACACAGTGCTTTCTTTGTGTGGTTTGTCGTGGCCTGTGTATTGTTTGGTGACCCATCGCGCTTACGCCTGGTAGATTGCCGAGGTGTCCAAGTAGAGCAAGTCGGCTAGCGATGGCGGGTTCGATAGTCAAGGTTAAGGTCTTAGTCGTAACTTGCCGGATATAGTACGCTTTCCTGCATTTTTGGGTCGGCGAGGCTGTATCGTGATGATGAAGCGCCGTTCGAATGGCTTTCGCACATTCCTCGTGTTTGCTTCGAGCTGATTGCGACAGCAGCAAATCATTGCAGCAGATCCTTGACGTTTTCTTTCACGTTGAGCGCCCACTTCAGCTTCGCCAACGTCGACCTCGTCTCTTCGAGCAACCTCTCCTGCTCGGCATCCCGCCCGGCGACGCCAGCCTTGATATCCTTGAGCAAGAACTCCTGCTGCGCCTTGTACTCGTCAAACTTGTTCTGAATCTCCTCTTTTTGCCGTCTCAGCTCCTTGATGTTGCCGTCCTGCTGATCACACAGGTCCCGCAGCGCCGCAATCTTTTCGTCGTCGCGCCGCCGCTCCTCGACGACGCCCGCGATCTCGGACCGCAGCTTCAGGTGCGCGCGCTGCACCTCGTCGCCCTGGTCCTTCCAGTGCGAGCTGATGGCGTTGTACCGACCCTCCATGAGCGCGGCGTGGGTGTTTGCGTCCTCGACCTGCTTCGTCGAGCTGGCGCGCATCTTTTCCATCTCGGAGCGCCACAGGTGTTCCTTTTCTTTGGCGTCTGCCGTGCGCTTCTTTTCTAGTTCCACGTTGGCGTGGAGGGTCTCGACCTGGCGTTCCTTGCGGCTGAGGAGCGTCTTGGTGACGCTCGCTTCGAGGAGGCGGCTCTCGTAGTCGCTGATGATGCGCTCCATCTTGTCCTCGACCAGCTTGGCGGCCTGCTTGGCCTCCTCGGCCCGTAACCGTTCGATCTGGATGTCACGCTTCAAGGATTCGTTGTCGCTGACGAGCTTGTTGATGACTCGTCCCGTCTTTCCCAGACCCGCCTTGCCAATGGTTGAGTCCCAGCCTGGGCCTTGCCCTTCGGGTGCGGGGACGGCGTTTTCATCGTCAACGGGCGGCGTCTCTTCCCTTCTTGCTGAGTCTATTTTGATGGTGTTGTCGTTGCCGCCGTGGGGCCAGTCGTGTTTTAACTTGACGCCTGGCGTCCTCTCTTGGTGATTCGAAGCCATGCTGACTGCGCTGGCGTTACTGTTTACGGAACTGGAGAATGCGGAAGTGTGTGAGGGTGCGTCGGAGCTCGTGTCGCTCGCGGCTTCGAAGCTGGGCACTGTTCGGATGGTCTGGACCATCTTAGGGGCGCCTCGGGGAGAAGGGGAGGGGCTCGGCGTCGACTGATGGTTTCCGTCGATGCGCGTTTTCAAGCTACTGTTGCGTACGTTACGAGAGATGTAAGAGGGGGAGGAGGTGGTGGTGGTGGTGGGAGGAGCGAGTGTGCGGCGACTACTCGAAGGACCATGTAGCGAGGGTGTCGTCGTCGTCGTCAGGGAAGAAGACGTTTTGGCGGAGGCTGTTGATGTAGAGGTGTCGAGGTCTTGAGGAGGTGCAAGGTCAGCACGATGGTCACCTTTCCGTGACTTCCAGGAACGGCAGCGGAGCGATATGGCGCCAGTGCCAAACTCCTGAAGGGTTAGGTCGTCGGGAGAGGCTAGAGGCAGAAGAGGGCGTGGAGTGGGCGGGTTGTGGATCGGGGCGAGGTTTCAAGCAAAGAGTGCACAAGGACGGGGACCCTTACCGAGAGCAAAGTCTTGTGGAGGACTATCAAAGTCGGGTACGGATACCTGGGGAGGGTTGGATGGTAGTCGTTGTTTGTCGTGTTTATTGGGCTTTTGCAGTCGACTAGGCATGTCTCTGGCTCATGTTACTCAGTCCGTGTAGGTTGATTGGTGATGTGGTCCAGGTAGGCTGGTCGGCGGGCAGGTAGTTCGCAGATTGTTTAGTGTTTAGTGCTGGCGTGTGTTTGGGGCAATGTGTGGTGGTGGTGGTATGGTGTGGTGGGTGGTTGCAGCAGAAAGTTGGGGGCGCGCGCATTCGTCTTTTTTGGATTGGGCGTTGGTTGATTTTTGGCTGCTGTTGAAAACGGCGGCCCGTCTGATGTCGGACGGCGGCTGACGTGGGATTGGATGCGCGGAGTCGGTGGTTTTCTTGGGGGAGATGCTGAACTCGATATCCGTAGACGGGAGAAAGAGAAAGAGAGAGAGAGAGAGACACACACTGCCTGGAATGGGCGGATGTCCGGGTCAAGCGTGGCGGATGGGATTAATTACAACTGGGAAGAAGCACGCGAAGCCCATGCGGCGAGGGTAATGCAAGGAAGAGAGAGAGAGAGGCAGAAAATACGGGAAGAGATGGGACGGGATTCTCGGCCTTGAATGACAAAAAGCTGGATCCAGAGCTACCCGTAGGGTCAGTATTGTACCTAGTCCTATCCGTACGTCAGTCAGGTTCAGACCTGGGTTGACTGGAGCTGGCTGGAATTGGATAGTGGACAATCTTCCTCTGACAGGAGGTGGGAAAGGAGGGTCGAGCGAGAAGGGAAAAGCCCGGATGAAAACTAGAGGAAGACGGCGGCCGAGACAAGCATAAGGCAGATCAGAGCGGGCATTTGGTAATTCCTAGGGTCGGGTGCCTTAAGTAACTCCTCGACAGTAAGGCAATGATCAATTCGTCCAAAGGACCCGCTGTGTCTTGTTCGCTGCTGGGATTCGGTTGTTCTGCTTTGCTTTTCTTCGTCCGCCTTTCATTCAACACAATGTCAAATACCTTCCTTACCTCACTTGGCCAGGCACACGAACAAAACATCAACACTGACAACGGGCAATGCAAGGACAGAGCACACGGCAGCAGAACACACCGCATCGCAGCACAACACACCGGACAGTGAACAAATCACATCAAACGGGGGTCACGGCAGACACCGACATGTCAACCTTGATGCGACCACTCACTGCCCTGACTAACCAGCCGAACCCCCCACTAAAAAGCAGGAGAGCACCCTGTTCCCCAGCAACCCGGCTGCTGCGTCACTCAGCCTCTGCAGGAAAAAGCTGCATGGGGGGATGATGGCTCATGCACGGTCCCCCCTATTATTGTTCCTCTCTTCTTATGTGCCTCTGCCTACTAACCTTATGGATGTCTACCTACCTACTTATGTACGGACATGTAGACTTATAGTAGGCCCCTTAAGTCGTCAGGCAAGGGGCAGCGGCGCGTGTGTGAAAGGGAAAACCGATATCCCATGATACAAATGCGCATAATGTTGAATTTCCCTTCAACTGGCGATTCCGGGAATAGCCCCCCTTTCCTTTCAAGCAGCCTTACTCTCTACCCAACATACTCTCTTCATCCAGTCAAGAAGAATCTCAAAGAATACTAAATTGGACACCGTAAATACACCCAGCCTGCCAAACAACCCGAGCTTTCCCCCCCTCTTTCGTGACCAGCACGCGTCTCATCCCGTCCCCCATCTTGAGAGCTCTCTAATCCCAGCGCAGATCCGAGCCGCACCTCACTTTCAATTCGATTCCCCTCTCGACCACCACCTCGTCAAAAGAAAACCACCCCTATCCCAGTCAGCATCGGTTGAGCCCTGAGAGCTTCAACTTCATGTACACGATTCCTCCCCTCCCTCTCCTCCCCTCCCCTGAAGCGATCTCTGCTAGACCCCCTTTTCCCGCCATGCAAGGAATCCCTTACTTACACGCAAGGCTTGTCAACTTCACCCTCCTCCCATATCTCTCATCCCATCTTGAAACTCCCCCCGCCACACGGAGCCTAGAGGACTACGTGAAAGGGAACTCTGAGGCTTTCGTCGGGAGTTCGGCTCCCCGTTCACAGTTGTCGTCGTCTTTATATTTAGTACACCTTGGAACAATTGGCTTTTTCTCATGGCAGCTTTACAAGCGAGAATGACCACACACACGCAAATCTCATATCAACTATGCACCTCAACCTCGACATCGCTGTCCGAAACAGTAGATACATGCTCGAGGACCTACTTGGACCCTTCTTAGATGGGAACAAAGATGCTTGCAGCAGCCATACCTCGAAGCTCGTGATTCTATTTTCCCTCTCCCCTTTGCGATCTACCAAACAGCCTCTGTTCTTCGGTCCAGAAACTCGTTAACATGTTTCTCCGTTGAGCAAATCACCCCACGTGCCACGAAGGTGACATACTTCGCCAAGCACAGTCAAACCGGACAGACGCCGGAGGAAAAAAAAACCACCTCTCTAACCCCCCATACCAAAGCTTCCTCCGAAATCCAAAGACCGACCGACGCTAACGTCAGACCTGGGGACCGAGGCAGTCCATGCCCCCATCTTTCTTCCTTCCTTCTCCCAGGAATCCATCATTCCTGTCTGAGAGCATCGCTAGCCTGGCGTACTCGGCCCCTTGCCTGCCGTATTCCCGTCATCCCACAGGCGCTCACCCGCTGTCGATATATACGGCCCTCTCAAAATTAGTAGTCACGGAACATGTGTATAAATGGCAGATCAAGAGGGAAACATTCAGCTGTCGCCGCCTCAAGCACGCAACTGACTTCAAAGACTTTGCTTTTCAGGGCCCTGACGCCCTTGATTTATATGTATACAGTTTATCCGTACACTTTCCATGGTTTTCGAACCCCAATCGTCGAACGCCAGACCCATGCCTTTGCCATTGCCATGCCCACGCCGATTTGCTTCCGTGGCGTCTCCTCCGTCTTGTACAACCCTCTCTGCTTTTAGGTCCAAAAAGTCAGAGAGCCCTAAAGACCAATTGCTGCCCGCTTCGCTCCAGCTTTTCTTTGGGTATTCGTTCGGTTTTCCGCAACTATCAAATCATCCATCCTCGCAAAACCCCTCTGTTCTCAACGCCGTCGTGGCGTGGCTATCGCGTGTTGTGTAGTCGCATGAACGCGGTGTTGATCATGGTCACACTATGTTGTGATAGCCGTCGTGGTGTTCGTCGCTGGTGCTGATCCAGCCTCTGCAGCTGCCTTGGCCGATTCCAGCCAGGTCGGCCGGAACTTGACCAAGTATTTTGCCGCCAAAGGTCGCGCGTCCTCGTCTGTATACAGTTAGTATCATAAAACAACGCAGCCAAGGGAGGGCATCACGTACACTCTGTCCAGATATCTTGCACCGTATCCAGAGCCAACTCTTTGGCCGGCGGCCGCATCATGACCAAATACAGCAGACTCGTCAACGCTAGAGGCACAACCAACGGATCTCGGCACATCAACTTGACGCGTGATAAGATGGCAGGGCTGAGTTCGGGAACCTCGCCCAAAAATCGGGTAATGACTTTATCTTGGGCATTGAGGTACTGAGAGAAGCCGTCAATCAACTTGAGGGCCCATTTCTCGTAGTGCAGAGGATGATCTCCCTCCTGCTTCTTCTGCAGCTGATCATTGTACCATTCTTCGTGTAACCAGGTGATGGCAACATCGATACGGCGGCGGAAGTCCTCGAGGACGTAGGTGTACAAGGACTCCCGAATACTGTCACCGAGAGATAGACGGCCAGTGGTCTCGTCCTTGATGCCATCCTCCATGCCGGCCGACGAACGACTCGCTAAACGCGTGATAATGGCGATCCAAGATTCTCGGTCGTTGGTACTGGCGGCTAATCGGTTGATGCCAGACTTTGACTTCTTCGCAGGATCCTCCAGTGTCTTGACGAACTGGAAAAGCGACATCACAGAGCCTTGACCCGCGCTGAGTGCCAACTCAGGCGTGAGTGCTGGTGGAGGTGGTAGCCTAAACGTCCTCAGCCCGAGATCACCGTCGTCTGGTTTGGTCACAGGGTCACTATCGAGCTTGTTGAGAATCTGCTCGTTATCCTCGGCGGCGTAGAAATCTGGCTCGTATTCATCGTCCTCATCTTCGACACCAAGAGGGGCGGTCTCGGGATCGATTTGTGGTGGAGGCTGGGCAGCCAGCACGTTGAGGCGCCCTCGAATACCCTACAAAAACGTCAGAAAAGATTGCGCCCTGCGTGCTTGATTCGGACATACCTCGACGGCTTTCATGAGCAATTGGGCATCTGTCCGGAGGAGCGTGGTGATGCTGATCTTAGCAGCTAAAGCTGTCGGCAACGTGCCCACATCAAAGGCCTTCAACCCCTCGCTTCCAGTAAGAGTAAAGACGTCGCCTAGGCTGTGAGGGCCTGGCGGCAGTGGCGTAATTTGTATCTGCGGCGTCGTCGCAATTTGAGGTGCCATCCGCTGGCGCTTGGCCTCTATTACCTCGTGTTGCTGCTGTGCCTCGAGAGCTCGTTTCCGGCCAGATTCATCAAAGATTTCGTGTCTCATACGCATCATCCTTTCCACGTGCTGCTGGATTCGCTGCGCCATGGGATTTTGAGGATCGCTTCATCACAATGGTCAGTGATACAACTAACAGAATGGCGCACATGGGACTAAGGATTTACCGTTTGGCTAGATGTATCAAGAGCATTCGAGTGGTCTTCTCCATGGACTTGACCATTACACGAGTTCTAGGGGTCATTGGCGAGTTTGCAAGCTTCATCGGGTTGAAGTTGAGAACGGCATTGAGGATCCTGTTTGCAGTGCCCGGTCGGCTGCGGATCAAAATGGAGAGGCAGTTCAAAGTGGCATCAACGAGCAACACATCACTATCACCAGAGTGCTGCGGTTAGCTATCGTCGGATCCTTCTTGCTTTCGCTTGCAATCCTTACCTGCTGTTCTCCTGCAGTACGCTCAGTATCCTGTCCAGTAAACCAGCTCCTTCGGCGTCGAGCGTCCTAGCATCTAGCGTCTGATGGCTTGGCGGGATCTTGTCGAGTGATACGTCGAGGGAATCGCCTCGCTAGACATCATGTCAGTAACAACACAAAAGTATACTCTTGGGTTCATCGTACTCTCGGTTCGTTGGGATTGGCCGCCGATTGTGCTAAAACAACTCGCTGCGCAAACTTGATACAGCATATCCGCACCGTGGATTCGGCATCGTCCCAAATCTGGAGAATCCTCTGCTTTATCGCGACCATTCGTTCCCATGTAAATGTGTCGTACGAGTTGTTAATGCTACCGATCCAATTAGCCTCCGATGCACGCAACGCAACAAGAGTATGCCCAAGAAGTAGATGCGCACGTACATCCATCGCAACGCAAAGGGATAGATGCTGGCTGCCGTCTGAATAGCGCTTCGCAGGACGTGGGCGTCCTCGTTGGGGGTCTCGACCATCGTCTGTAGAGTGTCCAGCACAAACAGCTGCATCGTCTCCTTCTCGCTTCCGGGGAGGGCTGGCGTCGCGAACGCCTCGGCGAGGAAATCGGCGCCCCATCTGCGCAGTTCGACGCCCGCCGTAGGACCGACAATGGGTAGAATGCTTTTGACGACCGTCGGGTAGTACTTCACGTCACCGAGGACGAGCTTCCTGGCGTCGTTTAGTTGGCGAATCTGGTCGCTCACGGACACCTGCGGGGAGGGAGCCGCCATTTTTGCAGCGAGCAATGGGGAAGACGCTCCTAGTCTAAATGATATCAGGCGGACAACAAAGTTATTTAAAAATCGATGGAACGTAAGTGTGTTGTCGGATATCGAATCTCGGGCAGATTGGAAGATAACTTGGGTGTCACGAGGGCAGCAGCTGTCGCGACTTGTCGAAATATGGAGAGCTCAAGCTTTTCCAGATCACCATTCTCCCACGCGCCGATAAACACACAGTCGCAATCGTGAAGAGTCGTGTTATTCGTCGAGATGAATGATGAAAGCGAGATGGGCGATGAAGGGAATTTCCTGGCGGTTCGTATTGGCTACCCGTCGATGCGATTCCTCGGTTGCCCTGCTCCAAGAGTCTGATGTATTTCCTGCGGTGCAAGAAGAGGCAGCAAGCACCCACCGACGTTGAGGGACTGCGTGACAAGCGACGCGGATTATGACGGGGCGTGTCGACGGCTGCTGGCTGTTTTGGGTTAGCGCATCGGCCGCCTTAGAGCCTTCAGGGAGACGTGGGGCCTCACCAGGCACGGAACTTGGAAGGCACGATACCTTTCAGTCTAATGTACGGAATACTGGGCTCTGGATCGCTTGCGTAGACTCTAGAGATGCTCCCAAGGAATGGTGCACTCTCAATTGAATGACGAAAAATCGGAAACGTCTGCCGTAATTTGATGACCAAGGATGTTTACAATGCATCTTGATAAGCTAAATACTAAATGTGTTGACTTGTTGGAGCTTTGAGCTTGAGGTCGCAGGGCCAGAAAGCTACTTCGTACCTACCTAGGTAAGGGAAGAAAGACGCAGCTTCCGCTGCTCAGGTACCGATGTCTCTCCTGCAAAGGCGGCGACGCAGTTTTCAGTCCCCCCAAATGCCCCCCAAGAGACCCCTGCTCAATGTTATCGGACAAGTCTACGTCACTATCAGTTCTGCCGCACTTTCTCCGTCTTATCGATACCAATCAGCGTCAAGGCAATCAATGCCGGGGCTGGCTGCGCCTGTTGGAGTTCCCACTGGGAAGTTCGAACCACGGCGTTTGCGACAAGGGCCCCGACCGACCGACATTGAATTTCCCGAACCCGCGCGGCGCAAACCCACGATCGATCACCCCTCCCCTCCCCCCCGGGCCTAAACCTCACGAACTTTCGATACCGGACCTTACGAAAACACGAGCCTTAGTCTTCACTCACAATGGCGATGTGCGTCTACCCCGTCCTCCTCCCCGTCCGTCGCCCCCCACCGGGATGAAGCAAGTAGTCTGACAAGCAGGAAACGGACAACCTCTACAGCCCCCAAAAGTCCTCCTACTACGATCGTAACCTCCGTCAAGGGCCTGCCCTGATTAGAGCGCGCAAGCCTTACCTCACCAAGAACCTCGCTGTCGGTGCTGGACTGTGGTGCTTCGTCGGCGCAGTGTGTATGTGGCGATACATTTCCTCCCGTGGCACCTTCTGGTCCCGCACACCGGTCCCAGCAATCAGTCAACTAATCATTCTTTTCAATATAGACTGGTACACGATTAAGGCGGTCGGACAAGATGAGTTCGAAGACGTCAAGGTTCCCGATGCTCCGAGGCAGCCAGCAAAGTCCAACTAGGCCGATGGACAGTATGGCAGAGGAAATGCGTGATGTACGAGTTTAGCGCGGGATGGGATAAAAAAGTCCCGAGGGATATAAAAATGTGAGAGTATCTCAGTATGCATGGAAGCATATGCCATTGTACTATATATATCTGCGAGTTCTCATCTCGCTCTTTTCGCCGGTTGCACCAATATCAAAGAAAAACAAATCCCCAACCAGTAACTCTTGTGCATCTCTCATTACAGGATTAGACCCGTCCCGTTCAATGCAAATGCGGCTCCATAAAAACCTGTCCATTCCTCCTCATCTTGTAGATACCATAAGTTTTTGTCACCCTCTTTGGGAGTCCGCAAAAAAAACATGCCCGTTGTAATGAACGCGCCGGTGCGAGCGTGACTAGTTAAAGGAAAGAAAAAGGGGCGAGGTGCCCAAGCCGTCGTGGGGTATCATAACAGAGCAGTAAGCCTCGAAAACGCCGTTGGCCTTCCATTGATGCCGTCCTAACTTGCCATCGCCGACACTGGTTCTTGTTTAGGAGCCGTGTTTTTCGCCGCTTTTGATGTGCGGCTACCTGCGCGCTTCATCTGGGCACTCTGAGTCAAAACATTGGCTGTTCTCACCATCTCAGGAGAGGCAGAAATGAATCGGTTCATCGGCGGCGATACCTGCGGCACGACATGACCGTTTGTTACGGCTGGTATCGGCTGTGGGTTGGACGGGCCCGCTGCTGCTTTTCCTCCCTGCATGGGACTGCTCATTCGAGCCCCGGCTGCTGCAGGTCCTGTGCTGATTTTGTGCGCAATGTGGTTCGGGTTGGCCCAAGGAGTATCTTTGATGAATTGTTCGCCGGCGGGGCCGAGGTTGGACCCGAACGCGACTGCTTGATAATCCTCAATGGGCTGCATTATTGAACGCTGACGAGGTTTCGTATTACGCTGGAGAGGATCAGCAATGTGTTTTTGACTGCGAGGATCCTGTAATTCACCAACCTTCATTTGCTCCAGGTCGTCTTCGATCTCTGAGCCGCTGGCGCCCCTCATGGCCGGCACCGCGGGGAAGCCCTCATGCTTGGCAAGGCCGGCCAAAAACGAGACCTCCGAGTTATATGCCACAGCGTTTCTCGTGCGCTGTGCAGGATTCGTCGGGAAAAGGAGACCGTAATCCGGAATGCTGTGTGCGCTTCGCCTAGCATTCTGGGTTTCGTACCACTCCTGGTTGAGATCTTCGAGCATCTTTGAGCGCTTTTCCCGAGAGCCCTGGTAGAATTGATTCCAAATCTGAGCTCGGCGCGCCACTGCCAATCTCTCGAGGGCCTCAACCGAGAGCTCGTATTCCTTTTCAATGTTCCGAAGCTTCTTCTCAAGCCTTTCGTCTAGACATTGCTTCATGTTTAAGTATTCGGGATGTGACGGCGGCTCGGCTTGCAGTGACTGTTCTTCATGCTCGAGACGCTCGAGGCGATCCTTGTACAAACTGTGAACACTACGTTAGTCGCTGTGGAAAGTAATGCTTCTCGGTCGGGAAGACTCACCGCTCGCGGAAGACGACAAATTTCTCCTCGAGATCGGTCCATTCCTCAACCGCAGCACGTTTTCTCTCGACTGTTGTATTCTGTCAGCAAGCTTTAAAAGACAGGTGGATCGCAAGTCACTCACATTCTTCGTCGTTCCTCGTCGCTTCCGCCTCGTCGTCACCCTCGTGGTCAGCTTGGTCGTCGCCGTGAGGCCCCGAATCGTCGTCGCCGCGACTATCGTCTCGAGCGTCACCATCGTGCCCTTCGTTCTCATGGGCCTCAGCAGCGTGGCCTTTCCTTCTGCTACCGTTGCGGGTAACCTTTTTTGTAATTTGTGAATCCTTAATCGGGCTGTGACCATCGCGCGAAGGGCCGCGCTTGCTATGGGGAAGTCCCAAAACACTGTCCTCGGTCGCAGAGTGATCACCAGTATGTGAATTTGTGGACGGGACCTCGTCGTCGTGCATGTCCACGTCATTCTTGTGCTGATCCTGCTCCTGGGCCACGACCGAGCCGGTGCGCTTCCTGGCGGGCTGGCCTGGTTCGGATGATTCCGCGACCGGCGACCGCTTTCTTTTCTTGCTATCGATATTCTCAGGGTCGTCTTCGGTAGATGGGAGCTCGGTGGACTTCTTGGGCTTGCTGGGCGAGCCCAAGTCACCATGACTAGAGGTCATTGACACGTCGTCGCGGTCGGAAAGACTGTCGTCGTCGCCGTCGTCGTGGGCGCCGACCGAAAACGTCTTTTGAAGCTTGCTAGGGGTCCGCTCGTAGACCTGGCCGTCGTTGAACTGATTGACAACGACGTCCTTGTGGCGCTGTGCCTGCGGGGTGTCGTAGAGACGCTCAGTCTCCGCTTCGGTATCATTTGCCTCTGACAGATTGCTGTCAGAGTCGAGCGCCTCGTCATGGTCTGGACGAGTGTGGTCGAGCTGCATCCCGTCGAGAGATTCGCCGCCATCCTTGTCCTCGACGTCGCTCAGCGGGCTGGAGATGTTGCTATCGTCATGATCGAGCGTCGCCTGCCCTGGGGAGAGAGCAGGCGGCGCGGACGCCGTGGCTGCCATTGAAAAATTGAGTTGATACCGCGCTGTGGGATATCAAATCGGGTGGTTTGGAGGTTGGGAGCGTCGTGGAGCGGTGCAATTCGGGCAGAGGAGTTTTCGTGGGAACGAAGACGGGGCGCGGAGGGACAAGCACCAGCGGCAGCGGCAGCGACAGCGGCGGGTTGGAGGAGCGGGCGGGTCGCTGTTGTGAAGAGGAAAGCGAGGGCGTGCTAAAATCAAGGTTTGAAAAAAGGGAGTTCGAGAGAAGCATCAACGCGTGTGACTGTCTGGTCCTCGAATGCCGACGTGGGCGAGCGCAAAGTGGTGGTGTTGTGGTGGGTTTTCGGAGAAGAGAGAGAGAGAAGCGTAGCGTAAGTGACCTGCCGCTCCATGAGAGATGCGCTCACCTGCTCCCTCTCTCTCTGGGCTGTGCCTTTCTCCGGCCCCCCCAGCGGAACCAGCATCGGTCGGCAGAACCAAGTCTTGGCCCAGAGCGAAAGCGGTGAGAGCTGGCATAACACCGGGCACGGGGCACTTGTTCTCGGCAAATAGCGGTCTTCTGACGTTTTGCACCAATCTACGGTTGTTCCGCTTCTTATCGGCGCACTGAACCTCCGAAATCTCTTATCGTATTGGGGAGCGCAGGCCAAGTCGTACAGAGAGCTTGATTTTTTTTTTCTTGTTGCGGCAGTGATCTGGGGGGGTTCGGTGCTTCTACCTTACAGCAGACCCGTTGAAGAACATAGATACTCAACAAAACAAGTCATATATCTGTCGCAACAATGGCGAAAGGGTGAGCTCAGTCCGAATGTCATGGTAGAACTTCAAACACTAATTGTATTTAAAATAGATCAAAACTTGCGGCCTCGAGCAAGGCCATTGACCCCACCCTCAACGCCCTCTTCGCATCCAGTGTAAGTCTTTTTGCGACAAAGTCGACCAATTAGGCCAAGGAAATTCTAACAAAATCCAGTCCGGACCTGTGAAGGCCCCAGAAAAGTCAAGATACTCCGAAGCGCCTCCGCCAAAGGTGAAGCCCACGCCTGAGGCTTCCGACGATGATGAGGAACTTCCTGATGCCGACGACGAGGAGTTGTCCGAGCTTGGTAGCGATGAGGAGATTGACCTCGAAGATGTCGCCGAGTCAGAGGAAGAGGAAGTATCAGAGTTAGCCGTGAAGCCAAAGAAGGAGCGCAAGCGCAAGAGGGTGGAGGATGACATCGAGGGCAAATACCTAAGCAAGCTCGCCGAGGCGGAGGAGAAGGAGAAGCCTGCTGAGAAGCGCACCAAGAAGGAGACCAAGGGTGCGGAAGAGGGAGAGGAGGCCGCTTCAGAAACGTCATCCGAGGGCGAGAGCGCGGACGAAGGCGAAGAAGAGGAAGAGGCAGAAGAAGAGGACTCCGACGAGGAAGCCATCCCCGTCCACGAATCCGTCGCAGCCGACAGCAAGGCCAAGACAAAGGACACGGAACTCGAAAAGGCAAACCGCACAGTCTTCCTCTCCAACGTCGCCTCCGACGCCGTCGACAACAAGACAGCCAAGCGCACCCTCGAAGCCCACCTCACGAGCGTCCTCGACAAGGACGCTACCCCCGCGCAAAAGATCGAGTCCATCCGCTTCCGCTCCATCGCCTTCTCCGGCGGCGGCCTCCCCAAGCGCGCAGCCTACATCACAAAGTCCCTCATGAACGAGACGACAAAGTCTGCAAACGCCTACGTCGTCTTCTCTACGCCCGCCGCCGCCCGAAAAGTCTGCGCCGAGCTCAACGGCACCATCGTCCTCGACCGCCACCTGCGCGTCGACAGCGTCGCCCACCCGGCGCAGACGGACCACCGCCGCTGCGTGTTTGTCGGTAACCTCGGCTTCATCGACGACGAGACCATTATCGCCACCAACGAGGAGGGCGAGACGGTGCAGAAGAAGCGCACAAAGGTGCCTGCCGACATTGAGGAGGGTCTCTGGAGGACGTTTGGCAAGCACGCCGGCAAGGTCGAGAACGTGCGCGTCATTCGCGATCCCAAGACGAGAGTAGGCAAGGGTTTCGCCTACGTCCAATTCTATGTAAGTCGCCCTCAAAATATGGAACCTGGATCCTTCAAGATACTAAGAGAAACACTTGCTAACAAAAAAACTCACACAGGATGGCAACCACGTAGAATCAGCCCTCCTCCTCAACGGCAAAAAATACCCTCCCATGCTCCCCCGCATCATGCGCGTAACCCGCGCAAAGGCCCCTCAAAAGACCGCCCTCGCCATGGAGCGCACCAACAAGGCCAGAGCCGCCCAGGCAGGCGCCTCACGCGGCGGAGCGCCCGGCAGCACAAAGTACAAGGCCAAGATCACCCCTGAGCAGCAGTCCCTCGCCGGCCGCGCCAGCCGTCTCCTAGGTCGCCAGGGAGCCCGTCGTGAGCGCGACGACAACAGGAAGCCACGCACCCACGCCCCGGCCAACGGCTCCGGCGCCATCCCCAAGGACGAGATGAAGAAGCCCGAAGACTTCATTTTCGAGGGCCGTCGCGCCAGTGCCAAGGACGGCAGGCCAAAGGATCTCAAGTTCAACAAGCGGAGCAAGCCCAAGGGCGGCGGCGGCGTCAAGAAGACGAAGCCTACGGGCCGTGGTGCCAAGCGAGCCGCTGAGTGGAAGAATAAGCAAAAATGAGGTTGAGATTGCGTGAGGTGTGTTGATCTGCTTGCATTGAGGTAGTTTGCATGTAATACCAAAAGAAGACAGATAGAAGCGTCGGGAAAAGGGCGTCCAAAATAATGAACATTGTGCAACGCACAATTAAACATCATCGACTTACAAAGCGTAAATTAAATATCGCGTTACTACCAACAGCGGATGTATGAGATTCACTCTGTAGTCACAGCATCAAGTTGCAAACGAGTCAAGTTGAAGAATACGTCCATTTACAAGTGACTACTTTCAATCCCCAAAGAGGCTCTCGTCAGACAAGTCAGGAGGTACCACGTATATACTCGTCAAAGAAGAAAGTGACTTGGTCTCATCTATTATCAACTCGAGCTTGACGCCGAAATATCCATTCGTTGGGTTATGGGTTAATCCAGTGCCTTGTGCGCGTCCATGTCCGTCCGGCAAGAACGAGAAACAGAAGTCTACCGAACCGACACCCCGACGGCCGCCAAAAGAACAAACTTTTTTCATGCAATTCGTTTTTCGTCCAAGGCTGCCGGGTTCGTCATTGTTCGTTGCAGCAACCGATATACCGCGAAACAAAAAAACGGGACGGTCTCCGATGTCGGCTTAGTACTCGGCATCGTCCTCCTCGCCCTCGTACGAGTCGGCAGCAACCTCCTCGTAATCCTTCTCGAGCGCGGCAAGATCCTCGCGGGCCTCGCTGAACTCACCCTCCTCCATACCCTCACCAACGTACCAGTGGACGAAGGCGCGCTTGCTGTACATGAGATCGAACTTGTGGTCGAGTCTCGACCAGGCCTCGGCAATGGCGGTGGTGTTGGACAGCATAGAGACGGAGCGGTCGACGGAGGCGAGACCACCGTCGCCAGCGGCAGCCGGAACAGCCATGGGCTTCTGGTAGTTGATTCCGAGCTTGAAACCAGTGGGGCACCACTCGACCAGGTTGAAGGAGGACTTGGCCTTGAGGGCAGCAATGGCGGCGTTGCAGTCGCGGGGGACGACGTCGCCACGGTACAGAAGGGCGACGGCCATGTACTTGCCGTTGCGGGGGTCGCAGACGACCATCTGGTTGTTGGGCTCGAAGCCTGTAATTGATTAGCACTCGTTTGTATTCACAAGTTGACACACGGCCCAAACATACACTGGAAGGTGAGCTCCTGGACCTTGAAGCTCTCGTGAGAGCTCTTGTTGGCGGAGATGACGGGAGCGTAGCTGATCAAGGGGTAGTGAATACGAGGGTAGGGGACCAAGTTGGTCTGGAACTCGTTGAGATCAACGTTCAGGGCACCATCGAAACGGAGGGACGAGGTGATGGAGCTGACGACCTGGGCGATCAGACGGTTGAGATGCTCGTAACCGGGACGGGGAATGTCAAGGTTGCGGCGGCAGATGTCGTAGACAGCCTCGTTGTCGACGAGGAAAGTGCAGTCCGAGTTCTCAATAGTGCTGTGGGTGGACAGAACGGCGTTGTAGGGCTCAACAACGGCAGTCGAGACACGGGGGGCGGGGTAGACGGCGAACTCAAGCTTCGACTTCTTGCCGTACTCGGTGGAAAGGCGCTCGAGGAGGAGGGCACCGAAGCCAGAGCCGGTACCGCCACCGAAGGAGTGGAAGATCAGGAAGCCCTGGAGGGAGTGGCAGTTGTCTGTTGGAGGAATTGGTCAGTTTCGACGTAGCCAACGTGTCAAAAAACGATACACGGGGAACTAACCAGCGACGCGGCGAACACGGTCAATGACATTGTCGACCATCTCCTTGCCGATGGTGTAGTGACCACGGGCATAGTTGTTGGCAGCATCCTCCTTGCCGCTGATCAACAGCTCAGGGTGGAAGAGCTGACGGTAGCCGCCAGTTCGGATCTCGTCAATGGGAGAGGGGTCGAGGTCGACGAAGAGGGAGCGAGGGACGTATTTTCCACCGCTCGTCTCGGTGAAGAAGGTCTCGTAGGAGCCGCCGTCAACGACATCCTTGGCGCTGGGGTCAGGACGACCATCGGAGCCGAGGCCGTGCTCGAGGAGGTAGCTGCGCGTTGGGCGGTCAGTTCCATGGGATTTCGCGTTCGGATCAGGAGGATATGAGATTGGAGGTCAACGTACAGCTCCCAAGCAGAGTTACCCAGCTGGGTACCGGCCTGACCGAGATGAAGGTGAAGAATCTGGAGACATCGCCGTCAGTATCGGGGCCGCACACCGAGGCCAAAATGAATGGGACAGCTAGGCAGGCTGGATTTCAGGGGTCGCCTCGGTACGGGAAAATGGGGGAGCAGGAGCAGGAGCAGCAAGGCAGCCAGCACACGATCCGTTGGAAGCTGTGATATGAAGGATTGGGGTATAGATGAAAAGAAAAAGGGAATGGCATTGTGCTTACCTCGCCCTTCATTGTGTAATGTGGCTCAACGAGACTTGGGAATAGCTGCGACGCAAAGTAGAATGGGGAAGGGGAATATTTTCACGCGCGCAGCGCAGAGTTGAGGTTCGGAAGAGCTAGGGGGAAGGAAGGTGTTGGTGATGGTTTTCAGAGGTTTGGAGTGGAGGGTCACTTGTTGTGGGCAAGGCGGGGCACAATCAACAAGGCCGACCAGTGGCGCGATAGGCTTCAAGGCAAAGGGTATTCCCCCCCTTCTTCACTGGGTTTAGCGCCTGTCTTTCAGTGCTAGCTTTACAGCTGTTGGCGTGTTGGGTCTCCAGTACCAAGATGATTGCGGGGGTCAATACAGCCAATCAAGTACCGGTGACACTCTCACCGCTACATGGCCCAAGCGTTTTTCCCTTTTGTCTATTGGATGGTCTTCAGGGGTGCATGAAGATACCCGCACACTGCCACCTGCCATCACCACTCACCAACCAGTCTTTCTCACGGCAGCAGGTGCGATATACGACGGGATATCAAGCTCAAAGATGCTGTTTCCTTCTTCACCTGGCTATCAAGGCAGAAACAGACAGCTGTCAGGCTTCAATTGCGTCGAGTATCTTCACCGCTCACTCATCAGCTGCCAGATCTTCTCTTCTTTCTACGAGTGGTCCGTGCAGGGAATCCGGGGTCCAAGGCATTGACTTTCGGGAACTGCAGACGAAGATCTTGCCACTTTGGTACAGATAGTGCCTTTGATGAAGAGAACTACTGAGAGCACTTTGGGGTGCTAGTCCTTCAACAACTTTGAGGCTCTAGCAATGGCCTATACTTGAACAATTCCACTCAACTTCAACAAGCCAGTTCGACTTGACGTCGTTTGAAGGTACATCCTCGTAATCGGTGACATCCGAGTGATCTTCAGAGGGGCCGAGCCAGATCCGGCCCCACTCTCCGCTTCCGTTTGTCGTCCGACGTCAATAGCTTCTCCTTGTCTAGCCCTACAAAGGTCCCAGACAACAAGCTGGATCATAAGACTCAAGCTTCCGGTGATTTAGAACTTTTCAAGGAAATACGAAGATATCAGCGCTCAAACAATAGGCTCTTCTGGTTAGAACGAACTGGTTCTTTAGTTGCAGACTCCCAGACGGAGACTACATTAGCCCTGAACAAGGATAGGCAATTGAGGGCAGTATTACCTTATAGTTCATGGGTTAGGTATCAACACTGCTTGGAACTAACTGCAACCGGGTGTCGTCCATCCAGCTATGATATACTTCCTAGGCTATGAGTATTTAGAGGGCGGTTAATTCTAGTCGACCTTTTCTCACTACCAAGGATGCGGCAAAGACATGGGAGGTTTCATAGGCACCTCTTCAAGACAATTTTGAGCAGAGATTTTCGTTCTATATGATTTAATCAATCCTGTAGTTTGATATATGTCCTGTTTGCTCCAGTACTGTGTCACTATGCTTCCACTCAGGAGCCACAGTTAGACCTGTCATTCACTCCTGACCCTCTGGGAACGTACACTCGGCACCCAATGCAGATAGGGAGGAGCGGGAGATATCCGGCGGTTGAGAAACAACTCTGACGCATCTGGAGACGCCTTTATGTCTGCCACCAATGAGTCGTAGCAAGGCTGGACTCCATGTCTCTCAGCAACTGCGAGCTGGGGCCTCATCATAACTTATCCCGTTGACTGGGGCATAGCTTCTGGCCGCAAATTTGGCCTTTTGCCGTTAGACACCATGCCCAGGCTCGATCTTGATAGATACAAAATCTCTCGTGACATCTATGCAAATACCTCAGATGACTTGATCCGCCGGAAACAAAGAGGCCAGCCGGCAAAGGCTTGATATCTCAAACATCATCCCTGCTGAATTTTGAGACGACTATCTAGCCTATGTAGCAAACCACCTTAGGTCAAAGTACTAAAAGCGGAGAGCAAGAGTCAGTAAGTAGCGTCTCATTGCCTTTCTAGAACGGGAGTAATGACAGTTTTTAGCATCCCTTTGAGATAAGGTCCATCATCTAGCTGCAGTAGCTGAAGTACAAACACCTTACGTCACGCATCGCAATATCCGTCGTTGGCGACTAAATTCACTTGAAAACTCTAGCTTTCAAATCACCTCTTCTTGAATGCGACGCAAACATATTCCGAACCGGATCATCTTCGGCTTTGCCATTTCTTAGGTCTTACATGCCGCGAAACCGTATCCCCTCACTGTCGTGTGAATGCATGCGACTCTCATCACCTAATCAAAAAATACTACATAAAACGGGCGCTAAGTGGCGGGCAAGCGGGGCCGACACCGTCCGACTCTGCATACTGTAGTAGTCGAGCGAATGGTATAAAAGACATTTTGAATCAGATCTCAGACTTTTGCGACGAATGTTGAAAAACCTGGGAGATCGACATCTTGAAGGCCGCCATGGGGACCTGCGGTGCGACGTGGTGCTGACATCTCCATATAAGCGTGATAATCGCGTCTGGGCTCTGAATCTCTCTGTATGTACACAGCAGATAGTGAAAGCGATACAAATGACCCTTCTCATCCCGCGAAGACTCAACCTCCTGGATGTCAAAGTCCAAAGTCTCGACGAGAAACATTCCAACATCCAACTCCAGCACCACAACCACAACCACCCACCATGACCCTCCCAAACCTCCCATCCCCTTCCCTCTACCCCCTCCAATGGTTCTCCCTCACCCTCATCCTCCTAACCCTCACCTACGCCCTCACCACACTCCGTACCTACACCCGCCTCCGCCACATCCCCTCCTACACCCCCCTCTCCAACATCTCCTACCTGCCCCTTTTCCTCCTTGCCCGCTCCGCCCGCCAAGAAGAGCTCTACCGCACCCTCAACACCCGCCTCGCCTCCCGCCTCGTCCGCGTCGGCCCCAACGAGCTCCTCACCGACGACCCCTCCGTCCTGCGCCGCATCAACGCCGTCCGTAGCGACTACGGCAAGGACTCGTGGTACTTTTCGAGCCGCTTCAACCCTTACCAGGAAACCATGTTCACCACGCTCGATAAAGGAGAACACGATCGGATGAAGGCCAAGACGGCGGCGGCGTATGCGGGGAGGGAGGTGGATTTATTGGAGCCGAGTGTTGATGTGCAGGTTGTTAGTTTAGTGAGGCTTTTGAGGGAGAGGTATGCGTATGATGCGGGAGGTGGTGGTGGAGGGAAGTTGGTGGATATGGGGGTTTTGCCGGCGTATCTGACCATGGATGTGATTACCACCGCGGCGTTTGGGAGGCCGTTTGGGCACTTGAAGGCTGATGCGGATGTGTTTGGGTTTATAGGGCAGATGAGGGACAATTGGCCGTTGATTGCGATTACGTTAGATACACCGTGGATCCGGACGATTCGGTTCTCAAAGTTGTTTTTGCGGTGGCTCGGGCCAAGGACGACGGATAAGATTGGGCTTGGGCAGATGATGGGGTGAGTCTCTTGCATTGCGGGAGTGTAGTCCTTGGAAGATCTCTGACTGGTGGTGTTTAGGATTGCTGAAAAGTACGTCGGAGAGAGGTTCAAGCCCACCTCGAAGCCTCAGAAGGATATGTTGGTGCGTCTACATTGACGAATCTGGTCTTCCCCCCTGGGAGCTGTCACTGATGGATCTGACTAGGGATCTTGGATCAAGAACGGCATGACGCAGCAAGAATGCGAAGCAGAAGGCCTCTTCGCCCTCGTCGCCGGCTCCGACACCACCGCCTCCGTAATCCGCATCACCATGCTCCATCTCATGTGCAACCCCAGAATCTACCATAAGTTCAAGCGTGTCATTCGGGACGCTGTCGCCTCGGGAGTCTCGACCCCAATCACCTTTGATCAAGGCAGCAGAATCCCATTCCTACGGGTACGTGTTCAAAAATCCCCAACCCTGGATCCATGGCGCTGATGCTGAAAAACTCATAAGGCACTGATCTACGAGGGCATCCGCATCCGCGCCCCAGCAACAGGCCTCTACCCCAAAACCGTCCCTCCCCAAGGCGACACCATCGACGGCAAGTTCATCCCTGGCGGCACCGCCATCGGCATGAACGCCCCCGGACTTTTGAAGTCGCCTGCGCTCTTCGGCGAGGACGCGGAGCTCTTCCGACCGGAGCGGTTTCTCGAGGTTGACGACGCGGCTAGGATGAGCATGGAGCGCGACGTGGAGATGGCGTTTGGGTATGGGCGGTATATGTGTGCTGGTAAACCGGTGGCGTTTATGGAGCTATATAAGGCTTTCTTTGAGGTAATGTTGATCAAGTTTTCTTTACTCGATACTTGGCGAACCGTCTTGTATTTGCTTCGGATGCGGATGCTGACGTTTTTGGTAAAGCTGATGCGTAACTTCGATTTTGAGCTTGCGGATCCGGTTCGGCCGTGGAATTCGCAAAGTTATAATATCTTTGTGGAGGAGAACATGTGGACCAAGGTGACGATTTCGGATATCAGTTAGGACTTCACCGCTGCGTCTGTCGTTTGACAGATGAGAATTGCGTTCTTCTTAGATGAATGGTTTCGGTGATTGAATTTCCCTTCTCGACGAATGTAAGCATGGAGAGGCAACAATTTGATGGGGTTAGTAGGCCTGGTTCGGTTGCAAGAATCAAGTCTCTGGAACAAAACTTAACTTGTCTACGCTCCATGGCAGCTTCATACTGTCAGTCATTCTCATGTAAACATGTCAACCAGCAGATAATGTTATCCTAAAATTCACTTTCAAAGGACAGCTTCGCTTGTGCCATCACATTTGCACGATGTTTGTAACATCTCAAGTGTCCACGTGCGTTACATTAGTACGTTGATGTCAGCAAGAGTATGGGAGATGAATCCAGGATGACAAGCCTCGCACAACCGGCGAGGTAGAGCATTCGCTCCTTCTTACCTCCACGTCCCGTCCCTCCTTCCTCCACCCTCACCTTCACTTAGGTACCTACCTCAGGCACCCAGGGGTATATAACCCCCCCCCCCCCCCTCAGTTCCATTCCCGTCACCGGCACAGCAGCGTCCGTCTAGGTCGGTGGGTCAGGTCAAGCTGTGTGCGAGGTGGCCGAGTGATTAACATAAAAACAAATACTCCCATGAAGTCAGAGTCCGGGTTGACTGAGGGGCGCGCTGTTCGAGTCTGGGCAGGGGGCGTGAATTATATGGTCAGTATTCCCCCCCTATTCCTTTCCTTTCCATCCGTTTTTCTTTTCCAATTTCTTTCTGGAAATATCTCCAAGCAGTAACATACCTAGGTGATCAGGCTCAGCTTCGGGCTCCGATCGGAGTAATCGACTTCGATCATCGTTATCCCAAAAGAGCCCTTGGTCTGACTTCCCACGTAGTCGGGGAAATCGTCCAATCTGCCGCGCGCACATGACCTGAACAGGCCCTAGCATCGATGACGAACATGAAATCATGGCATGGATCGTCAACCAGGCACGATAAGGTTCTGACAGAGCGCCTACTCCCGTGCGCCGCGCGCACGTTATGCTGCATGTCTTTCGCGTAGCACACGAAGTCATCTATGCGGGGAATAAGGAAAAGCTGACAGAGGAAGACGAAGTGTACGGGGTACCTGGAACCAATTAGCGCCCATGTCGCTCTCACCCAAAATAGGGCAACGAGATCTCGTGGAGAGCTTCCCCACGATTATCAGCTGGGACTTGTTGGGAGCATACCTAGGTTGAACCACACGGGACCGCGCGACGCCGGTGCACCCCACGTTCGGTTTCGGGTCGCACCGGACGAAAGTCTACGTGCCGAACGGTAGCTTCCAGCCCCACCCTCTCCTCTCCCTTCGAGTTGGAGTAGCAGCGGGTGCCGGGATTTTTTCTGAACGGGGACCACTTAGTAAAAGCCTACACAACTCGGTTAGAATACGAATAAGAGCCATCTAAATTCGGATCCTTGAGGGATCCCGTCGACTTTTTCGTGCCGTTGCAGAGTCATTGGCTGGTCAAGGGCGTCTTCTCAAGAGGCTGACCGGCGACCACTGACCCTCGCGATCTTCGTGCACCTGATGGGGCCATCGGCTGCTGCTCTCTCCAGCTCCGAGGTGTTCAGACTAATAACCCCGGTGCTGTAGAATGCCATTTCGGCGCAAGGGCCGGCGAGGTGGGGAAGCTCTGGGATTTCATGGGAAAAGCGTTTAGCGCATTGATCGGCTCGAATTTCAGATGCGACGGGCAAGGAGCGCGTCTTGAAAAAGGGAATCCGGCATAAAAAGCCTCCCGGCTCCCCCCCTCCTTTAGCGTTGCGTCATGGAAAAACAAGCTTCTTTCTCCAGCTGCACCTAAAATCATCGCCTGTGTCGTTCAGGAAGTCGCAGTGCGCCGACTTCACACCAGTCGTTCGACGCGGGAGCTCCAAATCCAAGACGGACGGGTGGACCTTGACCAACATGGTGCTGGAATCATGGACCTCGAGGGTCGCCCTAGGCTTGCTGGCGGCTTTGCTGGCATATCTCTGGAAGATCAACCGCGCCATGTCGACGATCTACCCTGAGGCTCTGCGGGTGTCGCCGGATCGATGGACGCCAGAGAAAATCAAGCGTACATTTGAGCGCATGGAGAAACAGCCCATTGACTGGACGCCGCACTTGCCGCCGAAATTGGATCGACGATACATCATTGTTGGAGGCTCTGGCAAGTATTCTGCGTAGAATCCTCACGTATTGCCGCTGACCCTTGTATGAGTTAGGCCTGGTTGGAGGACAGCTGGCCATTCAGCTCATTGCGCGTGGCCATCCACCAGAGGCTATTCGAATCATTGACTTCCGTAACCCTGGCCGTGACGACATGAGCGAGGGACCGATATCCAGAGTTGATTTTGCTCAAGCCGACATTTCTTCCGAATCGGCAACATCTGCCGCATTCGAAAGATCGTGGCCACAGTCGGTAGCACATCTTCCGTTAACCGTATTCCATACCGCCGCCGTCATTCGTCCTTCGGAGCGTAGCCAGCTAGTCTACGACCGTTGCTCCCTCGTCAACACCAAAGGAACCGCCCATGTGCTTGCCGCAGCCAAGACTGCAGGATCAGATGTTCTCGTCTTTACCTCGTCTTGCAGTGTGGCGTTGAAACCCACCAAATTCTTCAATGCTCCGTGGAGTCGGTGGCCGACAAACTTTTTCCAAGTCCTCGATGAAGTAGACTTCAAGAAGCCACTGCGTTCTCACGAAGAGTTCTTTGCCAACTATGCAAGGAGCAAGGCTGAAGCTGAGCGAATCGTCTGCAGCGCGAATAAGGTGCCACAAGATCCCACGCAGGCAGGGGGCTTCCGCACCGGAGCCATCCGGCCGGGAAATGCCATTTACGGCCACAAAGACGATTACCTGGTTGGAGCGACGGTACGCATGGCCAGTTTCCCTACCTTCACTGCGCCCTTTATGCAGAATTGGGTCCATGGAGCCAATGTGGCTCTGGCACATCTGCAGTACGAAGCAGCTCTCCTCGGCCCCCACGCGCACAAAGTGGCTGCCCGCCCATTTCTTGTTACAGATGGAGGGCCGCCTCCGATATTCAAGGACTTCTACACACTTGTGCAGTCGGTCAGCGTGACACCCTTTCACGTGCAGTACCCGCCGCCACTGATATTGCTGCTCTTGGCCCATTGTATCGAGGCTTATTGCTTGTTACTTTGGCGTGTGCCAGCGTTACAGAAGATCTTCTCGGAACCCGGATTGCCGTTATACATGTTGCAACCTGCCTCCGTGGCTGGTGCCATCAATGCCATTATCAATGATGCGGACGCTCGTCGACGACCAGAGGAGGGCGGTTTGGGATATCAAGCGAAGTGCACCACCATGGAGGGACTCTGTATGCAGCTTGGCGCATGGAATCGGTGGGTAAGAAGCGACGGCGAGAAAGTCAGAAGCGAAAAGGGCATCGTCAAGGATGTGCTCGAGGTTGGAGTCGAGCCTGTCGCGAGGAGAGCATGAGATTATAGAACACCAGCTGTGCGGTCGACTGCAGGAGATCGCTATCTGTGTATGTCGATGGAAGTCGGAATATAGCTTAGGCGACGAATTCCACAGTGGAAAATGGCCGGGTTTTGCAGGCGCCGTGTTCAGGAAAGAGATGTAGCTCTTTTAAGTGAATAATGCGGTTTCCCGCCGTTGGTAATCGCTTGGGAGTGTCTTGTTCTGAGCTTCGGATGTTGACCATGTAAGTGCCACAGTCTTGTCTGCAGGGTGACAGGCGACGTCTCGACGCGACACGGAGATCCGGAAGCTGGATCCTCGCCCGGCCCCCACAACCCCGGCCTGCCAAGTTGGCGGCGCTGGGGTTGGCTGCATGGCGCTTCGAAGATCACTTCTTGGTGTTTCTGTGATGGAATTTCCGAAATCCCCATGCCGAGGCATGATATCGTGTTTCGATTCAGTCCGTCACAAGCCTTGACGCAAGCTTGGAAAGGCCTCGCGAATTGATCCATTGACTTTCTGGACGGGGGAATACCTTGCTGAGGCAGCTCAACAAGCCAAGCCACTCAACAGATGATGAAGCCACAAGCCAAATGCTGGTGGCAAGGTGCTGGCTAGGTGATGTGTTCGTCAGCTTGGTGGCGGGGTCGTGCCAGCGGATACAGCAAGCAGAGTTCGTATCGGCAGCCTCTTGCAGGTCTAGGCCAACTTTGCGAGCAGTATCTGGCAACGTCGCAAGAAATGCGCGTAATTGGTCCGCGGGGTGGCTGGCGAAGACGGGAGGGTGTGATGAGATGGATGTAGCTATGGCGGAACAGACGCTGCAAGATGGTCCGATGTAAGTGACAGTCGGCTGGTCAAAGCCGGTGCGACAGACATGGAGAATGTTTGCGGTTGGCTGGAAGACAACACGATGTTGGCCATGAGTGAACCACCAATATCCTCTGTACTGGATGAGAGACCGTTTCTGTTGCCCAACCGTCGCTTGTCGGAAACTGGGACATATGAAAAGCGGATGACCGTTGCCGTGAGTGACCAAAGTCGAGTTCTGCATCCGATATCGAGCTCTGCTTCAGGCAATTTGGGACCAGCCCCTCCCGCATACCCCAGGCGTTTGGTGCAGATGGCTACTAGTGTAGACAACTAGTGTCGCTGTTGATGACGATCACTAGAAAGCTGGGCATGCAATTGAGTGTGATGATTGGACGGCAGGCTCGTGGTAGCTCAGCGCCCAAGGCCGTGGGAGGCAGCTCACCGTGGTGTGCCAGTGCCGCAGGTGCCAGGTGGTATTTCGGGTTAGTGTTACTGCAAGAAGATGCGTGGACTGGCCGCGTTGCCGATTTGAGAGACTTATTGTCTTTGTGACGGGGGAAAAATCGACATTGGAGTTGGGAGGCGGCCTCTTTGTGCCGTAATTGTTGGCTGGCGTCCAACGGCGTTGGAGCTTTGGGCACGAGCATCCGCAGGCGCCGGGCTGCTCCATAGGCTGCTCCACGAAAAGATGCAGCGACCAGCAGGCATTTGTAAGGCCAGCAGGACAGGGTTCTCGATATGGGGCCGGGCTCAACCGGACACTAAGGTAAGTACGAATACCTAGTGAAGTGTTCGTTGATCAACTTGATCCTGAGATGTCGGCTTGGTATCATGGCTTCTGCTGTACCGCTATTCGATACTTTGCGGTAGTCAGTGTGTGCGAAGTACATAGATAAAAAGGGGTGTTTGGAAGGCAAGGGGATTCGCAAACAGAAACAGGACATGGTACAAGAGTGAGGCAGGGAACCAGTGACGCCAAGAAGAAGACGACGCGATGCGATGTGAGAAGGGGCGGGTAAGGTCATGTTTGTTTCGGAAGATGCGACGTCTTGACGGGAGCTGATGATTTAAGGTACACCATCACAGCTGCTTCTTTAACGAACCGGCGGTTGACGTTGCATTTGGTGTAATAGAGAGTCGTAGAGATGCTGCCAGGAAGTATTTCAAGCCTGCCGGCATTGAATGAATCATCGGGGAATCAATGAATCTGAGGCATCGGGACCAGATGGCAGTAACGGGAAAAGCCAGAGACCGAGGGGGGGAAAAGCAGCAGCAAATGGGACGGCGCCCGGAGCAAAGTGCGTTGCGTTGAATTGATTGGCAATAGATACCCTTGCCCCCACACAACCTGCGTCCTGTGGTGCCTGCGAGTCTCCCGGACCACGGCAACAGCCAAGCTGCATATCTGTGGCTAGTGTTCCTGCCGTTCTAGTACCGTTGGGGGATGGTGCTGTTTCTGCAGACCGAGGAGCGGAGGAACTCGAGGAAAGAACACCATTGACCGCACTTGCCACAAACCGCACTTATTCACTGGGAGAACGGAAGGTGGAGCTGTGTTGGGTAACGTTAGACCGAGATGAAAAGCCCGGGCCCTGCGAAATCTGAAATCTGAAGGAGACGCCGGCGGAGGGGAGGGGGCAATGTGCAATAACCTGCCAATGGGGCGCGAACTTTTTCCCCCCCTCTCTACAAGTAGTCTTGCTATCTCAATTTGCTTCTCTCTGTTTTGTTATGAGACAGGCACCGCAAGGAATGCGACTGTAATAGCACCTGGCGCTGCGACCATCGCCTGGTCAATGAAATCTCGCGTGCGGCGTGCGGTCTGCCATGCCAATTCCCATCCCATCGCGACTGGCAGCAGCCACTCCTAAAGAGTTGTAATGAGAGACTCACTAGCCAAAGGTTCGACGGGAAGACTTCTGTCGTTCCCGGCGAATCCCTGAGTGTCGTGTGCATGTGTGGGTGAACACTCAGCCTGGCCGGTGGCATGGCATAAGCCGCGGTGGCACAGGCAAGCCGCAAAGTGCCGGGTCATGTCTGGATTAATTATGGAATGAAAGCGGAAAAGATGCGACGACGCGGATGAGGCCATCACGAGGGTCGATGAAAGTTTCAGTCTCCAAAGTCTGAAGCGACAGGGACCAGGTGGTACTGACAGGGCCGCCCTATGCCTGCTTGACTACCTCCCTTATATGAGCATCCACCGCCGCGGCACTTGACAATTGACGATGTTGTTATGAGATTGGGCTCAAGTGTATCAGAGATTGCGCAGCGCTGTGGGAGTAAAAAAGAAGAACTAAACCATTACAACTTCGCGGGATGGCGCTGTCTCAGCTTCTGCTTGTAAAGATGCACTCTGATGATTTGAAGATACGTACACATCCAATTCCCGCCATGTGCAACCTTGTAGCGTTCCTATCTTGATTAAGGCCATGTACGGTACGTACCTCCCCGGCTAGTCGGTTGACGACCCGCCCCTGCCGATAACAGCAAAGTCGCGGACTGTCTGTGCGAATTGGCTGACGCTCACGCCTCCCGGTGACGGTATCGCTTCTCAGTTCTGACCTCACCGCGAGAAATCCATCATCAAACCTCGAGTCCGCAACGGCAACCTCAATGGAGTTTTCTTGACGGAGATATGGCGGCTGCACTGGAGGAGGAGGTGCATTTGTTCCTGGTTGGGTTTCCCCTCTCCCCCACTGTGACCCGACATTTGCGATGTGGACCCCAGCCACACGTCTGTATCCGCCGGTACGTATCTTTGCAGGCCTTGTTTGTGTGGGAACGGGCCAAGCCCGGCGACTTGCGACTGCCATGTACGTTGTACCCTTGCACCTACCCGACGTGGACGCGCCGGTGCAATTGCTGCTGTGCGGACGCGGGCATCGTGGCCTACCTAGTGGAAATAGAAGGGAAGGCGAGGGCAAAAACGCACGTGTGAGGTACAGTAATGGAACAGAGGGAAGGAGAAAAGGAAAAAAAAAAAAAAACCAAACCGCGGTCGGCCAGACAGGTACCGCGCAATCAAACCATGCGTTGCCTGTCTTTCTGATGTTCGCAATAGGGAAGGTGCGGTTTCTGCTGTTCCACCAGCCACCCTTGCAACTGTCCACTGGCACCTGCACTCATACCAGGACTCCTCACTTTTTTTTTTTTCCCGCTCCCCCATTGAGTTTACCGCATTCTAGGCAAGTGCGACCAGAGAGACAAGCGTGGGAAAGAACCACTCACACGCCCCGAGGTACCTGCCGCTCTTGTTGCTGCTGCTGTTGCTGTTGTTGCTGCACTCTTGCCTCACAATAAAACCACATCGTTGCCCGCGTCTCCCATCCGTTTTGACTTCACCCCTTCTCTTCTCCTGCCCACTCTCCGTCAAACATCACCATCAAACCCATCCAGGCAAAACATCTTCACGCCGCCGACGATACTTTGGAACTGAATATCGCTTGATTGATTGTCAGACGTCTTTCCCCGTCTCCATTCAACAACTTCAACGAACCACAATTTCCACTACCTCTACACATCACCAACAGACAACATGCGTACTTCCCTCGCCATCGTGGCCCTCTCGGCCCTCTCTGCTGTCTCTGCCCAGCGCAAGGTCTACACCGCTGCCGATATCAACGTTGCTACTGTCTCCGTGAACCAGAGAGGTAAGTCAATTGGGAGAAATGATGCTATCATCTGTGTCAATCCGGCAAAGCCGACCACCAGGGAGCATTGACTAATTACTTTTCTTCCACAGCCAGTTGGTGTGTCGCCGAGCGCAACACTTGCAAGGTCCTTTGCGAGCCTAACCCCACCACCAACGACTGCGATTCTGTAAGTTCTCCTCTTTTTCCTATCTAAAGCAGGTGCACTAGTTGCTTGTTGATGACCCCGGTCCGATTCGAAAGAGACCGACGCTTGTGTGCAGCATGGCTAACGCTTACTCAATAGACCACCCTTGTCTACTCTTGCCTCTGCCCCAACGGCTCTGCCCCCGGTCTTGAGTACTACGAGCAGACCATGCCCACCTTCATCTGCGAGAAGGCCTTCGAGGACTGCATCACAGCCAATGTTGGTGACGCTCGCGGCCAGACCAACTGCACCGACACCATCAAGTCTCAGTGCGGTACTATCAACGCCCAGTCTGACCAGGCTTCCGGCGCTTCCACCACCACCACCGCGTCTGCTACCAGCACTGCCACTGGAACTGGTGCCGCCGCCACTACCACTGGTGCCTCCAGCTCCAGCTCTTCCGCCTGGGCTGCTCCTACTGCGAACCCCGCCCACCTTGGCAACGCTGCTGCAGTCGCTGCCATTGGTCTCCTCGCCTACATGCTCTAGATTGCTGTTGCGCTCTAGGCTGTGGTAAGCTGTGAGTCTCGATTGCTTCATGCGGCGACATGATTGACAATCGCAGGCTCTAGGCGGTCTTTCACTTCTCTGTAATCACCTTCCCTACTATCCGGTCTGCGTGCTTACCACGCGGCTCCCTAATCTTTTTTGACGAGGAATACGTGGAATTATGCGATGGAGACGATGGATATTCCCACCCGTATGGCATTTTGAAGTTCTAAGAGGAGTCAGTGCGTTACAGTGGATGGGTGATGTCACCCCATGTTGCTTTTGCTCTGCATTTCGCGTTTTAGGCATGATTGAAGACAGTCCAGACGACGTCAAAGAAATGAAGAATTGATTCCCCCCCCCATTCCCTGTCCCGCCTGCTTTGAGCTTTGGCCACTGGCCTATGAGACTGACAACGGGCTTGTGACAGTCCTCTTCTCGTCTGCTTAGAGGTATGCCAAATCCTCCCAAGCCTGCGAATCTTCACTAACTGATGCCTTTGTCAACGCCAATAGCAAAAGCCATGAAAGCGGCCAAACACACTTTGTTGTCATTGTTTCATCAACCTTCTATTCTACAGAAACTGCTAAAGAGAATTCTTTGGATCCTTGGATCGGGACAGTTTCATGATGCTTACTGCTAATGAGGGAGGCTATGATATATTTCGACTCGCTGCCGCCCGTAGGGCACCAGTCCAGCTCTTCGCAACACATACCTACTTCACATCAATATTCAACCGTCCGAATTCGCATCATTGACTGATCGCAGACATAAGCACCACATCGTACATATCATCAACCAAGTCGCACCATATAGCCAAATACACCATGATGACCGAACGTCAAACACAAACCACACCTCCGCGAGTCTCCTTTGGCGTAGAACTCGAATTCTTTGTAGCCTTCGTTCGCGAGGGGGAGAGAGACCCTGACTATGCCATCAAGCACGAGCTGCAGCCTCTTGTCATAGTTCCACCGGATGATGGGATTGACAAGCACGGCATTCCGCATACGGCGTACAATTGGGACGAGGACTTTGTGTTCCACAGCATTGGAGACGCCTTGGCTAAAGCTGGATTGCCGGTATATGGCCAGGGACAATATGGTGTGCCCGGCTCCGTGCAGAGCATGCAGAGCAAGGAGGCCATCAACGCGTTCCAGCTCAAGACAGACATCTCTCTCAAACCAGATCACGTCGACGGGTACTGCTGGCAACGCGTCGAAATGATCTCACCGGCCATGTACAACATGAATCTCTCTTTCGATATGATTCGTTTAGCGGTAAGTGTCATCACTACTAACTTCCGATGCCGAGTGAACCCTAGTTGTGGGTTCCACGTTCATGTAGGTGTAGGACCGACGCAAAGAATCGACCCCAGGACATTACGGCATTTTGCTGCCCTTCTATGGGCCGCTGATCCTCTTCTCAGTCGACTTCATCCTCCTTGGCGTGCTACCCTCGCCTACAGCCAGTCTGCTCGAGTGAATGAAGCTACACCTCTGGGACAGGGCAAAGGTCCCGCAGATGCCATTATCGACACAGACAAAGCCCTACAGAATTTGAAGAAGGCGGAGTTCCTGGGAAGAGACCGTTGGCTTGGCGACTCAGTGGAGGTGGACGCGAGCTCAGAGACGATGAATCGCGAGATGAACTTGGATCAAGAGGATGACGAGGCTCTGCTCAAGAGCCACGAACCATGGCAGCATCGGCGGATCATTGCCGACGTCAGAGACCCAAAGACACCCGAAGTTCGCTCAACCTCGCCGTTTGGGTTTCCTCCACATATCTACGAGGCTCCTGTATCAATGCCGAAGAACTATCGCAGTTGTACACCCAGCGGTGCAAAACCACCACGACCCCGGCCTCCCCCGATCAGCAGACGCTACGCCCGTGTTCCCGGAACCATGCGAAGGGACTTGCGTGGAGACCCCGGCTTCCTGGAAGGTTACATCCTAGGCCAGGGAGGAGACATCGAATGTGTGGAAGCCAACCAACCGGCTCGATGGGACGTCATGTCTGGCGTCAGGGATCTTCTCGGTGCTGACATGACGGTCGCACAGGTCGGGCAACTGATGACGCCTGCTTTTCTTCCCAAGCATATCAACTACAAGTTCAAAGCGTATGACTTTTACTCTGTGGAACATCTTGGCCCGCAGGACGAAAATGCGACGCGAACGATGTTCCATACGAAAGATCACACGATTGAGTTCCGCGAGGCGGCAGGTTCCCTGGATGTGGAGTGGATTGCGACCTGGGCTCGCATCTGCTGTCGACTACTCGAATGGAGCCGTGACGCGGAGCCGACGGAGTTCATGTGTGTGATGAGGCTGCTGGCGTGGGCCCAGGAAGAGCAGGGAGCCCAATACGACGTGGTTGATTTGTTAATCGATTTGGGATTGATCACAGAAGCAAGGTTCTGCGAGAACAGGCTGCAGCAAGGGGATGCCGCGTGGTGGGAGTGCGCAAATCTTGGCTCCCTCGAAGGATCCGAAGACACTTTCGGAGGCGGAATGGGTTACCCAGTGCCTGAGTTTGATGACCGCGAGATGCCTGATGTAGAGAACGGGGGTGGGCAGCGATACCCTGGAGTCGCATTCGGGGGCTGGGATGATGCTTACGGTGGTGAGTATAGGGGAGGAGAGGGTTGGGACTCGTCAAGTGGCAGTGATGCTGTCGAGCTCGAGGGCAATTTGTGTGAGGCTGGTAAGGAAACCAAGACGAGCAAAACAGAGACAGCCAGTGCGACCACACCCGACACACCTGCAAAGAAGCTTGACAGAGATGTGCCTACGGCCGGTAAGACAAACGCTGCAGGCACATCTGAGAAGAAGACAGGTGATGATGTGAAGGAGCAAGGTGAGTCGGCGGCGCGGGCGTCCCATAGTTCCATCACTGGCACAGCTCGCCCGAGAATTACAATTGAGTGAGAGGGCGTGAGGAACTGATCTCAAGGTAGGTGTTGTCGATGTCTTGGATACGTTGTCGGAGTATGCTTGGGATGAACATGCCGAATACCATGACGAGAAGAAGAGGACCGAGTCGGAGGATGGCTTTGAGATGGTGGAACGCGAGGGATGAGGCATCACCCCTCTGAAGATCTGATTTGGGAGTTTCTAGGTAGACAAATGTTGGTTTCATCATGGACAAAGTTGTTGAGTGTTTGATTTGACACAGGAGCTTGGCCTGATGTGAGGTTGTGTCCTCTGATCAACAAAGTGTTTCCGAGCTGGAGATATTGCACTCGAGCCCCGGTACCTTCTCATACCGAACATCTGGGTTTTCACGTGTTGTTTTCTGCTGGCAATGGCAACATGTTTGACAGCCAGTTTAATCAAGAATAGTCTACAAGCAGCCACGAGACGAAGGAAGGGGATCATTCGTGATAGAACACAGTGGTGGCCTACTCATTGTGGGCTAGATGGATCAACCAAAGACTCCATGCTGCGTGGAATAGGTCCCTAGATGTACAACCTTTAATTCAGACAAAGTATCGAAGACAGGATGATGGACGAGGATGCTGTAGTTAAGGAGGTGTTAACCACCTCTTCCAACTATTTTGTTCAGACTACTTCGAGATGGTGGTTTTTGGGCAGACATGAATGAGCATGACAAACCTTACAACTTTGCTTTCATTTCTCATTTTGATGCACGATTTTTTCATGTTCATTTCTCGAACCTTGAGCTCAACTTCAACTGGATGTTTCTATCCACTGTTTTGCTAGTGAACTCGTCATTTGTTTGAGCCAACGGGCCTTCTTATTACCAAAGAGTCCGCCAGTCTAGCCTTCAGAGCTTGAGGCAGAAGGAACAGCTGGCACATTTCGTCTTGTTGATGGAATCACCGTCGCCGAGGAAGCTTTTCTGAAATCTAGAAGATCGTCGCTAGTTCGGATATCATCTGTAGGTCCCGAGCTGCTTGGACAACTCAAGTCAAGGTCTCGGTAAAGCGGAACGGCTACCCAGTATCTACAAGTCTTCAAGCAATGGAACCCCTGTTTTGGACTCTGGAATTTGTGACCTCGTAACTACTACAATGTTCCGGGTCTCGAGGACTGGCCGGCCTCCGTACATCAATGGCATTGTTCACAGTCTGGAGCCTAGAGCACCCGACCAGGATCGTTGTCGAGAAATCTGACGAAGACAAAGGAGAAACAGATGGCGACCCGAAGGTCCCACTTACAAAGTCGGGTTCTATCTATTAAAAGACATTCTTCAGCCAGCCAAACCCTTGCAGATCCAAGTTCTCGGTAAGCACACCTAGCTGGCATTCGGAAGTCGTCCGGGAGTAGCAACACTCAAGCATCGTAAGAGGACCTCAACTAGTACAAACTCCCACGATACGCCCCCCTATCCTCCTTTGCATGCAACGATGGATCATCAACAAACACCACACGACGGTCCCTCAACCATCCTCAACCGCCTTGCGTTCCTCCCACTCGAGCTCCAAAAGCACATCATCTACGACTACCTCACGGTAAGTAGCCCCTGCCTCTTATCCCTCTTCGTGCCCGACTGGGCCGTCTGCGCCCGCGCCTCGGATCCCGTGAATGAGATTTACGACCTCCAGCGGATCGACGTCTATACCAAGGGCGGCGGCAGCGTTCAAGGTAAGTACGAGTGTGGTGTGAGGCACGGGGATGGGCATCACGCTCCGTTTCCGTTGATGAGGCAGGCAGACGACGGCTGGGGGGATCAGCAGCACCAGCAGCATGGCGCGTTGTTGTTGGACGAGCTGGGAAAGAGATTTCCTGTTGCGATGGACTGGGCTCTGCGCGACCTCGGACGGAACGGGCTGAGAGTCTTTGAGCAGGTTTGGCCTAGGGGTCATGACGATGGGATAGGTAGGTGCATGGCTAGCGGAGCGCTCGTCTTTTGTGAAGGTGGTCGCGGCCGCGGTCGAGATGCCGACTATCCTCGCCCTACAGGAACAGTCCCGACGAACTTGGGGATGCCATTGTTGTTACCCCGCCACCTACTATTCAACAGCTTGCCCTCCGACCCTTGGCTCCAGCTCCGGCTGCGACGTAACGCCGTGACCGACTTCCGATGCGAGATGGCGTTCGTCATCGAACGGGGACCAGAGGAGTTTGTCGCGGTGGACTGGACTGCCATGACGCAGCTCGAGACGCTGTTCCTCGATTTGCGAACGTATGCTGCTCAGGGTGGTGGTACGTTCCTCCGGGACGGGATCCGGCGCGCCGCGGTGAAGATGGGGTGTCTTCGCCTCCGGTGTCTTGTTGTTGCGGGGCTGAGGACGGGGGAGAAGTACGGTAGGTCGCGGGGTGGTGCGTGGGAGACTGACGAGGAGGAGGTTGATGGGGAGGTGAATTGGGTCCAAGTTTTTGCGCCGGCGTTAGAGGAGGGCGGGAGGCTGGTGTTTGTTGATCGGAGGGTTGGGGACGTTGATTGGGATGCGTGGAGGGTCCGGGCTGAGGCGGAGGAGTTATTGGTTCCTGAGGGTGAGCGGGGGGAGGGGGAGTGTGTGACTGAGAAGTATTTGAGGCATGTGGACAGGGTGATGGGTGATGGTGAGTGAAGTCTCTTTTGCCTAGGCGGAAGAGTTACGTTACATGAACAGCGAGTATCATCTAGTGATCTGTGAGAGGGTCGTTGGCGGAGACCAAGTATATGGTTGGTGTTTTGCCGCCTCGCGATGTTCTCTTTTCGACCCTTCAATGTCGTCAAATACACCGCCACCTACTCTCGCTTGTGAGACGAGGCTCTCCCATCAGAGTCGCACTCCGTTTCTCTTCGTTCCCGATATGCTCCATAACAGTTCCCAATTCCTGGCTCTCATGTCTCCGCCCAACACGGCGCGAGGTGGTTCATCTCTCCGCTATAGGAGACCACACGGCTCCGTGGTAAGAGGGCGTGCCGCCTTGCGCATCACCCGTCTGTTGCGGCAAATTCCTCATCGAAATCGCTAGATCTTTGGCAGACTTTGAGCGCTACCCTGCTTTGAAATGCCCGTTGACGAAAGGCGGCGCGAGGGGTTGCATGCTTGCCAAGCTGACGGTTCACTCGAGCCTCCCTGAACGATCTCGTTACGAGGAGCCCAGACTTTGATTCCTTAGTCTCCTTTCCATCAGAGATGAGCTTCCGGTTCCTTTGCCACTTTCTCAGACTGTTACCGCCGCCGTCTGCTAGTTCAGCGCCGCTGTTGGACTCAAGACAAGAAGAGACTTACAAGTAAGTCAATCTGTGAGAGATGAACAGCATTGGTTCCAAGGCTGCGGGTGAATCGTACACAGACTCGGCATTCTTAAGCTTTCTCCGCGATGCTTCCTCCGCGATGAAGCATCGCAATGAGAAGGGGTGAAGGTGAAGGGAGAGACTCATCCTCACACATCCTCCCCCTCCCCCTCCTCAGGCAAAACCCGCATCCTCTCCGCCTCCTCCTCCGAATCCCCCGCAGGCGGCTTATTCGGCTTGATCCCCTCCATCTGAAGATACCGCACCAGCGTCTTGGTCGCGCACGTCACTCCCGCATCGCGCTTCAGCTCGGCGTACGAGCAGGCCGGCTTCTCCTGGAGCACGCGCAGCAGCGTCTTGACGTCCCTGTCCGACAGGATGCGGGGGCGGCCCGGACGGGGCCGGTCGCGGCCGGCCTGCTGGAGGCGGTAGCGCGTGACGATGCCTTTGATGGAGGAGACGGGGACTTCCTCCTTGATGGAGATTTCTTTGAGGGACATGCCGAGCTCGGAGAGGACGGCGATGCGGGCGCGCTTTTCGGGGGAGTATTGCGGTTTGCGGGGCTTTGGTTCTAGGGCGGCACGGCGAGGCATTGTGCTGGTTGGGTTTGGGTGAGAGGTTTCCGTCTGAGAGGAGTGTAGTGATGTAAGAGTCAGAGGCCAGAGGGATGAGCGCGGCGATATTGCTGAAGAGTAAATGAGTGAGTTGAAGATTAAAAAGGGGGGGGATTACGTTTGTGAGATGAGGCTGGAGATGAGAAGGAGGAGGATGCGATGAGCCATGTCGAAATTTTCGTTTTTTATTTTTTCTTTTGGTGAACCCCGGTGGCTGGGTCCACTTTCTCGGGGTGGATCAGGGGGTGTAGCATTCGGGGGTAGTGGATACCTCAGGTACCTCGATCAGGCGGGGAGCAAGGGCCCCAATCCGTACAGCTAAGTACGGTTAGTGGGGGGGGGGTTTCTCTCGATAGCTGAAGGCATTGGATTTGATGTCTTTTTGGTCACAGACTTTGCTTGATTTCCATCACCACTTCATTGAGCTCCGGCGCTCCGAGGCCTTGTGTTGATGCTTTAACATGTTCTGGCGGTGAGGGCTCCGAAATACTTCTTACTCCGTTCCACCTGCAAGAGAAGGTACCCGAGCTCGGGTCTCGGACAGGACCCTCCAAGTATTGCCAACATATCGATGCTTGTAGTCACTTGAAGAGAATTTGACTTGGATAGCCGCACTGAAAGCTGAAATACACCTGTACATCATGGAACAAACATGCAAGCTGCCTCAACAATGCCTCGATGTCCACTCATCTATCTTTTTATTTTTCTTCTTCTTCTTTTCCTCCTCTTTTGGCTACACCAAGAAGAAAGCGCAAGTCTGGTAAGAAGAAACCATGTCCCATCACGGACCGCCGACGATGTTTCCCGACGGTGCCACCAGCCAGCCACACACGCACGTCCCTGAGCCACATCATCTTTGCTCTGTGGCCATAGGCGTAAGCTGCGTTTTCGAGAAGTACGTGGCCTCGCGACATCTAGCTTCAATGAAATACGACACTGGGCAACGGTATATAGTGACCTCTTGAAGATAATCAAGCCTTGTGAATGAAGTGTTTTGAAAAAGCCGCGCAGGCACGCCAATTGGCGGCTTTGGGCATCACTTACACGGGTGCAGGGATCCTCACTCCCAGAATCCCACTCAGTTATCAGACAAGATCCTTAACACTCAGATATCCAGCCTAGACAGGACTCTTCTCGACAAAGTTCGAGACTTCCGCGCTCATTATAGCAATCGTCTAGAAAGAATAAAAAAAGAAGCCATTCCCAATCACAAAAAGCTCGGCCCCTCTCTGTGAGAGACCCTTTCAGAGAGGGGACCTACGAAAATTCCCTGAAGTGAAGCAAGGAATTTTACTAGAGGCACACGGGACTCGAACCCGGGACCCATGGTAGCGGGGCTATTCAAACGAGGACATTCCCCGCTACGTCATGGGCCTTGGTGATGGTATCAAATGAATTTGTTCCTCATGTAGGGTATCGCGGGCTGGTGACCTGAGAACCGTTGTGGTGTAGAAATGAGACTGTGGGTTGACAGGTTGACACTGTGCGGTGAATCATCGCCCACCGGTTTGATGGCGGATGACCTCCATGAAAGAATAAACCATAATATAAGTCTGGTACTAGTAGGTACATTGGATACGTCAACCATCCCTCAACCTTCAATGAGACGTGAAGCGTAACTCATAATCCTTCCAAACGTGCCGCGACGGCCATGCAATGATCCAATTGCTTCGTAAGATATATCACACCTCGCTTTCTCTATCTCTCTCTCTCTCCTCTCAACATCTCATCCCTAAGCTGTGATCCCCTCCAACCTCCAACAACACTTCAAAGCTTCCCCTCAGCCTGCTTCTTCGCAGCCTGCTCCGCCATAAACTTTTCATAATCCGCCTGCCTCTCGGGCGAAACCTTGATAAACGGAATATCATCCTCCATCACCTTCCCCGCAACCCTCACCGGTTCCGCCGGCTGCAGACAGAAAATCACCCGCGCCCACTGATCCGTCGCATTCTTCCACCCGTGCATCGTGCCCCTCTGAATCATAATCTCCCCTTCCTTCAGGATGCGCTTCGCCCCGTCGTCCAGGTAACACTCCACCTCGCCCTTGAGCACGATGCCGTAGTCGCACGACTCGGTGCGGTGCATCATCGGCCCCGTCTGCGGACCGAAATCGACGACCCTCAAAACGGAGCCCGAGGGGAGGTGGAGGGAGGGCATCCGCGGGTGGTTGGGCGCGTAGGCTGCGAGATCCTTTTCGTCGTCCATTTTGACGGGGGACTCGGACGTTGTGTAGCAGGTGTGGAAGTACATGTTTGTCAGCGGGTCGGGGGTGACTTGCACGGGGAAGGCGTCGGAGAAGACGGCACGGCCGTTGGCGTCGTGGGTTGTGATGTGCCGGGATACGGGGCCGAAGGGGCAGTCTTCGGGTGCGGGGGCGGCGGGGGGAGCTCCGGACGACGACATTTTTGGCTTAGGTGGGCGGTTGCGTAGTGTGTGTAGTGAAAGTGCGGGTAGACGGTTGAAGTGTCAAGGTTTGATGACGGGACTGACAAGTTTGATAGATGAGGGGGGGCGAGCAACGAAGTATAGCTAGGTTGGTGGGAGTGTCCGTAGGTAAGTAGTCGGCTCTCCTTTGACTAAACTAAAGGTCTTGCCTTCTTTTCTTCTTCGTCAAGCAAGAAAAGTGTGAGCGGGGAGTCGTCCGATGGATTGTATCTTCTGTCAAAGCACGATTCGTTCTTGGAAAGATGCGATTGGGGGCGTAGAAGAGGGGATGAAAGGTCCCTTTAAGAAGGTGTGCTGTCACGGCCGTTGGCCTCGGCGCACAGACTGGGGGGGGGGGGGGGGGGGGGCGGGGGGGGGGCTGTCTCGCGGCTCGCCGAGGGAAGAGACGAAAAAGCCACTTGCTACGTAGGTAAGGTTGGCAAGTACCTAGCCAGCTGGCATTACCTTAGGAAATACAGTGTTGTCTCTCAGCTGACGCAGGAAGCGGCAATCCTGCCAGCAGCCTGCATGTTTCCACCTGCCTTGCTGCATTCTAAGGTTTGGTGAGAATTAAACGCGGCATTCGGTGTGGGGAGCCAGTGCCACCCCAGGTGGGCGCGGCTGCATCGACTATGCGCAGTTCTCGTCCTGGCTTGAACCCAAGTGGTCGGAAGATAGTGACGGAGGCACGGTGGTTGGGAAATACTCCCAAAAAGGTTCGTCTGGCGGTGCCGACGCGGAGACGCCACTTCTGTTGCATGAGAGATGTCTTACGTCCGTACGAGTAAAAGGCACTTCCGTAAATCCCGTCCTTCGAACCATGCAGAAAGATAGGCGCAGAAGTTCCCGCCGCGACCGTTACAAAGTGCGGCAAAAAAAAAGTGCCGCCATAACAGGTAGACATGTATCTATCTCAACAAACACAGGTAAGCGACAAGGATGAGCTCACCAGTGAAGAGGGGGAGCTCGCAGTGAAACGAAGCTTGGCTTGCGATTGCTCACTGCATCCTTCTGACTCGGCACTGTGACGAGGATCACTAAACACGGCTTTTACAAGCCTCGAGAGCTGACCGCTTGCACTGCGTGGCTTTGTGGATCGATTCTGGGGGCATTTGTTGAAGATAGGCCTCGATTGAGTTTGGATTTATATTGCCTAAGCTTGGCGTTGAGCAAGAATGAAATTCCCGCGGTATCCGACCGATTGCGGATAGCCCAAAAAAAGAAGCATTGTCTGCTCAACGGTCATAAGCCTTGCCGAACCTGCGGCATTCTCTACATGAACTTGAGCCAGTGTACGGCTTGTAGTTGTGACCTCGAAGGTGCGGAGGCCCTCGGTCAAGATTTATTGATCATGTAAACACCAATTCATACTTCGCAATCGCTCAAAATCCGAGGCTGGCGGGCATCTCGTACTCTAATACATGCAGCTTGCAAGTTTGCGCTGGCGTTTCGGGTTCTGCAGTCACACGCACGCCGGTCCGACGTTGATCTGAAAGACGGGGAGGTGTCCGCTTTGGCGCTCCGTGTTCCAGAAAAGTCCTCGCAACGGCTCCGCGACAAGCGGGGATGTCGGACTCGGTATCAACTCCGGTAAGGCCGAATGTATGCATGCATACACGCTGGCGGAGGACAGGATGAGCTTTCTCAACCTTGGTGAATCAAGTTTCGGGCATTCCCCGATTGTGCCGGACAGATCACTGTCGTTGTGACGGGGACGTTGACCGCCGGGGAGACCATAGGATCTCGAGAGGTCGGCTTTGGTTAGTCTGGCAGTGATAGACCGCGACACTAACGTTTCAGCCGGTGGCTAGAGATCGCTACTGGGATGAGCATAACAATATTGGCTATCGGGGGAGTTGACCGTCGGGGAGACCAGCTGTGATCAGGCAATCCACTTTGACGGGTCTTATCGTGGAAGACCTCGATGTGAGCGTTGCGGTCAAGAGTACGCCATCGCCGCGAGGGCGTCGGTTCACGAATGTGGCGAGCAACGTCAAAAGCCGCCGGGGAAGCTAGCCGCCGAGGAGCGGTTTCCTCGTGAGCGATAGACAAGCATTTGCGGAGAGGCGGCTAGGAGCTTGCTGATCTTTACTTCAGGTTTCAATGGCGACATTCTCTAGTGTTCTCATCTTGTGCGAAGTCAAAAGAAGCTCCTACCAGGAAGCTTGTCGTGGGTTGGCGAGGTATAGGACGAAGTTGGCCAGTGCCAGTAGACAGAATAGCAACGTGAGCGAAGTCTAGCGCGGACTGTACTGCCGGGAAGAGTACGAAAGACTTAACCCGCTTCTTCATCTTCGAAGGGGAAACACGGGGAGCTGCCGCCGGGCTGGCTCGCCGACTCTGCAGAAAGTGTAGGGTCAATGAGGTTGGCTCGGTGATTGCGGCTCTTGTCTGTCAAGATGCGTCTCAAAGACCGCTCAAGCCAATAGCAGACCAGTGACTGTAGCCGTTCCAAAGATCAGTACGATGTCGTTGGTCGGATCGGATCGGACAACGTAGAATCTCGATGCTACCACACTATCTCAATATTAGACGAGATAAGTTTGGTGGAAAGACGATGGAGGCTTGAAGCTTAAGGGCAAGGTACTGCCTTGGCTGTCTCGGCGAACAATCCCGTCTAGATCGCAGCACTGCTCACTTTGAGGCGTAGCTCACGAGGCTAGCAATTGTCTTCAAAATCTTCGCAAGCTAAGCAAAGCGGGGAGACTCCGTCGGCATTGTGCCCCCGAGAATGACGAGGCAGTACGAAGACCGAGAATCCAACGGCCAAGGATCGGAGTTGACTCCGGCTGTCTTGGATTTGATAACATCCGTGGCTGTGAACGACATCCTCCGGATGCGTCCCCGGCCGTCGACTGACGCGCCGAGCAAGGCAAGCGTGCGTTGCCATTAAACCCTTGTCGTGTTGGCAACCTTTTGTGACCACCATTCCTGCCAGTCGACTACCTTCTTCCCTGTCCGCGCTTCCTCTGCCGCGAACACCATCGCATGTGAGCGAATGACCTCTTCGAGCGAGCAGCCGATGAACTCATTCTGCGCTTTCTCCGGCGTCCAGCCGTGATTCTTCACTTTGTCCACCGCCAGTATGAATTGACGCGCAAGGCCTTTGTCTCCACCGCCGTGGCCGGCGTCTTCGAGGGTTGGGTGGAATGATTGGGTGGTACCCGTGTTGAAGTCCTCTATGGTGATCGTCCGGGCGTCAGCATAGATTTCGCCATCGATACCGTAAATGTGCGTATATCTTTCGCAAATCTTCTTCGTTTGTGCGACCATGTGCAGAGTTGCTGATTTGGATTGCTTGGTTGACTCTTGAGTACCGTCCGTAGCATCGTCCCAGGTGATGGTGACAGTCTGGTCATCACATACGTTGTTGTCTGCGTCGAAAACACAACGACCAAACCAGTTCCGCGATGCGACGACGTCTTTCGGAGTGGAGTCATCGTAATCTTCAGCAAGCTTTGAGGCCAGGACTTTGTTTCGCTCAGCCACTGGGAAGTCCTCTATCTCCGGCATTACAATGCTGACTGGCCAGTCGGTATTGCCGGAGGCGAGACCTTTCAGATCCTGGCCGAGATAGATGTTCTTGGCGGAGAATTTGCAGCCTCCATCACCCAGAGGGCACGACATACAGTTTGTAGCGCTCCCAGCTGCGGAGGGTTTGCGACCTTTTCTAAAGAGGTGAAGCGAACCACTTGACGATACAGTAGATGGCAGATGAGGGGTGCCTGTACCAGCCTTTACTGGTGCGCTCAGGAGCCAGAGGAGGAGATCAATGTCGTGGCAGCTCTTTGTCAGTAGACTTGGTGCTGTGGTCTTTTCATTTCGCCAGTTGCCGCGCACATATGAATGCGTAAAATGCCACCATCCAACGGGCTCAGTGTGCACAATCTTGAGGATATCGCCAATGACACGGTCTTCGAGCAGTAGCTTGCGGAGGAGCATATTGTGTGGGCTGTAGCGGAGTACATGGCCGATAGAGAAGACGTTCTTGGGCTCCTGGCCAGCAGGAGGCTTCATAGCCTGATACATGTCGAGGCAATCGGTTAGAGACGTAGCGAGGGGTTTCTCGCACATGACATGCAGACCTAGGGGAGCAAGCCCGACGAGAACATCGCGATGCATTTCGTCGAGAACACAGATAAAGGCGGCATCGACACCACGCGGTACATCTTCGCCGGCAGCTTCTCTTTCGCGACGCCGTGTCTCGTACGCTACGAACTCGGTCCAGTCGGCAAATTGCTGGCCTTCTTGCGGGGTGTTGGAGCCCCAAATGAAGGTTCGCCCGAAGCTTTGACGTTTGTAGGCGATAGGCTCAGCAACGGCAGCCACGATACCGTTGCAGGACGTCTCATTAGCATTAGCATATGCTTGCCCGCGAGAGCCAGCACCGATGACTAGAATGCGAGGTGGCAAAACAGACATGGGAGGTTTCTGAGGTGGCACTGGAGTTGCATCTGAAGGGACTGCGACGGGCGAACCCGACTTCTTGATGGACGACATGTCGTGGTCGTTATCGTTGAAGTGTGATCTTTTGAATTCAGGAGAGCCTGGTGATGGTTTGTTCGACGAACTTGGGTCTTGTTTGACTTCAAGACACTTTCCGTCTCTTGGAAATAAAAAATCCAGAATGTTATCATTGAATAGAGATCTGGTGGATGAAAGAAGGAGGTTGATGTTAACGGGAGCCTGCTTTGGCTCTCACATGGGAAGCGGGCATTTGGAGAAGGCCAGGGCCAATGAATGACGGTCTATTTGAATCGTGGTCCGGGGTACCTGCCATGGTTCTTGGCAATCTTCTTATCTTATCAGCGGCTATCGGTCGAATCTCATTGTCTGCCGATGTGGGGCACCTTCTTCTGCATTTCTGGCGGTGAGATGTCAATGGGTACCTTAGGTAGGGGGCTAGCATCAATGCCGCTGATGTATTCTGAATACCTACTGGGTTTCATCACACATAATGTGTCCTGCATGGTTTGTGTACCACTTGCAGCGGAAATTATAGCGGCATTGGTACGAAGAGGAAGAAGAAAATAGGAACTGAGAATGTTTTCGTAGGACTCGATGGGCTGGCATAGGATCGCATGGTACTCCGTGCATCTTGATCCTTCTTCCGTGCAAGAATTGGTAGCCACAGCCGGGATACTGCAGCTTGCACCCCACCTTGGAACTCAAGCTCCGATGAAGTTGTGGCTCAGTCAAGCTTAGCACGCCGAAAAGAAGATCCTGCTGTTCGCCAAGTGCAAACCAAATCATCAAAAGTTCGACTCGATATCAGGATCAGAAGCCTACTCGCTTTAACCATGGACCTTCTCAGCTCTCTGAAATCCAAGGCCCCCGCCCCGAAGATGAAGTCTGCATCTGACGGCCCCCTTGTCTGGGTCGACTGCGAGGTATGCACTCTGGGTTAAGAAATACCCCTCCTAACTACTATTGACCAACACACCCCCAGATGACTGGACTGGACCCGGACAAGGAGGTAATCATTGAAATCTTCTGCATCATCACCACCGGAAACCTGCAAGTCGTTGACCCCGAGGGCTGGGGCTGCGTGGTGCACCAGACGGAGCAACGCATGGCACAGATGGACGACTGGTGCACCAAGACACACGGCGACAGCGGCCTCACGGCGGCGGTCATCGAGTCGACGACGACGCCCGAGCAGGCTGCCGACGATTTGCTGGCTTACATCAAGAAGCACATCCCGGAGAAGAAGACGGCACTGCTGGCGGGCAACAGTGTGCATGCGGACCGGTCGTTCCTCAACAAGCCGCCCTACCGGAAGGTGGTTGACCATTTACACCATCGTATTCTGGATGTCAGCTCGCTCAAGGAGGCAGCGAGACGGTGGTGCCCGCCGCAGGTCGTGGAGGGTGCCCCCTCCAAGCAGGGACTTCACCAGGCTCAAGAGGATATTCTCGAGAGCATTGCGGAAGCCAAGTACTATAGAGAAGCCATTTTTGGCAAGACGTGGAGAGGAGAGGCCAGCGCGCAAGACACGCCGGTCAGTGAGCGGGATGAGGACGAGGCTTGGGCAGACAATTTGCTGTAAACTGTAGCAATTCAGAATCCAAAAATTCAGCTCTTCTCGTCTCATGAGGCATTGGGGTGAGTGAGATGCCATCTTCAGCTGCCTTACCTGAGATTACCTGGCACGCCTTGTAAGATACCTTAGGAAATAGCTGAATCAATAGTTGACCGCAAAGGTAGCGGGGTCTTGAACGGCAGTGCATAGTCTGATGCACACTGTTACAGTGCAATCAAATACGCACCGGAAGACAGTGTGGATTAGAACCACACTCATCAGCACCTCAAGATGATTCGCCGGGAGGATCCCCTGTGTTGGGCCCCTGTAAGTGAGGGGCTCTCCCAGTTTGTCCCAGAGCTGCCCCTCCTTCATTGTGCGGTGACCCCGCCCACGTCGAGGCTCAGGATGATATCACTGGCCAAGCAAACCCCCACCATGAGGTGGCCACAGCTCTGGCCCAAGGTACGAGGTTGAAGGGGCGCTATTCACTGAAAGGTGCAATTTGAGCCTATCGTGTGCCATTTCCCACTCACTGAGGTGTCCCAATGCGTCGTATTCATGCCCACCTTAGCTATTTACAGTGGCCTAGCCTCTCACCGCACCACCTCAAGTCCCATTCCTTTGCAAGCTTTCTTGTAGGCCCCTTCCCTTGCCTGCCCCCCCTCGGTCCCACCTCCCGTACCTACGCCAACGCCGGTTCGCATGAGAGAGACGAAAGAGAGAGCCTACGTAGTAGGCAAGGCAAAACAGAGGCACTAATAATTGCAGCTCCATTCCCAACATTCTTCTTTTCCCTCTCCTACAACCTAGACAACTCCTCCTCAACATCATCAATACTCGAACTACACAGCATCATGGACGTCCAGACTGTCGAGTTCAAGCCTTTCCAGGACCAGAAGCCTGGCACGTACGTCATTCCACCCCTTAACCTAACAAAATAAACCCCTCGCTGTTATCGTCCCAAATCATGTCGAGGCCAACTTTTTGTTGCTACCCCGCCATAGCTGCCAATCGCGCGATGCACCCTCACCCAGCAACCCATCACTGACCAGCCATTCTGCAGTTCTGGTCTTCGCAAGAAGGTCACCGTCTTCCAGCAAGCTCACTACAGTGAGGCTTTCGTCACGAGCATTCTACTGTCCATCCCCGAGGGTGTCAAGGGTACATATCAATCCATCCTAGCTTCGTCCTTGGCAATCCCCCCCCAGGAAACTGACAGACCGCCTCTCTAGATTCTTTCCTCGTCATCGGTGGTGATGGTCGTTTCTGGAACCCCGAGGTTGTCCAATTGATTGCCAAGATTGGTGCCGCCTACGGTGTCAAGAAGCTGCTCATCGGCCAGGACGGCATTCTGTCCACTCCCGCTGCCAGCCATGTCATCCGCAAGCGCAAGGCCACTGGTGGTATCCTCCTGACTGCCAGCCACAACCCCGGCGGTAAGATATCCATGCGTGCTCCTGGTATTCTTCGCAAGCTAATCAATGAGCTCAATTCAGGCCCCAAGAACGATTTCGGTATCAAGTACAACCTGGCCAACGGTGGCCCCGCCCCCGAGTCCGTCACCAACAAGATCTACGAGGCCTCCAAGACCCTCACCTCTTACAAGATCGCCAACATCCCCGACGTCGACATCTCCACCATCGGCACCAAGACCTACGGCTCCCTCGAGGTCGAGGTCGTCGATAGCACTGTCGACTACATCGAGATGCTCAAGGACATCTTCGATTTCGACCTGATCAAGAAGTTCTTCCAGTCCAACCCCGACTTCAAGGTCCTCTTTGACGGCCTTCACGGTGTCACTGGTCCTTACGGAACCGCCATCTTCGAGAAGGAGCTCGGTCTCAAGGGCGCTACCCAGAACTGCGTCCCCAGCCCCGACTTCAACGGCGGCCACCCCGACCCCAACCTGACCTACGCCCACTCCCTCGTCGAGGTTGTTGACAAGAACAACATCCCCTTCGGTGCCGCCTCTGACGGCGATGGTGACCGTAACATGATCTACGGAGCCAACGCCTTCGTCTCCCCCGGCGACTCTCTGGCCATCATCGCCCACCACGCCAACCTCATCCCTTACTTCAAGAAGCAGGGTGTCTACGGTCTGGCCCGCTCCATGCCCACCTCCGGCGCCGTTGATCTGGTCGCTAAGAAGCAGGGGCTGAACTGCTACGAGGTCCCCACCGGCTGGAAGTTCTTCTGCGCCCTCTTCGATGCCGACAAGCTCTCCATCTGCGGTGAGGAGTCCTTCGGCACTGGCAGCAACCACATCCGTGAGAAGGATGGTCTCTGGGCCGTTGTCGCCTGGTTGAACATCATCGCTGGCATCGGCGAGCAGAACCCTGGCGTCACTCCCTCCATCAAGAAGATCCAGCAGGACTTCTGGACCGAGTACGGCCGTACCTTCTTCACCCGCTACGACTACGAGGATGTCGACAGCGAGGGTGCCAACAAGGTTGTTGGCGTCCTCAAGGACCTCGTCGCCGACTCCAACTTCATCGGCAGCAAGGTTGGAGGTAAGTTTACTTATAATACACCCCAAAACAGTTCTTGAACAACAAGCTAACTTTAGTAGACCGCACCGTCACTGGCGCTGGTAATTTCTCCTACACCGATCTTGACGGCTCTGTCTCCTCCAACCAGGGTCTGTACGCCACCTTCTCCTCGGGCAGCCGTATCATTGTCCGTCTCTCCGGCACTGGTTCTTCCGGCGCCACCATCCGTCTGTACCTCGAGCAGCACAGCTCCGACCCTAAGACGTACGACCTGGACGCCCAGGACTTCCTCAAGCCCGAGATCCAGATGGCCACCGAGCTTCTCAAGTTCAAGGAGTTCATTGGCCGTGACGAGCCCGATGTCAAGACCTAAGTGCATTTTTGCATGATTTGGATGCACTTGGACAAGAGGGGATACGGTGGAGTTTTTCAAAAAAGTAACGCTTCAGTTTAGAGAAGTAGAAGAAAGGCCAGCACCAACCAGGTATGCTGTGGACGATGTCACGATGGTACACGATTGCATAAATTGAATCAATTGACCTAATCACACAATAGTCTTTGTCATTACGTGACAATGCTTCCTCCCTTTTTCTCTGGGATGTTTTCAGCTTGTGAATCTGTGCGTGCGTAATCATCACTCTTGATCATAAAGGTCGTCAAGTCGTTAAAACAAAGGGAAGAAGAAAGAAAACCGCGTCGACAATTGACCAGTCTGGGCAACAAGATACCCCTCGTTCGGACAAAACATGAATCAATCTTCTCGGGGTATTTCCTCCGAGATACAAAAGCTCGTTTGACATTGGCCAAGACAGAGGAAACAAAACAGACGGCTGTAGGAATTCGAGAAAAGTATTAGTCGTTCTCGTCTTCGGGCTCATTAGAGTGGTTCTTCGTTGGGAAACAATTAGGGAAGAGAGAATTGGCGATTGAGATGCCAGACTGAGAGTAGGTGGATGTCTCTGCTCACCTACTCTTCGAGTCCCGCAAATTTGTCGAAATGTGCCCCGCAGAACGGTGAGTGGCAGCATTCTGGGGTGAAAGGTGACGGTGATGGGGCAGGGGACCCATCTTGGGCCGGAGTCGGAGTAGAGTGGATATACCCTTGCCTTGAGGAAGCTCGTCACCGGTTGTAAGTTATTTGGAGTCCTCAATGGTTTCCATACTGTCGGTAGATGCCTCGGAGGGGTCTGGCCGCGGCTGTAACTCTCTAATGAACTGCGACGCGCCCATCTCGGAGAAAAAGTCAATCTCAAAAGCGCCGGCCTTGCCTTTCCTCTGATGCTGCTGGTGGTACACCTCGCAAAAGACGTAAAGCTGGACGTCTTTGAGCCAGACGCGGTGGTCTGATTTACGTACGAGCCAGGTCGGAGAGGCGGATTGGTGGGTGACTGAGAGTATCGTGTCCGTTAGTAACGACTCACAGGCCTGAAAGCAGCGCGTGAGGAATGGGCGGGAATGAGGGTGAGGGAGATGGGTGATATGGAAGGCATACCAAAGGCGGTCCAGACTGGACACTGCTTGAGTTCACCATCCCACACTGAAGCTTGGAGACGAACGCCTCCGGTGGCAATGTCGCGGTAGACCATGAGCGAATGCTTGAAGCCATCGTCGTGTATTTGCCTGCGGCCGGAGTTGTGAGCTACGGTGCTAAATACGGAAGTGGCTGGGTGAATCACGCACGCTTGGAACGACCGTTCTTCTCCCAGTAGCTTGAACTCTCTTGGGTTCATTTGGCGTGTCAAGATATTCCGACCCTTGAGAGAGACGAATGTGCAATGGAATAAGACCAACTCTGGTATGGGTTAGTGGAATATCAGACGATAAAGTCAGACGAGGATTCACAAACCCTCCCAGGTTTTGAAGTAGAGAGATGCCCACAACTTCGGGCCCATTAGGGAGGCACTGTATCGGTCCAGTAGCAAGGCGCTGCCTTCTCGCCTTATGTAGAGTTCGTGAGTACCAAGTAGCGAGAACCACTGGCCGCCTTGGTGATATGTCCTAAGAAGGAAGTAGGGAGTCTGGTTGACATAATTTAGATAGGCCATCAGCGCAAGGCGATCTTCGTCAAATGGTCTTGGTTCTGGCGTCAGCAAGACTCTAGTCAGGACTAAGTTGCGATCATGTGTACCTTCTGAACAGCATCTTGACCTGTTTGGGAATGTTTAGTTGTCCCCACGTCTGGGAAGGGCCGTAAGCTATCGATGGCCTGACGTGCTTCAAAGCCGTTCGGGAGGTGAGCGGAAGCGAGAAGATCTGCTCTGCCCAGTGCAATGTCTTGGAGAAAAGAGCGCATCAGTCAAGCAGCCTACTTCCCATGGATACAGCACATACCGGATCTTGGACCATTGGTCGGAGCATAGTCTCTGGTCGAAGAACAGGTCCGATTTGGGTTGTTGGCGAAGCTTCATAGTATTTGTCAGTCAACCTGCTGCTGCTTAGGCTCTGAAGGGACCTACGGAGTCCTCTTGCTTCTCTCAACTTGATTATTCTAGTCCGAAGCGTCTCAAGGCCGTTCAGGTCGAAGAGTGTCGACCTATGTAGCTGTTAGTACGCCATCCCAAAATCGAAGGAGAGTTGCTAGCGCGCCTCATGAGAAGGTGTCGCAGGGACTCTAAAAAGGAGTTGTATAGCATGAACCGCTGAGGTAATGGCAGGCCACTGGCCTCCTGCGTCATTTTGTGATACATCTTTCGCCACCGCATGTCCTTGCTCACGGTCCGATCTTCGTAAAATTTGTTGA